AGTAACATGAGAAATGAAACCTTTGGACGGATTCACTAAGGGCTGTACATCATTCAGAAAAGAATGGCAACCAAACTACAAATCCCATAAATCCCTCTTGTACTGCGTTTAATGGAATATGTACAACACTCCCGTAGGACGTGTCGGGATTAGTTGAGAGGTTTTAGTAACTGGATTGATGAAAGTTCTCTCAAATTCCTATCCGGGTTATTTACTAAACTCTGACACGGTTACTTACTAAAGTGAGAATTCAAAGTGAACTCAATGTGAATTTCAAATTTAAGGCCAAAATAGACGAAGTGGAAAAATCCACTTACAGTATATACTCGAGTATAAGTCTAGTTTTTCAGCACATTTTTTGTGCTTAAAAACCCCCACTCGACTTATACTCGAGTCACTGTCTGTATTATGGCAATTTAGAGAGCCGCGGCCGTCAGAGCCATGGCAACGATCCGCGCGGCAACCAGACCGCGAGACTTACAGTGGAGCTGACCGGAACGGAGGAGAAGGGAGCTGACAGGAGCTGCAGGTAAGGTAAGTAAATGCTTCCTGCCGGCCCCCCCACTTCACAGCCCATGCCACTGGACCACCAGGGATTAAGATAGCCCCCCTCCCTGACCAGTTAACAAGCAGGGAGGGGGGGGACAAAAAAAATTAAAATAATAAAATAATATTAAAATTAAAAAAATTAAAATAATAAAATAATATTAAAATTTAAAAAATTTAAAATAATAAAAATGCCCTCCCCCCACCCAGTTCACACACACTACACAAACACACACTCTGCATTATATACACAGAGTGTGTGTATATAATGCAGAGTGTGTGTTTGTATGAGTGTGTGTGTGTATATAATGCAGAGTGTGTGTTTGTATGAGTGTGTGTGTGTATATATAATAGAGTGTTTGTTTGTATAAGTGTGTGTGTATATAATGCAGAGTGTGTGTTTGTATGAGTGTGTGTGTATATAATTATAAAAAATCACAGAATTTCATAGCCCCAAGTTTTACCCTCGACTTATCCACGAGGCATAGCATATTTCACAATTGTTGGTCACAAAACTGCACTCGACTTATACATGAGATCGACTTATACACGAGTATATACGGTAGTTATGCTTTTTTCTCCGACTTTGGCTTTAAAGGAGATCTGTGACTCTGGTATTTCATAAATTTATATTCTTTATGAAATATTAAGACTGAGAGATTTCATTGAAATCACAAAGCAAGCCACAGATATCATAAAACAAACGATTGCTTTGGTCTGACGTTGACTAAGGTCAGAGCTCCACCGACAGTGTTTGACCAATCCCAGCAGCAGTCATTAGATTCAGGCTCCAGCGGTCTCCTCCATAGACTCTCGCGCATGCACGGGAATTCGGCACCGATGTGGCTCACAGCACCTAAAGGGTCATGGTGAGAGGTAAGTAAAACGTACCTATCCGGCACCCCTCAGCCAGCAGACTCCCACCACATTCATCAGGAGTCTCTGCAAAATAGGCAAAAACCCCGAAATTAACAGATCTGCTTTACGTTTGAAATTCACTTTGAATTCTCACTTTAGTCGATAGCCCTGTGAATTTTATTAAATTTAAAGGAATCTATAGTGTCGGATTACAAACCTGCCCTCACGCAGAGCGTCATTTAGGCGCCCCAGTGACCGGTATAAAGCTGGACGTGCCGGTCTGGCGGCCTGTTTTGGTGCCGCCGTGTAATCATTGCAGTTTATGGGACGATGACGTGGGACAGGGACTCCGCAGTGAGCTGATATGGTCTGGGCGGCTATAGTGTCCCTTTAAATCGGGATTTGGAACGCACACACGGCTCTGGCGGCCTCAATCCTGCTATTCACATTAATCTGCGGTTTAGGTAATGACTGTGAATGGGCTCTTTACTCATTTAATAAACTGGCTATTTTGGCAGAATTCACAGAGAATTACAATTTTAGACTAAACTAGCTGTAAACACCAGCACTTCACAGGTTAATGGGGTGATTTAATCTGTGACTGCTGACCACACACTGTGCTGGGTGACACACACAGTAATAGTGTTTATTACTATGATTATTTCTATATATTATTATAGTGTTTATTACTATGATTATTTCTATGTATTATTATAGTGTTTATTACTATGATTATTTCTAGATATTATTATAGTGTTTATTACTATGATTATTTCTAGATATTATTATAGTGTTTATTACTATGATTATTTCTATATATTATTATAGTGTTTATTACTATGATTATTTCTATATATTATTATAGTGTTTATTACTATGATTATTTCTATATATTATTATAGTGTTTATTACTATGATTATTTCTATATATTTTGCCCCCTAGTTCCCCGTGGCGGATGTACACGGCCGCAGCACACAGTGAGGGTCAGAGCGCAGAGCGGGGAAACCCAAGATAAAGAGCGATCACTCCGCGTATCACGTGCTGTAATCCGGTCGTATCCCAGCATCCACCGCGCGCCTGGGAGGGAAGAGCCGAACCGCGGAGCGAGGAGTGCGGGGAAACGTGTGCGGCCCGGGGGCCATACCTGAGGTAACAGGGTTTTCCCTAGTTCCCCGTGATGATGCAATACACGGCCGCAGCACACAGTGAGGTCAGAGCGCAGAGGGAAACCCAAGATAAAGAGCGATCACCCGGGGCGTATCACGTGCTGTTGTCCGGTCAGCATCCACCGCGCGCCTGGGAGGGAAGAGCCAACCGCGGAGCGAGGAGTGGGAACGTGTGCGGCCCGGGGGCCATACCTGAGGGGTAACAGGGGAACTGGGGGATATACCGGGGGAGGGGTGACTGGGGGGATATAACGGGGAGGGGTGACTGGGGGAATATAACGGGGAGGGGTGTCTGGGGATATAACGGGGAGGGGTGTCTGGGGGTATACCGGGGAGGGGTGTCTGGGGGATATACCGGGGGAGGGGGTGTCTGGGGGATATTACCTGGGGAGGGGTGTCTGGGGGATTATTACGGGGAGGGGTGTCTACCGGGGGAGGGGTGTCTGGGGATATACCGGGAGGGGTGTCTGGGGATAACGGGGACATACCGGGGAGGGGTGTCTGGGGGATATACCTGGGGAGGGGGTGTCTGGGGGGATATAACGGGGAGGGGGTGTCTGGGGATATAACGGGGAGGGGTGTCTGGGGATATAAATGGGGACTGGGGGGATATAACGGGGAGGGGTGTCTGGGGGATATAACGGGGAGGGGGGATATACCTGGGGAGGGTGTCTATACCGGGGAGGTGTCTGGGGGATATAACGGGGAGGGTCTGGGGATATACCGGGGAGGGTGTCTGGGGATATAACGGGGAGGGGTGTCTGGGGACTGGGGATAATGGGGAGGGGTGTCTGTCTGGGGGATACCGGGGACTGGGGAGGGGTGTCTGCACCGGGAGGTGTCTGCGGATATAATCTGGGGAGGGGTGTCGGATATAATGGGGAGTGTCTGGGGGGATATAACGGGGAGGCGGTCTACCGGGGAGGGGGTGTCTCTGGGGATATACCGGGGAGGGGTGTCTGCGGGATATAATGGGGAGGGGTGTCTGCGGGGATATATGGGGGGGAGGGTGTCTGGGGGAGGGTGTCTGGTGGGATATAATGGGGAGGGGTGTCTGGGGATAATCTGGGGAGGGGTGTCTGGCGGGATATAACTGGGGGAGGGGGTCTGCGATATAATGGGGAGGGGTGTCTGGGGATATAATGGGGAGGGGAGGGGTGTCTGGGGATATAACGGGGAGGGGTGTCTGGGGATATAATGGGGAGGGGCCTGGTTGGATATATATAATGGGGAGGCCTGGGGACATACCGGGGAGGGGATACCGAGGGCGTCTGGGGATAACGGGAGGGCCTGAGGGTCTGAGGGGATACATAAGGAGGGAGGGGCCTGAGGGACATACCGGGGAAGGGTGTCTCATGATACACCGGGAGGGGTCTGGGTGTCTGGGGATATAATGGGGAGGGGGTGTCTGGGGTGTCTATACGGAGGAGGGGTGTCTGGGGATAACGGGATGTCTGGGGAATAATGGGAGGGGGTGTCTGGAGGGCCCGGGGAGGCGTCAGGGGATAATACCGGGGAGGTACAAGGGAGGGGCGTCTGGGGGGATAATGGGAGGCCTGGGGACATAATGGGGAGGGGCCGGGGATAGCAACGGGGAGGGGCCTGGGGACATATGGGGAGATATACCGGGGGGTGTCTGGGGGGAGGGGTCTGGGGATATAACGGGGAGGGGGGGAGCATAGGGTGTCTAATGGGGCCAATGGGGAGGTCTGGGGAGGGGGGTGTAGGGGCGCCCGGGAGGGGTGGGGGACTATAATGGGGGAGGGGTGTCTGGGGGTCTGGGGGCGTTATAAGGGATGGAGGGGTGGGGTCTGGTGGGATATACCGAGGGGCCTGGGGGGATACACCGGGGAGGGCATGCCTGGGATATAGTGGGGGAGGGGCGTCTGGGGGGCCTGGGGCTATAAGGAGGGAGGGGCGTCTGGGGATATAGGGGAGGGGCGCCTGGGATATACCGAGGGCCTGGGGATATGACATAACTGGGAGGGGGGGTCATGGGGAAGGGGATATAACGGGGGGAGGGGTGTCTGGGGGGTTATAACGGGGGGGGAGGGTTGTCTGGGGGGGGAAGGTGTAACCTAAGGGGTTATAATGGGCAGCGGTATCTGGGTGGGACAGGGTATATTGGGGAGCGGCGTCTGAGGGAGAGTTTATAATGTGGAGAAGCGCCGTCTGGGGGTTAGGGTTATAACGGAGGGGGGCAATTTGTTTTAGTGGGGGAGCAGCTTTATGTCCAATTTTTAAGTGCAGTTTCTTGTAGACATGTTTGGAGCACCAATTTATTTTCTGTTTTGTAATTTCCAATATCATAGATAAGTCTTCTGTTCCTGACATTGATTTGCTTTATATTGTGTCATCGGAATAGCTTTCAAATGTGTCATCTCTTTTTTTCCTTTTAGAGTTGATTTTGGTAAAGTGTGGAAGGAATAATGCAGGAGTGTCAGAGAGGCCGGGCACGGCTGTTGGGAATTCAGAATGCTTCCTTGAGGAGCCCCCGATCATACCCAGACATCATGTCTCCTGGTGGAGCTGTGCTTTATGGGAGACCTCACAGCTCTAATGGTAAATACCAGGCATCACCTATTAAAGGAACGTTATAGCATTAGAGATTCAAACCTGTGTTCCCCCGAGGCTTTGTACATCTCTCCCCCTCCAACAACGCCAATAAGGAGGCATATTCTCCTCTGGCGATTGGGGCGGGGTCATGTTCCCGGGGGCAGTGTTATATTAGGTGTGTCTGGATAGACTCTTATTTGAGTCATCCTGCTGTAGGCAGATAAATGCCATGATCACCATGTACAGGCCCCCCATGCTGCCCTGTGAGAATAGCTATCTGGCATTGTGTACGTACGGGTGATAGACTTTTTGAGACGACTTGTCTCTATTTCTGTTTTCTCCTCTTCATGCAGAAAATTCCAAAGAGAAAGTAGAAACTAAGATAAGTCCAAAACGGGTCTCCCCTGGAAAAGATTCAAACACAGTAAGTGACGTGTTGGACATGCGTGCTGATATAATTTTATTTAATTGAAGTCTTCTTGTGTTGTAATAAAATCTCAGAGATTTCATATTGGCAGTGTTGATAGAGTCTGTAAAGGGAGAATCTGTATAGCTGGTGTTGGCATAGAAATCCATTATGAAACGGTCATTGTGATCGGAGCCTACAAAATGTGATTATTCTCATATTTAGCCTTTTAGTCTTTCTGATCTGCTATGTCTGGTCAAAATGGTTGAAGGAAAATTCCCTTAAATGTGTACATGATGTAAAGCGATATATTTCAGAAAATTTGTTTTGTATTTTTTTTCATTTTCCTCTGTAAAATTCAGCCTTTGCATATTATTAAAACCAAAGGTTGGTCCTGAATGTTCTCATTGATGCCTAGCACCCCCAATGCCCCCCCAAACCCCTACTGATTTTGTTTTACTTTTTTTTTTCTCTTTCCAGAATCGTATATAAATAACTATGTTAAATTACATTAACTGTCCATTTCACAGTTTACATCTGTATATTCAATATAACATGTAAGGTGACATCCTGCTATTCTGTATGTGAATATTGGTTGTGGATCAGCTTGTTGCTCATTGTCTGTTTAAAGCTGTGTGCATGAATCCATTTATTTTGGAGTTTAACAAGTTTATTGATACTTAGAGTTCTAAAGCTACTTTACACATGTATTCTAGGTTTTTATTTAATGAGGAACATCGTTTACCCTGGTAGCTTACACGTGTTTAACTTTCAGAGCCATCAGCAGGACAGCAGAACCCTTCCTCTGAAACCAATCCGATTGCAGACACCTCTTAATAACATAGTGTCTGTGGACTACGATCCAGCTCTCTTCCAGATGTTGAAGCCACTGTCTCTTTCCAAAACGTGCCACTTCTGTGGATTACACGGTAAATGACCCTCATTAGGCTATCACCTTGCTCTGTCTCCAGAAAACCACAATTGTTTTTTTACTTACCTTTACTGTGTTCCAGATTTATCAGCGAAAAATAAAATGAAGTTTGTTTTCCACTCAATGAGTATTTTCGGATTGCTTTTTCAATGAACCTTGCAATGATTTCCTGTCTCACGTTTTGAAGTCTATCACTCTCTTTAACATTTTATATGATGTTGCCGCCAGTGGCCAGTCATGTTGCTTTCATTGTAGAGTGGGGCAGGAAATCCCCTGCTGGTACATGTCTGTCTAACCAGCTGAGACATTAAACTATAGTATTTTGTTAAAATGACAACAAAGTAACCCCTTTTTAAAGGAAATGTGTCTTTATCACAGCTTGCATAGCTCAGGAAATCTGAACAAAGCACTACTTGTGTGGTGGGATGAATCACTTCAAGTTTGAGATTAAAATAAATTCTTACTTCTAGGCCAACAGTGTTTGCATATTGCTTTTCCGATATCTTCAGAGCTGACAGTCCTAAGCTGTATCCTGGATCTTCCATTTAAATTTCCCAAAATATCCCTCGTTGTTGCTGAATTAAGGAAATCTGTTATATATGATTGGATAGACCCGGGCCCCCAAAATCATGCTGCGCTCCTTGCCATATTGTACCTTGCCTTTCATATGCATTTCATATTTTGTCTGAAGACCTGAAACCACAAAGAAAAATTAGATAAAGTGTTGCACCCTTTTTTTTTAAATGCCCTTTTACAAACATTCCAGCATGCTAATTGGTATTTGCGCCAAACTTTGCTAAACAGCATTCCATTTCTATATAACCAGTATTCTTCACAAGACCAGAGGCCGCTATCCGGAGCTTTCTCCCCTTCTTTTGCTTTTAAGAAATGTGAAGTTTAATCATAAGAATATACATGGCTTTTGGTTAAACGTTTGTAATGGTATTGGGGAACGTGTGTTAAGTGAGGGTGGTAACCTTATTAAGTAATATGTGATTGTAGCTGGAAATAAAAAGGAAATGAATGGAATGCCTCCCATGCTGCCATTTTGGTCTCCATCAGATGTTCCACAACAATCCACGGCTTCCACGTAACTCTATTTATGGTCTTTATATAATGTTTGCCTCACACCCCTGCTGATACCTAGACCTCTTCGTCAGCCTTTACTCCCCCTCTCCAAATCCATACCCTTTTTTATTCTAAAATCATAAAGGGAACACTTTAACTTTAAAAATAAATATATTTTTTTTAGTTGTTTCCTTACTGGTTTTAAATTTTTTTTTTTTTATATAGAACACTCCAGGCACCATAACAACTTAATTCCTCTGGAATTTGTTGGACTTCATTAAAAATAATGGCACCCAGGACCTCCAGAGAACTTAACCATTTGTGAACCGTTTTTAACCCTAAAGCTGTTAATTTGGTGCCTGTAATCGCTGTCCCATTTTCTCCACCTCAGTCCCTGGCTAAGTGAGGAAGTCTTCAAACTTAACACCAGTGATAAGCTAAGTGCGTCAGCTGACGCTCTCATCCTTTCATTAGCTGCCTTCCATTGATAAGCTTGGCAGATTATGGTTCGTGCTATTACTGGTAACCCAATCCTATGCTGCTCCATTAGCCAGGCCTGGGGACAGAAACGTGCTTCAAGACTGTCTTTGGACCACTGGTGCCTTAATTCCATTGAGATGAAGTTATGGGACCAGATATGTTTGGTAATGGCATATTAGTCACCAATGTGTTTTTTGTTTTTTTTCAATTTTATATAAAGGCGCTAGAAGATGTTCTCAGTGCAGAATAACCTACTATTGCTCAGTGGAGTGTCAGAAGAAAGACTGGACCGCACATTCCGTTATTTGCAAGCCTTCTGATATGTAAGTAATTTTTCCTTTCTGTTGGAAAGAATAGACATTTCACGTAAACAGGAATAAATCTTACACTGTCACTTAATAGCTCCACTTCGCATGAACCTCTCCAGGGACAAATAGTGACCCAAGATCGGTGCTACTTAAAGGCACACTATAGGGTCAGGAATCCAAATATGTATTCCTGACCCTATAGTGTTAAAACCACCACCTGCCCCTTTGCCTCCCTAAATATAGTAAAATCTCACTTGTAATATTCGAGTCTGCAGCTGCTGCCAATGATCTGCCTGCTTACAGCTGAATTCATCAGAAGTGATTTTGTGAACCACTCACAATGCTTTCCCATAGGATTGGCTGATACTGTCAAGGAGGCAGATCAGGGCCAGAGCCAGCACAAGTCAAACACGGCCCTGGCCAATCCGTATCTCCTCATAGAGATTAAAACAGTGCATCTCTATGAGGAAAGTTAAGTGTCTCCATGCAGAGAGTGAAGACACGGAATATCAGTCACACTGTGCAGCACTGCCCCAGGAAGCGCCTCTAGTAGCCATCTGAGGATTGGCTGAAGTTATCCCTAGGCTGTAATGTAAACTGCATTTTCTCTGAAAAGACAGTGTTTACTGCAAAAAGCCTGAAGGTAATGATTCTACTCACCAGAACAATTACAATAAGCTATAGTTGTTCTAGTGAGTATGTCACTTTAACTTATCTGAGGTTTTGTCAGTACCGTTGGGTCTAAATTCAGTGTTGCCATCTTAGATGGCAGCCACTGGAAATATCTGTATCTTCTTTTCCTGGCTTGCTTGGAACGTTAAAGAAGTGATGATATGCGACACTGCTGGAAGTGACGACGTGAGTATTACGTCTACTACCAATGGCAATGTTTGTCAGCGTTTGTCGTTCTGCAGGTTAATCATTAGGAAAGGTAGGGACTCCTTATGTATAGCTTTTATAATTATCATTGTGGGAGAAAACATGGCTGCACTAGTACAACATTATACATGCATTAAAAAAAGTGACTGCAGCTTTTAATGCTAAATATTTGGTAATTTTGTCTTTTTATTTTTGTGTTAAAGGTGTGCCTCTCCCTATAATGTAAAAACAAATAATCCTCATTATATCAGAAAAGTTAAAATACAGTTGAGGGTGTGTATCATTAGGATTTTGAACAACAAAAACCATTCCATTCAATTAAGGAAGCCAGCCTGTGATCTAAAACCTCCTTTTATGAAGGAATGTCATTCAGATCAAGGAGACCAAAAAGAACATGGGTAAGGTCAGGAAACATTGATATGCAGACCACTTTTAATGGTCTTTTAGTTCTTAGTTGCTCGTACCACCACTAGAGGCATTTTCTCTGTGAGAACAGTTAGAATTCTATTGGAGTCCAGCCGTAACAGCAACTGCGCTCCTCTTAGGAGTGTTAGCAGAAGACAAAGTGATGTCTACCATGTCATAAGTGGAGTAGCGGTCAGCTGCACCAGGCGAGTCTCAACGTTGGAAAAAGGTATGTTCTTAAATTTATTTATTTGTTTTTATTTAGGGAAAGGGGTGCTGAATCTAAACAGTGAGAACCCTATAGCATTAGAAATACAGGTTTGTATCTCTAAAGCCATAGTGTTCCTGGTTTTACAGAAGTTACATTTATAAAGGGTTACAGATTGACAGAAACACTGAAAATGAACTGCAAAATGCATATCGATTTGGCCAGCAAATTTCTTTTTATTTATTTTTGAGCATTATGTTTAAAAAAACAACAAAGTGTCATAAATGAAAACATTAATTTATAGTGCTGGAGTGTTGTAAAATGTACTGGGCCCTTCTTTCCTCTGTATCCGGGAAAGCAAAGAGTTTACTTGCCTCTAGTCAAACGGCAAGTGGTTCTCCTCACTGCGGCTCTGCTTATAGATTGGAAAGCAATGCGCATGCCTTACTCCGAACAACTGAGGAGGAGCACTGTCCCAACAGTTTCACAGCCATGAAGATGCCACCTTTAAAAGGACCCTATGTTAATTGGCTTGACAAGTTTAGATGAAGGGCATCTGCAGTTTTTAGTTTTTACTATTCTATAGGGATTATATAAAGGCCTAAAGACAGACTGAGAGCATGTAAAAACAGAAAAGTAAATTTAGAAAACTGATGGGCATTGTCTACCCATGGTTCATTCTAATGAGCCTTGTCTACCCATGGTTCATTGCGATGAGCCTTGTCTACCCATGGTTCATTCTAATGAGCCTTGTCTACCTATGGTTCATTCTGATGAGCCTTGTCTACCCATGGTTCATTCTGATGAGCCTTGTCTACCCATGGTTCATTCTGATGAGCCTTGTCTACCCATGGTTCATTCTGATGAGCCTTGTCTACCCATGGTTCATTCTGATGAGCCTTGTCTACCCATGGTTCATTCTGATGAGCCTTGTCTACCCATGGTTCATTGCGATGAGCCTTGTCTACCCATGGTTCATTGCGATGAGCCTTGTCTACCCATGGTTCATTGCGATGGTTCATAAAATAATTCTGTGAGCCATTAGTTTACCACACAGACTGTTTCCAGCTACCTATCCATTTAAACCAGAAATTGACTTTAAGGTTAACACTTTCTAGTCCTCGTTTTTGTTCTTTCTTACAGAAAAGATCAGGCTTTTTGCAGATCTGTGAACGACAAGACATCTCCCAAGGTAAAGATCTGCTGATCTCTCCTGCTGGAGGGATTCTTCAATCTGTTGGGGGAAAAAATAGCTGCAATCAGTGTTTTATTGCCGGTATATGTTTTCTATGGTTTCTGTCAGGAGGATTTATTTTGTAATTATTTTGAAGGGGTGAGGGTGTTACCCTTTACTGATAGTGGTGCTCCCCCAGGCAAACTGCTTTTTATTCTGTCTTGTTGTATTCTTCCCCAGGTGGAATCACCAGCCGTTCATTCCTTTCAGGAAAGGAAAGTAACATTCTCAGATTTAAGAAAATCCGAAATAAAGGAAGAGGCGAAATTCGAGGTGCTTTTGCTTTTGTTCCTTAGACTTGCAGGAAGGTTGATGCTTTTGCAAATGAAGCAGGAAATTTTTTTTTTTTTTTTTGTATTTTTTTTTTTTTTTTTGAATAGTTCAAACCGTTAACAGGTCAGTCTAGGCACTATAACCATTACAGTGCGCTGTAGTTGTTATGGTGCCAGTGGTTTCATGGTGCTACTAACAAATCAAAGTCTAACCACTCAAAAGCCCCAGTTGACGCCTATCTGTTGTTTTTCTGATATATCTGAAGTAGAAGTTCCTGTTCCGCAGAAGACAGCTTTTTCATCACTGTTTGTGCATCTTTCATTGGCTGAGAGTGTCATTTGATGCTGATGACAAACCTATTGATTTCACATATTTAGAAGCAGGAAATTATTCTTTAATGATGTCAGAGATGTAGGCTGGGCTCCTGAAACCGTTCACATTGACCTATTTAATGTGGTACTACTCATTTAATAATGATACAAAACCACAACTGTTTGAATTCCTATACATGCGCACATTACCAGTCATTCTCACATTTAAGAAAATAAGGACATACAGGTGCTGGTTGGGCCTTCTAAAAGTTGCAAAAGGTAAACCAGCAAAACAGGGTCATACACAGGTCAATATATTAAAGTAAAAATGATCATTTGAATGTATATGTTTGAATGCATTATATCTTTTAAGGGGCATTATCGTCACCAGAACCAGTGTAGCTTAATGTAGGGTTTTTTTTGTGCCTATAGCCTGTATCAGAGATAAGGCAGTGTTTACATTGCTGCCAGTACCACCTCTAGGCAGCCACTAGAGGTGCTTCCTATCTCTGTGTTCCATTGTGTGCAGCATCTATGTTCAAAATCTTTATACTGTTATTGGCACAGCGCAATGTTTTTCTTCGCATGCGCAATACCTTCCCATTGGGAAAGCATTTGATTACCTGTGATCATTTTAGCGAAAGAGGCAGGGCCAGTGTGGTGAGGGAGAAAGGGTAAATAAACTCACCTTTTAACTCCACAGAGTGGGGGCTGGTCACTTAAATAGCTGGCTTAACACTATAGAGTTAGCAATAGATAAAATAAATAGTAAATGAACCCTGGGCTGTCTCTCTTTAAAAGTGCAGAGTTTTGTTCTAGGCAATGTGTAATGACCTAGCATATCTATGGTATGTGCATGCTGCTCAATGCTGTGGGTCAAGTCTCGCACTGAACCTGTACTCTAACTGATCTTCAGGATTCCTGAAAGGAACAAGCTTGTTCAGATTCCTAAAATTCACTTTTTATAAGCCAAACTGCCTGTAAGCCTCTTAAACGACACCTAATATTTTTTGCCTCAATCTATTTTAGTTTCACTAATAGATGGAACGTTTAGTAAAACAGATTGTCCTTGTTGTGTGGATAACATGACTTTAAAAGAAACCTTCCCTCCTGTTTCAGCAACAGGAGCACTCTTCACAATGAAGCCCGCATGTTGCCCTAGTGGCCATTTCCCTCAAAATAATTATGGAAAGTAAAATGAGATTCCGTGTACTGGTTCCTTCCATGTGTCTCTATAAAGTGAGACCACCATTAACCGTCTAGTATTATTCAGTGTCTGGAATTGGGAAGGCAAGATACTCTTCAGCTTGGCTGTTTCTTTAACTTCATTGTTTTGGCGAGAAACTTTAAATTGCTGATCTACAGAATAACTGTTTGTCTCCGTTTCTGGTTATTGTTTTCCTTTACAAAGTCTTTTTTGTAAGAAATTTGTGTTTGTACGTTTTACTGGAAAACACTTAAGATGTTTTTTCCATATTTGATGGAAATTGCAACATATTGACTAGAGGTGTAAGACAGAATGTTTTGAATATCCAACAAAAAACAGAAAATCAAGAGCTATATGAAAGATCTGGTTAATGAGCTATTGGCCATGTCTGCTTTTATTCAAGCTCCCTGCTAAATACGAGCTGCTAAAAACATGTGCATTGTGTGTGGTTGCAGAGCTGCAGTTTGCCATATGCTACAGAATGCACCTTCTCGACTTGCTATGGAACAGGAGCTGCTGTCTATCTGTGTAGGTGAAATGGTATGAGCTGCTGTTTGGTAGGGTCTACTGCTTGTCATAGTTAGAAGCTGCTGTCTGCTTTACATGTGATGTGATATAGGTGGGAGCTGCTGTCTGCTTTCTTTTAATGTGATGTGAAACAGGTAGAAGTTGAGGTCTGCGTTCTTTAAATGTGGGTAGGAGGTGCTGTCTGCTTTCTTTACGCGTGGTATGATATAGCGTCTGCTCTCTACATTTGATGGGGCTAGGAGGTGATGTCTGCTTTCTTTTTTTTTTTTTATCTTTTAATTGTCTTTTTTTTTTTCATTGACATTAATCTTTACAAAAAACATACAGAGCACAAACAATATAAAAACAGTACAAAAACCAATACAGAAAATACCAAAAAACAAACCCAGCACCCTACGAGAGTTCCCCAAAAATTTCCATCTATTACTACGAATTAGATAAAATAGTGATTTACATCTCCCTTAGTTTTTTCTCCCAAATGGCCCATAGACTAGAATTGCTATTTAGAAATTAACAGTGATCTCTCTCCATCTTAAGTTGGTTGGCAGGTTGAGAAGTTATTTGTTTGATGGAATAAACATTGTTCCCCTTCCAATTTCTTGCTATTACAATCTTACAAGACATTAAACAATGTGTGATCAGAAAAAGTTCAGGTTTCTTACATTTTGGCCAGTTACAATGCAATAACATTACTTCAGGTTTTAAAAATATTTTTAACATTACACAATTTGTATATATTAGCTTGAGCCCACTGCCAAACTACGACCACTTTTTTACAGGACCACCACATATGAAGCTAATTTCCTTTATGTTTTCTACAATTCCAGCATTGAGCATCAAGATCCGTTGCAAATTTAGCTATTTTCACTGGAGTCATATACCAAAAATGTGTTAATTTAAATTGTTTCTAATAAGACAAAGGAATGAACATATTTATTGATTTTATGAAAGGAAAATGACCATTCCTTTATATCGATATTTTTACTTAAAGGGGCACCGTAGGCACTGTATCTGCTTCATCTCATTAAACTGGAGTCCCCTGGTACCATCATTTCTTTCAGCATTAAACAGTTTTTAATGTTGTAATGTTTTAATGCTAAACAAGAGTCCATGGCAGTCTATCCCTTCTGTGCTGATTTAGCTAATAAGGAAGTATTACCCTGAGAGGCAATGGGCAGCTGTGATTGGCTGAGTGTGTCTAGTGGCTTTTAACCTGTCAGAGCTCCAACTGACGGTATGAATGGGTATGACAACAAGGAAGTGTGTAATCTCTGCCTTAGCTACACATACAGAAGGGGCCGGACTGTGGGTGGCCAGGGACTCTTATTTTGTGGCATACTGCACAAACATGGTGCAACACTGAATGGAGGGACAGTGCCAGGCCACTCCAGGCACTATAACCAATTCAGAGACAAAGTGGTTATAGTGACTACAGTGTCCCTTTAAGTCACTGTTCCAGTTTTTAATAGCAGTGGGTATTGCCAGATCATAAGCACCCTCTAAAATTCTAATACATCTAGAGAACAGCTGTTTTATTTTACTCTGCTCTAAGATAGTCTTTAAAATATCGTACAGGGTTCCTTCTGTAACTAAGGTGACCTTCTATAAAAAATGCTTAACTCTAATATAAGAAAATAATTCATTGTCAGGAAGGTGGAACTCATTTACCAACATCTTGAATGATTTTATTTTGCTATCTTTAAACAAATCTCTAAGTGTATTAATCTGATAGGTTTTTCCAAGATTTCACTGTTACATTTTCAATACTGATTTCTAGTACTTTAAAACTTTGAAAATCGAAAATTATATCATCCATATCTTATTTATTTTTTTTGCCAAATAGGAATAATCTGTCCAAGAATATAAAATCCTGTTAGCTGAATTTTTTTTTTATATTCCAAATAAACTCTAAGGGGTCTTTTACTTTTGTTGCTTCTAACTCGAATTCCAGAATTCTTCTTTATTTTGTTCTAACAAACTAACCATGATATCCATAATTATTCCTGCTTCATAGTATTTTTGGTAATGTTTGGATACCCTAATCCTCCATTTTTTTATTCCTCTTGATAATGTTGTATTTTTAATTCTGGTCTTTTTTTGCCAAAGTTTGAAAAAGCCGTATTTATCATTGACAGCCACGGCTTTGGAATTTCCAAGGGCAACATCCTAAACAAATAAATCCACTTTGGCAAAACGTATGATTTCAAAATATTTATTCTACCTCCCCAAGATACTTCTAATTTTTTCCATTCTTTTAAGTTTTTATTTGTTTCCTTAAGAAGATTCATAAAATTTATACACATGATATTTTTGATATCCTTCGAAATTTTCTTACCCAAATAAGAGCATGTCTTAGTATTGATAAAGCCAAATGCTTCTTGATATAAATCTATATCTTGTTTTGGCAAATTTATTTATTTATTTATAATTTATATATTTTATTTCTAAGTGAACCGTCAATCTCGCTTCCAAATGTGATGGAGGAGATACAGATGTACAGTACGGTTTCAAACTACAAGTTAAATAATACTATATATATATATATATATATATATTTAGTATTATTTAACTTGTAGTTTGAAACCGTACTGTACATCTGTATCTCCTCCATCACATTTGGAAGCGAGATTGACGGTTCACTTAGAAATAAAATAGCGTTGTCAGCATATAAAGATAATGTTATTTCTCCTTTTTTTTTATTTTTTTTTTATACATCCTTTAATCTTAGTATTTTGTCTGATTTTACACTCCAGTACTTCCAGTGTCAATATATAAAGTATAGGGGATAAAGGACATCCCTGTCTGGTCCCATTCTTTAAGTTGAACCAGTTTGAACACAAACCTGGGCCTATTGTTCTGGCCATTGGAGATTTATATAAAGCAAAAATAGTAGTTAGAAGCCATCCTTGTATACCTATTTCTTCTAATGTACACTTCATAAAGTCCCAGCTGACCCTGTCAAAGGCCTTTTCGGCATCTAAAGACAGGATCAGCATGGGACCTCCATTTGTTTGAGCTAAATCCAAGACATCTATTAATCTTCTAATGTTGTTATTTGCCATTCTATCTGGCACAAAGCCAGAACTTTGAGTCTTCCAGCAATTATAGAACATTGATTTAAATTGATTTAAAGTAATTGGGCGGTAACTTTTGACATTGGTAGGATCTTTCCCTGGTTTCAAAATTGGTATAATATTAGCTTTTATCATTTCACTTGGGAAACTACCTTTATTAACTACGAAATTTTTCATTAGCTTAAAAAATGTGTTCCCAAAACCATCCGTGCCTGGAGTTTTGTAATTTTCAAGACTGTCTATTGCTCTATTAATCTCTTCCTCCGTTACCTCTTTATTTAAGTCCGAGATTTGAATGTCTGTTACTTTATTTAAAGGACCACTCTAGGCACCCAGACCACTTCAGCTTAATGAAGTGGTATGGGTGCCAGGTCCAGCTAGGGTTAACCCATTTTTTCATAATCATAGCAGTTTCAGAGAAACTGCTATGTTTATGAATGGGTTAAGCCTTCCCCTATTTCCTCTAGTGGCTGTCTCATTGACAGCCACTAGAGGCGCTTGCGTGCTTCTCACTGTGATTTTCACAGTGAGAGCACGCCAGCGTCCATAGGAAAGCATTATGAATGCTTTCCTATGTGATCGGCTGAATGCGCGCGCAGATCTTGCCACGCGTGCGCATTCAGCCGACAAGGAGGATCGGAGGAGGAGAACTCTCTGCCCAGCGCTGGAAAAGGGTAAGTTTTAACCCCTTTCCCCCTTCCAGCGCTGGGTGGGGGCACCCTCAGGGCACTATAGTGCCAGGAAAACTAGTATGTTTTCCTGGCACTATAGTAGTCCTTTAACTTAGCTGATTTAATATATTCTTAAATTTTTTTTTATTTTTTTTTTAATTTATTTTTTTATTCTTTATTTTTGTGTGAATGAGAGTGACAGGCATTCTTCCAGTGCCCCAACAGCAATGGCAAGATAATGAGCTGACCAATGCATAACCGTTATAAGGCATTTGATTGTACTACACATTTTTTTTTTTATGGTGATAAGGAGTACAGGCTAGGCAGAGCATGTCTAGCGGAAATTCTAAGCAAGATCTTCTATTCTATGCATGCAAGTTAATAGACATGTAACTATATAAAGTTTGTAACGTAGATTGTGAGACATGATATTGGTACTGGGTTAAAGCAGTGAGACAGCATGGTTATACCAGGCTAATAATGGGTTCTGGCGTGGGCTCTAGGTTGTCAGATGGTATTGGACCACTGGCCTCTGGCGTGCCTCAAAATTGGAGCCGTAAACAGTAAATAGTTAGCATCCCCCTTGTGTTATTGGCAGGAGAGGGAAAGTATAAGGGAAAGAGGGAGAGAGAGAAAAAAAACAAAAACGAAGCAGTAATGATATGATTACATAATGGCAGGCAGTGTGTTATTGTTAGTGAGTGAACACCAGTCCAAGATGAGACGACTCTGTGGTCACCACCCTGGGAGCGGAGCTTGTCCTGTGTCTGGTTCATCCGATCCCCGCTTGTGGCATATGTGGGGCCCGTGTTTGAGCGTTCCGGTGATCGGTGTTGGCATAGCAATGCAGGGCGTCGTTTCCGCCCCCAGGCTTGGACGAGTGCCTGCTTCATTTTCATGCTGACTCTGGTGTTCTCAGCCTCTTCCTTCTCTCTGGGTAAGTAGTGGGTTTAGATTTTATGCGCCTGTGCCGAAGGGTGATCCTCCGCTTTGGCGCCTGATGCTTGGAGGTTGTGCTCTGAGGGGTTCTCAGCCCGGGCGGGCGAGCAGATGAGTGAGTGGGTGCAGGCTTGTGTGCTTTGCCCGGGGGAGACAAAAAAAATGGTATATAGGTTGCGCTATAGGGACATGAGAATAATAAGTAAAATAAATATATATATTTAAACAGAATAAATAAAATAATAGTCCCAATACTAGAATGTCTTTAATTACACCTGTAAAAGTACTTGAATATGGAATGAGTCCAATGAGTAGCTGGATCTTCTGATGCTGAAGGTATCTCAGTTCAAATGTAGATATGTAAAAGAGACAAAAATACTCCAATAGTGCAGATTGCAAATCGACAAGTTGAGAGATAAAAACAAACGGCAGATAATCCACTCACCTATTCATGAGCATGGACTAGCTCAAGTTTTCATAGCATTCAGTGGCGTCAATCCCCCACTGGTAGGATATAGGGGGTGAAATTAGGACGAGCTCCTCGGTATATAGAGAGATAAGAAAACGATATAGTGCTCACTGAATTAATGGAAAGGTAAATAGATAAAAGCGATAGAATACTCACATATATATGAACAGAATATGCTGCTCAATATAATAGCACAGGTGGTATTATCCCCACCTAGTATTCTTGGGCAGGTGCGTGCTCCCTGTTTTTTTTATATCTGACATATATATTTATATTGTTACTATTAATAAAGGAATATTGGCCCTTTTAGTAGCCTCTATATACCTTTTATTATTTTACCTTTCGTTTTATACCTGGTTACCTGTTACATCGGCGCACGCACCTGCCCAAGAATCCTAGGTGGGGATAATACCACCTGTGTATTATACTTACACCCCCTATTCTTAATTTTTTTTAATAGACGTAGTTTCCGTCAGACTATAAAGCTTGGCATAATAGTCGTTGAAAGCATTTCCTATCTCCTCGGGCAAAAGGCATAGAGTTTCATTACTCATTATTTTATCTATCCTATTGCTTGTATTTTTAGTTTAAGCTTATTGAACAATATTTTATCTGCTCTATTCATTTTATGATAAAATTTGACATTTAATTTTTTCACAAATCTTGTCTTGAATACGAGATTTAATAAGCGCTATTTTTATCTGATTTTCTTTGCTGGGATTGGCACTATTTTCTTTACTTAAATTATTAAATTGAATGTGCAGATCTTGTAAACTAGCACCATTTTTTTTTTTTTTTTTTTTTCGTTTTAATTTCTTTAACATAATGCAATGGCCCCTTATTACTGCTTTTATATGAACACCATAAGGTGGCTTCATCTACCTGTCCATTGTTGATTTCTTAGAAGAAAAGCTTGGTCATTTTATCTAAATGCTCCATGTTATCCTTATCTGTTAGTAGAATATCATTTAACCTCCAAGTATTCTAATTATTTCTTCTGAAGTTACTATTTTTTAATTCTAGAGAAACACTATTATGATCAGACCAAATTACTGGTTTTATTTCTATTTTATGAATTCTTTCTATTAATTTCAGTTCTCCAAATATATAATCTATTCTCAAATAAGAATCATGAGGCCAAGAATAGAATGTAAATTCTTTAGCATCTGAGTTTTTAATTCTCCAGATGTCATATAATCCTTCCCTTTTTAAAAAATTATTAAAGGTTCTTGCATTTTTTACAACTTGGTTATCCCAAGTCTTTCAGAAAATGTATCCATTTTGGGGTCATGTGTACAGTTAAAGTCTCCGGCATATATCTTTAAACCTACCCTGACCGTTTCAACTTTATTTAATACTTTTTTTTTTTTTTTTTATTCAGGTGATCTGTTTTATTAGTAACAGGAACAAACAGAAGTTGGTATTTTAATTCCAATTGAGATAATTGCAATATTACATCAATTGTATGGGAGTAAGAATTTGACAACAAAGTTAAAATATACGAACAGGAAAGCTCAGTACACAGTGAATGCATGACATTGTTGCACATCTATTAGATTGTCTTTGAGTATTATGTTTTTTTGTGGACTGGCTGCGGGTTTTGGCTCAGGAAGAGATGGACTCCATTGTCCACAATGAGCCTCTTGTTGCTCGAACTGCTGTTACTTTTGATCAACATCGTGAACGTTTACCATGGCGTTGGGGGGAGGGTTGAGGTGGAAGGGGCAGGAGGATGTCAGTTGTGCACCTGTATGTCGGATGCCAGTGGGTTACGTGGTGTTGTTTTTGAGGTATGTATTCCAAGGTTCCCAGGTGGCAGTGTATAAGTGGTATTAGTCTGTTATAGAGTGGCAGGTCTCCTCCAGGCCCCTAGCAGTCTCAACCCTTTGTATCCATTCCCGTATGTATGGGGGATTTGGATGTTTCCAATACACAGGAATGAGTTGGTTTGCGGTTGAGATCAGGTGGAGTAGCAATGTCGGTTTGGGTAATGGTTGGGGGGGCATGAGGAAGATGAACGTGTCGGGGGTGAGCGGGAGATGAATGGATAGTATTGTTTGAATCAGGCACTGTATACATTTCCAGTACTCCTGTATTGTTGGGCACGACCACCATATGTGTGCCGAGTTACCTTCTGTGGCGTGGCACCTCCAACACTGGTTAGGAAGTGATGGGAAGAGTGATTTTAATTTGGTTGGAGTGTAGTGCCACCGCACTATTATTTTGTAGTTCCCTTCTTGTGTAAGTGTGTTGCGTGATGAGTTGTGGATTTGTCGAAATATGTAGTGCCATGTGTCTGGAGTGAAGGCCATATTGAGTTCTTTTTCCCAGGATGTGGTGAAGCCTTGTGGGTTTTGGGGTTGGGTGGCTAAGATTGTGTTGTACATTTCAGAGATGAGCTTTTTCTTTATGGTTTGTTCGTGACAATGTTGTCGAATCTAGTGTGTGCTCGGTGTGAGTTGTGTGCAAGAGGTACTGTTAGGATAAAATGGGTGAGTTGATTGTATTGGAACTTGTGTATTACCGTTTGTGGTTCTATGAGGGAGTCAAGGGATTTTATCGTTCGACCCCCATGAGGTCCCCTAGTTTCAGGTAAGTTGAGTCATGGTATGTTTTAAATGCTTTACCGTCTTCTCCTGGTTGGAATAGGGGGTTGTGTGTGATCGGGTATTGTGGGGACGGATGAGGGGATATTTTGTGGTGTTGCCGTAGTCTAGCCCACATGCGTAGTGTGGGAGATATAGTGGGGTGTGGGGCTTGAAGAAGGAGAGTGTGGCCCGATTTTTGCCATGGTATTGTGAAGATTGGCGCTCTAAAGAATGTGCCCTCTATTTGCACCCATTGTTTGGTGGTACATGTGGATGTCCAGTCGTAGAGTCTAGTTCTGAGAATTGCGTCGTGGTATTTTTCGATATCTGGGAGCCCGATGCCTCCTTCCCCCCCTTGGTCTTGTAAGAAGAGAGTGTGAGAGCCGGGGATTTTTATGGGCCCATATATACGTTGAAAAGTTACCAATGTGAACCAGTTTTTAGGGATCATAATAGGTAGGACCTGTAGGAGGTACAGGGGTCTGGGCAGTATGTTCATTTTTAAAATATTCAGTCTGCAAAACCAGCTAAAGTGTGGTTTGTTCCAGGTATTGAGGTCTGCTATTATGTTTTTCATCAGTTGTGGGAAGTTACTGTCAAATATGAGGGTCGCGTCTTTGGTGATGTGAATTCCTAGATACTTGATGTTGTGGGGAACCCATGTGAATTGGTGTTCCTTTTGTAGTTTGAGTTTTTCCTGGGGGTTTATGTGTATGGGTAAAATCTCGCATTTGCTGAGGTTTGCCTTGAAGTTGGATAGTTCACTATATGTTTTCATTTCCGCCATTAGAGGAGGTATTGAGGTGATAGGGTCTGAGATAGTAAAGAGCATATAGTCGGCAAATGCTGCTATTTTATATTCCTCTCTACCGGCTGTGATTCCCTTAATTCGTGTGTTATCTCTTATCCCCTGTAGGAAGGGTTCTAAGACTAATACGAAAAGTAGAGGAGAAAGGGGGCACCCCTGCCTAGTGCCATTTTTTATTGTTACTGGTTCTGAGAGTTGTCCATTTATTTGGATATTTGCTGTAGGGTGCGAGTATATAGCATTGAACCATTTCTGCCAGTGTGGGCCAAAGCCCATGTGTTGTAGGGTGGATAATACTAGGTTCCAGTCTAACCTGTCGAACGCCTTTTCGGCGTCGATTGACAGGAGGAGACTGGAGCATCGCGTTTGTACGGCCTGGTGTATAAGGCTGAGCAGTTTTGTCGTGTTATGTTTAGCCTCTCTGCCTGGGATGAAGCCCGATTGATCTGCGTGTATGAGCCCTGGGAGCAGTGGACGTAGCCGATTTGCCAATATTTTCATGAAAAGTTTCAGGTCTACGTTTATCAACGAGATTGGTCTGTAGCTTCCGCATTGGGTCAGATCTTTACCTTGTTTGGGGAGGAGGGTAATTGTGGCATTCAATGCTTGAGGGGGAAGGGTATCTGATTTAAGTAATGTGTTAAATGTGTTCTGGAACTAAGGTGTGAGTATCGTGGCAAATGTTTTATAGTATTTTGCTGTGAATCAGTCTGGGCCTGGACTTTTCCCCATCGGTAGGTGTTTTATCGCTGCTAGACATTCATCTGCTGAAATGGGGTTATCTAAGGCGTCTCGTACGTTTCGTGGAATGGTGGAATGTATTCTCTGTTAAAGGAATTCCTGTATGTCGGGGGTTTGGGGAGGGGTTTGTCTCAAGTTGTAGAATGAGGAGTAGTAGCCCTTGAACGTCTTTAGAATGTCTGTCATTGAGTGTGAGATGTGTCCCTCAGAGTTTTGTATGGCTGCTATAAATGTATGTTCCCTTTGCTTTTTGAGGGCATATGCTAGTAGGCGCCCACATTTACCCCCTTGTGCATAGTAGTTGCTCCTCTTTTTGGCCAGAGCATGTTTTGTGCGTACATTTAAGATAATGTTAAGTTCCGTTCTTTTGTCAACTAGTGTTTTGTACGTGGCAAGGTCGAGGCCCTGTTTGTGTGAGTTTTCTAGTTCCCTAATTTCCCTAGTTAAGCGGGACGTTTGTGACTCCCTTTGCTTCTTGAATCTCGAGGCTTCTTTGATGATCGTACCCCTAATTGTGCTTTTGTGTGCTTCCTACACCACTGGGTAGGGTGTGTCTGGGTGGACGTTTAACTCGAAGTATTGTGTTAAAGAGACCCCTATTCTGTTTTTTGTATCTCCGGGTGGTTTAGCAGTGTGTCATTGAGTTTCCATTGCGTCCTGGTGGGGTGTAATGAAGGGATTGCTATGTTCATGGAGATTGGTGCGTGGTCTGACCACTTAATCGCAGCATATTCGCATGTATTAACTAGGTTTAGGAATCTATGTGGAAGAAGGAACATGTCAATCCTGGAGTATGAGCCGGAAGAGTGTGAATAGTAAGAGTAGTCGCGGTCTGCTGGGTGTGTGGTGCGCCAGCAGTCGTATAGTTGGCGGGAGTCTAGGATTTTTTGGATATTTGTTCTTGTGGATGTCTGATATGATTGGGCCTGTGAAGTGGTGTCTAGTGCCCTATCTAGGGATATATTTAGGTCCCCCCCAAGATCAATAGTCCCTCTAGAAAGGTTTCCAATTTTTTAATTATGGTTCGAAAGGCCTGAAATTGTTTTCTGTTAGGTAGGTAGATATTGGCTAAGGTGACTTGGGTCGAGCCTATCAGACCCTTTAGGAAGATAAATCTGCCTGTGTTGTCTATCAAGAGGTCTTTGTATGTGAACGGGAGGTGTGAGGAAAGCAGAATTGCCACTCCCCTGGATTTTGAGCCGGTGTAGTTACTGAAGTAGCCTTTTGTGAAGTGTCTCGACTTGAGTGAGGGTGCTGAGTCTTTGCGGAAGTGTATTTCCTGTATGAAAATTACTTCAGCCTTATGTTTATTATAGCCTGTGAGTGCCATGTGGCGTTTTTCGGGGGTGTTCAGTCCCCTGGCATTGTGTGATAGGATCGTCACTGTTGCCATCACGGGATACTGGAAAGGTTGGTGTGAGGGGTACGGGGGAGTTTGGTCCTTAGGTATATTGGATATTCTATTTGGTGTCTACCAAGTTGAACAAAGTGTATGAGCGGGTGGTGCGGTTTTGTACTGAGCAAGCTGTTTCAGAAATTACAATACAAATAAAAAAGAAAAGAGAAGAGAAAAGATAATCCAAAATTAACTATTTACAAGGGATCTAATCTGTCGTTAGGTCCGGTCTTCGATTTCTGTGTGGTTCACTTTGTTGCTCTCTGGCAACTGCGTGAAAACTCCACAGATGCCCTGGTCTCTGCTCTTTGAAGCGTTGCCACTTGCGTAGTTTTCTGCCGTTTAGCCGGGGATCTCCATTTCGGTGCTTGCTGTGTTGGAGAGGTGGACAGTGCCGGGTCCGGTGCGTACCAGTCCCCAATCAGCGTTTCTGTCAGGCCCAGTGCTTTGCAAAATGCAGGTATATCCTGGTGGGTGGCAATAGTATGTGTGGATCCTCTGGTGTTGACTATTAGAGCGAGTGGGAAGCCCCATCTGTAGCGCATATTGCACGCTCGTAGCTGGTCTGTAATCGGCCTTAAAGCCCGCAAAGTGAGCCATGATAGGTCTTGGTAGATCGATATTTCATGACCCTGGAATAGCATGGGGGTGGATGTATCTCTGTTTTCTGATTATGTCTTCTTTTAGCGCGTAATAGTGGTTGCGGCATATAACATCCCTTGGTGTGCTTTCTTGCCCCGTTCTAGCTTTCAGGGAGCGATGTGCTCTGTCCAGGACCACTGGAGTGTCAGGTTTGCGGCCTAGAATCAGGTTAAACAGTAAAGAGAGCGTGGTGTATAAGTTTCCCCCTTCTGTTTCTGGAATGCTTTTTATTCAGAGATTATTTCTACGGCCCATATTGTCAATGTCGTCTAATGACCTTTGCATCATGGACATGTGTCTTTCCTGGGCTTTTACTTTGGCAGACAGGGTCTGCATTTGGGTGTAATAAGACCCCCTTTCATCCTCAAGCTCTTGCACTCTGCGGCCGGCCTGCATAATCTCTGTGCTGAGGCCCTCCATCTTGGTTTGGAAGGTGGTTTCCAGTTTATCTAGCATTTGTGCTAGGTCTGTTCTGGATGGCAGATTTCTTAATATCTCTTTGATATCCATGTCCGCTGAGGTTGTGGAGATGTCAGAGGTAGTGGGACTCGGTGGGTTCGAGTTCCCCGCCATCGGCGCCATGTTGGATTCGCCGAGGTCGGACCCGCGGTCGACGTAGTCCTTAAAAAGACGGGTGACCGTTCCAGTGTTTTCCCGGTGTGATGGGGGTTTGGTTGAGCTTTTTGGGGATTTCCCATTGTGTTGTTATACCTCCGGTAGTCGCGAATTTCGCTCCGTTTTGCTCAGAGCTCCGTCTGTGTGCTGCCATACAGCTCGGCTGCTAGACACGCCCCCCTTTATTTAATACTTGTCTTAATAAACTCATAGGATTTTTATTGAGCAAGTAGACATTTACCAAAGTAAATAGCTCTTCATTAACTGAACATACTAATATGATGAATATACCTTCCAGGTCTGCTTCTATGTACTTTACATTAATTTTAAGGGCTTTAGAGAAAAATATTGGCACCCCACCTCTTTCCCTGCTCTCTGGAAGCACATCTTTTTACAGGAAAAAATCTGCTAACCCATCTTTTTTCATCTTGTTTACATCAATGAGTCTCCTGAACATCCTCCCTTCTTAAATAATCTTAAAAAGCACGTCGTCTTTGTGGAATGTTCAATCCCTGAATATTAATCGTTATCATTTTAACCATATTCAAATATCCTTTTTATATTCAGAATGAGCAGCTCTCGTAACCATACAAGCAAGCTAATACAAAAACGCTTACCTGGGACATCACCTACGTACTCTAATAACATATAAACATACATACAGGAGACTCTAAAAAGTCAAAAACAACCAATTTACTGGGTGGGTCTTGTTGCCCACTGTTTAACCTTTACATAGGTTTGATGGTAGAGGCTGAGCCCCAGAAAAAGGGAGATCATTGGTTATTATTGCATTGAAATTTAGGTGAAGCTATCATGTAACAGTTAACCCATTCTCTCCTGTTACACCTCCTATATTATTTTTATATAGAAATGTCTATACTACAAAAGCCCATTAATTAATTGACTTAATATTTTTATCAGTAATAAAAGTTAATCTAAAGTTTGACCCAGACTGTAGAGATCCTGACTTGATATCTTTCTAACCCTTTTTCCTCTTCTGTTCACTCTCCCTGTTCCCCTCCTTCCTTCAATCTTGGAAGAGAAGAGAAGAGGAGAGGGGGAGAAAAAAACATTTTTCTCCTCCACTATTCCTTCCCTTTATATAGTGAATCACTTCTATTGTTCTGTTGTGCCCACAAATAATTATATTTCTTATATTAACTTAAATATAACTTTATTTTCTATTATTTCCATCCTTTATAGTGACTAACTTATATTTCTATAATAATTGTGACTCTTTATACTCTGGTGACCCAATAAAAAATGTGGTACTATTCTTTTATGATAATCGTAAGTGCCTCATGCAGTATTACATTATTTCAGTGCCGTGAAACTCTTCTAATGGTATAATCAAAATTCGCATATCTTCTTCCCATTTTGCTTTACATTTATATTACATGACTTGAATTCTAGATAAATTTTGTTACATTTTTTTTTACAGAAATATTCTAACTCTAGAAGAAGGAAAAAAACAAAAACGTATTCTCTTCCCCTTTTCTGTTCCTCGTTATAGTGACTAACTAGTCTTTCTCTAATAATTATGACTCTCTAAATTCAGCTAAAAACTAATCAAAAACTTATTACTTTTTCTTTCTCTATAATCCGAAGTGCCTCATTTATGTACTTTCTGTTGGGGTGTTACATTATTTCAGTGCCGTGAAACTCCTCTAGTAGTATAATCAAAATTCATATATCCTCTGCCTAATTTACTTTATATTTATATTGCATGACTTAAGTCCTAAATACACTTGTTGAAACTCTTTTTTACCAAAATAAATAAATAAAAGTCAGCAGGCACTCATTCAGTCCAGGTCTTCCATTTTTAATTTATTCCGTAGTGGAAGCTTGTTTTTTTTTTTTTTTTTTCTTCGTTTTAATCCATTCTTCAACCTGTGATGACGTATCAAAAGTCTCCACTATTCCTTCTGAAATGATCTTTATTTTGCTTGGGTAGATCCATGAATATTTTATGTTTAAGCTTCGCAGGATATTCGTGGCCTCCATAAATTTCCTCCTTTGCATTATGGTGTAGAAAGATAAATCTTGGAGAATCTTAATATTTCCAAACTCTGCTTCTCTAGTAGGACTTCTAGCTGCCCGTAATATGGCTTCTTTAAATTGAAATGATTGGAAATTAACTATTAAGTCTCTTGGTAGATGGTGAGGAATCGATTTGGGTTTATTTAGGCGATGGAATCTTTAAATTCTGAGCGTCTATTTTGAGTACTGACCATAATTTATCTAAATACTCAGGAATTTTTTCTTGTGTGACCGCCTCCGGGATATTTCTTAACCCTAAGTTATTTCTTCTTGAGCGATCTTCTAGCTCTCCTATTTTTCCTTCTAATTGTCTCAGGTGTGTATCTAATTTCTGGTTTTGCTCTTTAAGTACTCTGCCTTCAAATTCAAGACTTAAAATGTTCTCTTCATTTAACTTTAATTTCTCCATTATATCTCGGAGTGGATTTTTGATGTCTGTAGAATTGTTGTTTAATTCATCAGTTATTGCTACCAGTTTTTCTTCCAGGCACTGTTTCAAGAAAGCTGCTGTAATATAATTTTCTGATTGGCTAATCAAACTTTGCATAGAATATTCATCTTTCGACATAGAGAGGAATTATCTAAATTATTTTTCTCTACAGACGACTTTTTTGTCGGAAGAAAAAAACTTGAGGGGTCCTTTTCACATTTTTGTTCCTTATGTTTTATTTATTTTTTACAGACACTTTCTCTGAGGATTTAGCAGGCATCATCTTGATATGATAAGACTAACTGCCAGTACAGGAGAATATAAAAATATGTTCCCTGATTTTACACTTTGATTGGCAGTATTAATTAAGCCATTTCACATATATTAAAAAAAAAAAAAAAAAGGCAGCTGAAACTTGTTAGACCTTCTGATCCTTTTTCTTCTCTTTCTCAGATTGCTTTGAAAGAAACAGTTTTTTTTTATCTACCAACTTTGCAATACTGTATTTGTTTAATAGTATGGGATATATTGTATATTATATATTTCAAATTCCAATATAACTTAGCATATTTCCACATATAAAAAGGCAATATGAATATTTGAAGAGTACTTAGCTTAGCCTATAGCAGCTGCCACCTCCTATTTTAGGACTGTCGATTCCACGATTTTTCAGCTTGTCAGGGGCAAAACCTTGCTGCAAACCAGCCTTTGGTGTCTATTCAATAACTTAATTCCCCCGTTCGTCTATTATTCCAAATGTACTCTCCAACAGGGTGGATCTGACCTGCAGTCTGTCACCTGCCAGGAGCTTTACAACTTTGTTGTCACCAGAAACTCTCCCAATAAAGCAGATCCAATTTGGGCTCATAGTCTCCGCTAACTCTAGTATGAGCAGCTAACCCATATAATAAAATGGTATTACGCGTCCAGACCCGCGGCTTCAGACTCACGATCAAACTTGCTTTTTCACTGTCATTTCACCTGACCACCTCCCGCTTGTTTTCACACGCATGAGAGCTCGGTCTCCACCACCTCTGGATGCGTGCGTGCCCCTGCTGTCTGCTTTCTTTATACGCGGTGTGATATAGCAACTGCTGTCAGTTATCTTCACATGTGATGCAATGTGGGCAGGAGGTGCTGTCTGGTTTCTGCTTATTCACGCACAATGCGATATAGCCTTTCTTTACAAGCAGTGTGAAATAGCAGCTGCTGTCTTTCTATTCTGCAAGTTTTCTACACTTGTAAAATCACAACTAAAGTTCAATTAAAGGGACACGACCGCCAAGATAATCACTGTTTAGTACATATACCCCAATGAAAACATGTTTTCATCAATTATTTGGGTGTATTTAATAACCTTTTGTAAAAGCAGCTAATCTCCCATAACACCAGATGGGTCTCTATGTTCACAAGGATTTTTCTGTCCTGTTGAAATGTTCGTAGTCATTGCAGTCCTACACTTAATTTGTTTAAGTTGGCCCTATTCTAGAGGTGAATGGAATCCTATGCTGCAGAGCTGACCCGTTATTTTTGTTTAAATAGGGACTTGTTGTGGAATTTTCAAACCCATGTCATTTTTATGTTCAAATCTACAACACAAAATCAGTGGAATCTCTTCTCAAGATGTCAACTGCATTAAATGACATATACAGAAACCCACAGAACATCCAGAATGGCTATACCCCAGCCATCGGGGAGGTCTGTGTCGCTAAATACTCCCAGGATCAGGTAAGACTTCAGTGTATCTGTCTTGAAAAAGGTGTGTGTGTGTGTGTGTGTGTATTTCCCTTCTGAAGAAAAATATCTGCAAAACTGGTCTCCGACTAACCTTTTAAAAGGATACTATATGAATCACTTTTGTTTCTATTTATGTAGCCCTAGCCACACCTCCCCTGAATGTGGCTCATTCATGGTAGCCACCCGACATGCTTTGCTGCACCTTTAGAATCTTCACTAACTGTCTCTAAAACAAGTCGTTGAGGAGCCAACTCGTAAAGAGGCCATACTAGATTTAGTGTTAACAAATGGAGATTTGGTATCAGATATTACTGTAGGTGAAAGTTTAGGATCCAGTGATCTTCAGTCAGTGTGGTTTAATATAAGAACAGTGACCGAGTCACACCACACAAAAACTAAAGTTTTAGACTTTTCTAAAATTAGAATATGTGTAAAGGAGTCATTATCAGACTGGAGCAATTTAAATGGAGTCCAAGAGAAATGGGATTATTTAAAAGTTGCACTGCTGAAGGCAAGAGAAAATTGCATTAGGCTTGTCCTTAAAAGCAAAAAATTCAAGAAACCACTGTGGTACTCTGCAGATCTGGCCAAAATAGTAAAAAACAAAAAGTTAGCATTTAGTAATTTAAAAACAAAAACAAAGTGAGGAAGACAGAATGATCTATAAGATTATACAGAAAGAGGCTAAGCAAGTTATAAGCGCTTCTAAATCACACACAGAAGAGAAAATAGCAGAGTCTGTAAAAAAAAAAGGGGACAAACCATTTTTTAGATACATAAATGAGAAAAGGAAACTAAAACAAGGATTAGTTAGATTAAAAACAAAAGAAGAAAAGTATGCAGCAGAGGATAAAGGTCTAACTGCCTCAATGAATATATTTGTTCAGTATTTACAGATGAAAATGAAGGAAAGGGGCCTCCGTTAGGAAAAAGGACAAATGAGTCATTTATTACACGTGAGTTTACAGAGGAAGAGGTTCTATTTCAACTGTCAAAAGTAAAGACAAATAAGTCAATGGGACCTGATGGAATACACCCAAAGCTATTAAAAGAGCTTAGTGGTGTACTAGCAAAACCATTAACAGATTTATTTAACCAATCATTGTTAACAGGAGTAGTCCCAGAAGATTGGAAGTTAGCAAATGTTGTGCCCATTCACATGAAAGGTAGTAGGAAGGAGTCGGGTGACTGTAGGCCAGTAAGCCTTACTGCAGTAGTGGGGAAAGTAATAGAAACCATGTTAAAGGATATGATTGTTGAACATCTAAAATCACATGGATTTCAAGATCAGAGACAACATGGGTTTACTTCAGGGAGATCATGCCAAACTAATCTTATTGATTTTTTTGATTGGGTAACTAAAATTATAGATCAGGGTGGTGCCGTAGACATTGCTTACCTAGATTTCAGTAAGGCTTTTGACACTGCTGCAAATAGAAGGCTTATCAATAAATCTTTAAGTTTGGATTCTAATATTGTTGAATGGGTTAGGCAGTGGCTAAATTATGGGCAACAGAGGGTTGTAGTCAATGGGGTATATTCGAAGGTCTAGTTACCAGTGGGGTACCTGAGGTATCTGTACTTGGACCCATTCTCTTTAATTTTTTTTATTAGTGATATTGCAGAAGGTCTTGATGGTAAGGTATGTCTTTTTGCTGATGATACTAAAATTTGCAACACGGTTGATGTTCCAGGAGGGATAAGTCAAATGGCAAATGATTTAGATAAATTAGAAAAATGGTCCGAGCTGTGGCAACTTATATTTAATGTGTATAAGTGCAAGATAATGCATATTGGATGTAAAAACCCAAGGGCAGAGTACAGAATATTTTTTAGAGTCCAAACCGCAACATTCTGAGGAAAGGGATTTAGGGGTAATAATTTCAGATGACTTAAAGGTATGCAGACAATGTAATAGAGCTACTAGAATGCTTGGTTGTATAGGGAGAGGTATTAGCAGTAGAAAGAGGGAAGTGCTCATGCCATTGTACAGAACACTGGTGAGACCTCACTTGGAGTATTGTACACAGTACTGGAGACCGTATCTTCAGAAGGATATTGATACCTTAGAGAGGGTTCATAGAAGGGCTACTAAACTGGTTCATGGATTGCGGGATAAAACTTACCAGGAAAGGTTAAAGGATCTTAACATGTATAGCTTGGAGGAAAGACGAGACAGGGGGGATATGATAGAAACATTTAAATATATAAAGGGAATCAACACAGTAAAGGAGGAGACTATATTTAAAGAAGAAAAACTACCACAACAATAGGACATAGTTTTAAATTAGAGGGACAAAGGTTTAAAAATAATATCAGGAAGTATTACTTTACTGAGAGGGTAGTGGATGCATGGAATAGCCTTCCAGCTGAAGTGGTAGAGGTTAACACAGTAAAGGAGTTTAAGCATGCGTAGGATAGGCATAAGGCTATCCTAACTATAAGATAAGGCCAGGGACTAATGAAAGTATTTAGAAAATTGGAAAGCATATAATACTTTTGGAATGAGAAAGTTTGAATGTGCTCACTGCACATGTGCATTAGGTCCCAATACTCCTCTGAGGAATATTGGAGGAGACCATCCCTCTCTGATGTCATGAGAGGCAGCACCGTGGGGAAAAAGAGAAATACTCTCTAAATCCAATCCAAAATAGAGCATTGGGACCTATTGTGCATTGAATCAATGCTTTCCTTTAATTATTAAACTCAATAGTCTTCAATCGAGCGCCGGTCCGTTCTGCCCCCAAACTTCGGTTGCAGTCCAAGTCTTCAAACAGGACTGCGAAACATGAATCTGTCTCAAGCTGGTTTGTGCATCAGGAGCAAATGATATTCTGGGAGTAAGCATTTACGCTTAGAGTCTCTGTGGCGACTCTGTCCGAGGCTTTCTTTTTGCAACCTCAGACTGCAATGTAAGTTAAGGAGCTGAGTTTACTGGCCCTGGACTGATGACTTTTGGGTTAAATCATTCATTAATAGTTTACACTGAAGGAAAGCCAGCGCCAGGGACCTACTGGCACCACAACAACTTAATTACTATTTAGTTGTTACGGTGCCCAGAGTGTCTTTTTAATACCTACATTTCCCAGTAATTTATTTAAATAGAAACAAAGTGGTTTAAGCCAAATGCCCATTACTGTCATGCTACATATACATACATCTTTCCAATCCTTGTTATCTGCTGCTGGTAGCGGAGACTAGAAGTACAGTAATTGTTGCCACCGTTTCTATTGCAGCATTGGTATAGAGTGTTTGTGCAGGACACAGAAGTCAGCTTGAAGACGGCACAAGTCCTTTATATTGACTATGGGAATCAGGAGACCGTGTCATTCAGTGATCTACAGCAGATGCACAAAGACCTGGAACTACTTCCACCAGCCGTAAGCGTGATGTTTGTAGACTGAGCATGGATGGGGACAATCCGAGGTCCAGATGAAGGGAAACTAAAAACTAACATTGGCATTTCTGTTCTATTACAATAACAGATCTAAGTGTAAATCAAACGTTTCTTTGTGATGGCATTGTGTACACTGGCTGTGTGTTCTCTGTTACATACTGTCTGACAGTCTCTCACATGTGATAGACACTACCAGCAGTGATATCTTTGGGTTCAGTATACTTTATCTAATACAAGCTGTGATATATACACAGATACTAAATGTGTTTTAATAACCTGAGGGCCACAACTAGTAGGTATAGACTGCTTTGTTCATGGATAATTCGGAAGCGAAAGTCATAGCATTGTGAGAGTGCACAACAGAACAGAAGCCATCAGTTTGAATGACTTTCACTCCGTTATTGTTATTTTGCCATCAGTAAATCTTGGAGGACTCCCTAAGTTCTGGCTTGTGATTGCTGTATAGAGTTCTATAGTCAAGTTTCGCAGTCAGTGTGAATTTTGGGGCAAATTTCTATTTAATTTTAGTCATTGTCCTTTTGACCAAAGCACTATTTTAGTTTTAGTCGTATTTTAAACATCTGAATTGTTTTAGTCCACTAAATCTCAAAAATGTTATTCAATTAAAATTGTTGGTCAACTAAATTAACACTGGTCACAGTGTCTGTTGCCGTGGTCACAAATGGGCAGTTCTCCAGCTATTTCAGATCTCTATCTCCCATGGGGTTTGATTATGTTGGGAATGCAGGAAAACTTTGTCGGGTTGTTGTTGAAACCTTAGTTGATGGACTATCAAATATACCTCCTTTATTTAATCAATTGATTCCAACAGGCAATTAAATGTTCTTTAGCAAACATCTCTGCTCCGTCTTGTGGGTGGACCCCCGAATGCCTCTTAGATGTCAGAAAACTGCTCCTGGGAAAACCGCTCGCCATCACAATTATCTCTTGTAGGGCACAAGAGGAAATGCCATCTTACGGGGTCGATATTTTCTTACCATCAGGTAAGGTTTGACCTTAAATACTGTGTTTACTCGTGGGAAGTAGAGTAGCGGTTTCTAGGTAACCTTTTGCCATTTTAACAGGTATTGGACACTCAGGGTTGTATGTCTTGGTTGTAGCTAGCATGGGGGTTAAAGTTAGTGGATTTAATGACTAAATACACTGAACTCCATGTAAATGTTTGTAACTATTAATAGACTTATGCAAAGCAAAAAAAGAAATTCAATTTGTCCTGGAAGAAAATTTACGTTGGATGAACAGAGTTTTGTCCATGTAGCGTTGCAGTTTAGAAAACCAGTTCAGACAAACCAAAATGGTTTACTGCACTGCTAGGCATAGAGTAACTTAACACATGATCAGTGAAACAGACTGTCACTCTCACACTGGCACAGCGTGGGTTAACACACAATCACTGCTGGTCTGACACTGTCACACCCATACAGGCACCGCGAGGCTTAATACACAATCACTGCTGGTCTGACACTGTCACATCCATACAAGCACCGGGAGAGTTAACACACAATCACTGCTGGTCTAACACTAGGATCAGTGACACACTGTCACACCCATACAGGCACCATGAGGGTTGGTCTAGGAATCAACCATCCTCCTCTGCGATCAATCAGCAGCTTATTGGTACCGAAAAACTTAGAAATAAGCTTTTTCTCGTTTGCATTACAGACAGAATTGCCTTTTCCATTGCTTGTTTTTAATTTTTTCTAAATCTGTTCAGAGTTGCAGGATTTGGGCAAATCACACTTCATTTAAAGCCAAACGCACAAGCCTAAAGATTAATGCATTATCCTATGTTAGCTTGGCCATTATCCGTAAAACAGTCACATTCCAAACATCAAACAATGTCCCTTTATTTAGCAATGTTGCCACTTCTACAACGGTCTTTGTCCAGCTTTAATAAAGGCACGTGGCTTGAAAGGATGTGCTGGGATATTTTCTTTCTTGAGAATGTTTGTGCTGAATTCCGTGACCCTGTGTGCTAGGTGCTCCCCTTACTTTGGATTCCGTTATCAGTGAAACAGTCAGCCAGTGCATACCAAAAATAGTTTTTATAGGAAAATGTTGGGTACTACACTCCTGGGGATAAACACATTCTCACTTACACTGTCTTAATCTAGCGAGAAATAACTCTATATATTAAATAAACCTGTCATGTATATCAGTAGCCTTGCACTGTTTAATGTGAAAGTCAAATGTAAAAATGTTAGTAAAAAAAACAAACGCTTGTTGATTTGTACCCTAGTATGTCAGCAGTAAGACCATACTATGGACAGACATCATTGTCTATTGAGAATAAACTGCAGATATATAGATCGGTGGATAGACATTCACCTTCATATATTTGGCAATGATAGCATAGGATCCTGGATCTAGTTATTTATGACTTGTTTTAATCTACCTGAAGCTAACCGGACATTAATAGTTATGTATGATCAGAACCCTGTAACAAGGAATACATTGGGAGTTTATCATTCTGAAATTATTGATCACCTTATAGCTTGCATTGCCAGCCATTAATCTGTGTAGAACATGTCTGTCTTACTATCACAGCCATTGATGCAGAATCTTATTCGTTCACGGCTGATTCATCCATGGGTTTCGTGTTTATGGCCCATAGTGCTATTTTTAATAAGAACTCCTCCTGTTGCTCTGTTTTTGGGAAAGTATAATTCTCTTGTATTTCTTCTTAGGAGTGAATATGGACAAACTGCTTGTAGAGAAAGGATATGCGTTTACCGAAAAAGGAAAAAGTCCCATCCGAAATCACAATCCCCCACAGGAGCGTAAGAGTAACAGTTTGCTGTGTTTTCTGTCCATATCCTAAATGCAATGTTTTTGTGTGTTCATACAGGAGATAAATAGAATAACTTACCATGCTTTCTTTAGATTTTCCCCAGATCTCCACCAGCTAAAAGTTTACATAAGGGATTTTCATTGGTCGTAGCAATTACAGATGTTAACTTTATTAATTTTGTAATCGATCAATGGGTTCCTTTTGTCTTTACATTACTCTCCTTTTGCAGTATCTATTCCAGCTAGCTTTCATGGGTTTTATCAGCAATCCTACCAGTTAGTCATAGATAATGTAATGCAGCCTGATCTCAAGGACCCTCTCCAAAGAGGGGTCTGTATCCTTCTAGCTATCAGAGGGGTAGGTTGGAGACAACCACTTTCTCTTTGGGAATTTGCAGCTCTTGAGGATCTACTGCATGTGTTAGCTGCATGTCTTTTACTTTTTTCTTAAAATTTTGCAGAATAACAAAATCTTTACAATTTGTTTCTGCAGTTCCACACCTGGAGAAAGCCAAAGAACTCCTTGATGGGAAGAGTGAGAATCCCAGCAGTGAATCACAGACACAGACACTGAAAATGATTGCTGTGGCTGTAGGAAATGTTTTCAATGCTGCCATCACAGATATTCAGAGTCCAGACGATTTTTTCTGTCAGCAGCTGCAGAATGCAAGTGCGTACATACTGTCCATTCTTTAGAAGATAAATTGGGTTCGTCACTAAACTCTGAATATGAGCAAATTAAACCTTGATTGGAAAAACCTAGGCTAATAGAACTGATTTGGAAATATTCTTCACTCTGCTATTTCAGTCATAGAATTGCCATTTGGGTTTTTATTTGCTATAAGTCAATGTTTAGGGAATTAGCCAATGGAACTTTATACTTAACGCTAATTATAACCTCTAAGCACCAAGTATATGTAAACCTGTTGCCCAATACCCGTTACAAATTGTACAATGCTGCAGGATATCGTGTTGCTTTACAAATAGTGTTTTTTTTCTTGTGTAGAAGATCTTGCCGAGCTCATGGACAGCATGAGCAAACATTACAAAGTAATGCCGGCCAGTCCTAATTTTGTCCCAGCTGTGGGGGATATGTGCAGCGCACAGTTTACAGGTAACTCACAAGCCAACATTGTTTTTATGCACAGGGGTACAGGTATGCAAATGAGATGTATGACTCTATACGTTGTGACACCTAACAGTGTAATTCAGAGACATTCACACCGGGCGAATAAAAAAGTAAAATAAATGTTGGTGTCTCCTGCCGTGAAATGCTTGGCATTGAATGGTTAATTATTTTTACAGAGGATGACCGCTGGTACCGAGCTAGCATTCTAAAGTACACCTCACACGATTCTGTGCTTGTTGGCTACGTAGATTATGGAAACGTGGAGATCTTACCTGTCTCCAGACTCCGACCCATTCTCCCCAGTATGATGATGTTACCTTTACAAGCCATAAAGTGCCGTTTAGCAGGTAGGAAGCCATTGCGATAAGGTTTATTGCAACAAATGTATTGATTATTAAACATTTTCTCACAATACTATATTCTTCTGTCTTGGCATATAGATTCTTTGCATTTATTTTTTTATTTTTTTTCATATTCCCTCATTAACACAAAGACTGACATGGGAATTCACAATTCTGCTTAGCTGGAAAGAATTAATTTATTTTCAGACTTTTACAGTTCAGTTACTTTGACTTACTATTTACAATTCCATAGTAATTTCCTGCCGCTCAGATAGTGCTTGACCATCTAAATCATGCCTACTATTTGCAGGTGTTAAACCTCCCTCTGAAAAGTGGTCTAAAGAGGCTACAGCTGCCATGATGACGTTAGTTGCCAACAAGATCATCACGGTTAAAGTGGTAGCACAGTCGGAGTTCTCCTTGATTGTGGATCTTATAGATGTGTCCGTGAATCCTGAGCTTCTAATTTCAAATTACCTGATTAAGGCTGGCATGGCAGTTGAAAAAGAGTTGACCACGAGTGCCAAATATCACAGTTTAGAAGACAGCAAGCCTAACGGTAAGTCATGTGGTTTATTGCTTGTAAATAGGCAACGGTCTAATAAAAAAAATTAATTTCTGTCTGCAATCAAGTGAAGTATTGGAGTCCGCACTGTCACGTCATGTCATTTACTGTTCTGACAGGAAAAGTTGTGCTGAGCAAAATTACTGCCCTTACAGGAAAAATTGTGCCGAGCAGCAATCAATCCACAGGAGGGTTTGTACTGAGCAGCAATCATGCAAATAGGAACCTGGTAACTGCCTTTGAGGTCAAAGGCCGGTTACAACCAATCAGATCCACAGGCGGGGTATTTAGGCCCAGTTATCCTCTTGCTCAGTGCCCTTTCGTGGTTTCCCTTGTGGTTGTCCGAGAGCGCGTTACTGATTCTGGTTATTTGACTTTGGCATTTATTTTGTCTTCCCTGTTTTCTGGCATCCCTAACCCCTGGATTTTTCCTTATCATTGTCTCTTTCTGTGTCCCTTGACCTTGGCTATTCCTGACTATTCTTTGGTACATTAGTCCGGCCATTCTAAGGTCCGGTATACGTTACCTATCAGTCCTCTGTTACATAATTCTGCTTGCTGGATCATACTGTAATCCTGACACGCACATGTTGATTATATTATATATGCTTGGTTAATCAGGAGCCCTTCTGCACAGCAATATCTGTAAGCTCCCCCTAAAGGTTTATTCTTAAACTCCCTAAAATGAGTAAAAGAACATTTTTCCCAGTATTCTTTTTTTACAAAATCTATTTCATATGTTATTTAACTTCAATGAACATATGAAATGCATCGTTTTCACTAGTCAATGATCATTGGCAGTTTCCACATATTCCCATGAGAAAAGAGGAACTAATTGGGTCATATTAATGATGAGCAGTGTTAGAGAGCTCAGGGTGTTCTTTTAAAGAGGCACGGTGGTTAAATCCCCACCCCCACCACCACCACCACCACCACCACCCCGTTTTAAAAAGGAAAATGAGCCAAGCAGTCAGGCGGACTTGAGAAAGGAACAGGGGGAAACCGATACATCTGAATATCACCTTTAGAAGGGAGGCACAAAGGCATTACTACCACTATGCAAGCACACAATTTAAAAAAAACACCATAGAGCACTGCCGAACTGGCCAGTAGCCTTAACGAGAGATTGGATAAAAACTGTCTTAGTTAAGCTACCATATCCAGAAGCCCACTTTACCTGCCAATAGTTAAGTCCTGCGCAGACACCTGAAAGTGGGCAGAGCAACAAGACAAGGCACAAGGTCTGAGACCAAACCGTACATGGCACCACTCGTACATACAGGCCACCCCGTACCCGGCCACCAGGCCCAAGACAATATGCACCCCATTTACCGTACGTGTAGCATAGGATTGTGTGTATCCATTGGTAATGTAATGTGCCTTCTGGGTTATGGTATTCACCCCTCCCTTTTTTCTTTTCTGTACCCAACTGCCTCTTCGCTGACTCAATAAAAATTGTCAAATTGAAAAAAAATAAAGAGGCACGGTGGTTACCCTCTTGTAGATGGGTTGTGGGACCGTGGACTGTCATGTTTATAGAATAAAGCTTTTATTAAATGACATAATAGATCATTGAGAAAACATGTGTCTCCTCCTCCTCCTCCTCCTCCTCCTCCTCCTCCTCCTCCGTAGAGGACGAGTCACTGCCGTTGAAATGGATTGAGCTTCCTATTGGACGTCCTGTTGAAGTTTCAGTTTGTGTGCTGCTAAGCCCAGGAGAATTCTACTGCCAGCTCTGCAGTGACAAAGGTAACCGTCAAATAAACAAAGTTATTCACTAAGGAATGGGACAATTGTTGACTGTTCACAGGAAATTCGAAACTTGAGGCCAATCAATATAGCTGAATTGGCGCATTTTTCCAATTTAGATATTTTGTTCTTGAATTTGAAATTCACATTTAATTCCAAACAAATTCCCAACAATTCACACGTTATTGTGGGAGCATGTCACGGGAGCAAGCTTGTAACATATAGAAAACGGCTGCTAGCAGCCATTCCTTCTACCAAGCAAATGTATTGAGGTGTGATAACTCTTCTTTACTCGAAATTTTTGGTCTTGACTGGAGCTTACCCATTATTATATAGTGCGTCATTCAAAGTGCAAAAAATATATTTATTTTTAGGCTGTCTATGCGTTTTGTGTTGTAAAAAGCAAACAAACTTTGTCCGCTTCAGTTATTAGCCAATGCAGCACAGAGGGGATGGACTGATGGGGACTTTTATTTAGCATTAAAAACTGTTTAATGCTGAATGAAATGATGGTACTAGGGGACTCCAGTTTAATGAGATGAAGTAGACACCGTGCCTACAATGTCCCTTTAAAGGAATGCTCTAAGCACCATAACCACTGCAACATTATGAAGTGGTTATGGAGCCCGGAGTCCCCTTGCACTATCCTATGCCTTGAGCAAGCCATTTCCAAACTGATTTACACAGTCTTTTGGGCACCCGTGGTACATCTGGATAGAAGCTCCTAATCTGCTTTAGCAATATCAGATGTGTCCCTGTTCAGAAATCTTTCATTGACTGAGTGTCATTCTTCAGATTATTTTTAAACCGTAAAAGTCCTTAGTTAAATAATCACTAGACCCAGCAGATCGTTAGACAGGGGACACTTTCTAAATTGTTACTTTTTGTATGTTGAAGAGATGAAATGTACATTCTTGTATACATATGCATTTACAGAGTGTAGTAACCGCCTGCTACTTTTAATTACTGAGTAGAGACTGACATCTACTGGTCATACTGCAAATCTTAAACTTGTTAAGTGTGTAATGAATATCATGGGACACTAAATTAAACTTTCTAAATGATTCAGTACTGTTAGAAAAATCTCAAGATGATTTATCAACAAAAAATCCACTAGAATTTAGGTGACATGGAATGTTTTCTAAATGTATTAAATAATTTGGAAAGCGAATTTCAACTGAGGTAAAAGTCTGCTAACTAGACAATTTTGGCACTAGATATCATACTAATATCATTAAAATACATTTAAATACATAAAGGGAATCAACACCGTAAAGGAGGAGGGCTACTAAACTGGTTCATGGATTGCAGGATAAAACTTACCAGGAAAGGTTAAAGGATCTTAACATGTATAGCTTGGAGGAAAGACGAGACAGGGGGGATATGATAGAAACATTTAAATACATAAAGGGAATCAACACAGTAAAGGAGGAGACTATATTTAAAAGAAGAAAAACTACCACAACAAGAGGACATAGTCTTAAATTAGAGGGACAAAGGTTTAAAAATAATATCAGGAAGTATTACTTTACTGAGAGGGTAGTGGATGCATGGAATAGCCTTCCAGCTGAAGTGGTAGAGGTTAACACAGTAAAGGAGTTTAAGCATGCGTGGGATAGGCATAAGGCTATCCTAACTATAAGATAAAGTATTTAGAAAATTGGGCAGACTAGATGGGCCGAATGGTTCTTATCTGTCGTCACATTCTATTTTTCTATTAGTTCACTAATATTCATGGTTTTTATGTATACCATAAATTCGATGCTATTTGTGTATATTTTCAGATTTATCGTCGCTCAGAGAAGTAAACAGGTTGCTGAGTCAGTATTGCTTGAAGCATCAGTCCAAGGATTATAATCCAAAGCACGGGGAGCTGTGTTGCTCCTTTTTCTCTGGTGAGTAAGAGGACACTTAATTTATTATGGCTTCTACACCATGGAATAAAACTGTCACAGTGAAGGTTTTCATAAAGTACTTTTTACTTGCCTACACATGTTAGGATTGTGAGTTTTACTCTATATGAATTGAAAGAAACGTCTGTGTGTAATATAACTGGCAGGACCTTTATTCTAGAACAGTGGCTCTAAATGACCGCTGACCACAAGTTAATTATCTATCTAATATTTATTAAAATTTTTTAACAGGTGATAAAAATTGGTACCGGGCACAGGTGATCAAGCTTATCGAGACTGAGAAAGCAAAAGTAAACTTTTTGGATTATGGGAATGTAGAGGAAGTTGCTGTTGATAAACTTTGCAAAATGCCCTCACAATTTTTGGAACTTCCTTTTCAAGCAGTTAAATGCAGTTTGGCTGGTAAGTTAGTGCCTCACAAACTTATTTTTATATAATAGAGTTGTCATTGGTAAACATAAGTAAAACCTGACTGCCTTGTTAAAGGAACTCTAAAGTGTTGGAAATGGATTATAACTGTGTTCCTAATGCTTCTAGTGTTCTTGTCCTTAATTATATAGGTCTTCCCTCGCTTGTCTGGGCGATAAAAAAATAAAGATTTTACTCCCCTTTTTCCAGCGCTGGGGCTCACTCTGTGCTGCTTACCTCTCACATTGTTAAACCCATAGTCTGATATGCAGCGAGCACCAAACAGACATCCAAACCTCCCCATAGGAGGCCATGAATTCTCCCGCATCACATGATGGCGTTGCACTCAGTGCCGCGGAAGCTTCTCTAGTGGTTGTCATGAAGGCGGCCACCAAAGGTGCATTTAACCCTTCCATGTAAACATTGCAGCTTCTACAAAAGGGCAATGTTTACTTTGTAGGTTTAACAGAAGTGGTGGCCTGGGAGACTTTATTGCTCATGGGAAATACATGGTTATATTTTGAGGGGGTGGGGGGGGTTGTTCCTTTTTAACAGCATGTAAAAATAATGAAGTATGTATTTATTTTTTATACACTTTAGTAAAGGAATTGAGATTGTGTTTGAGAGAGATCACTGAGAATTTCAGATATTGACAGAACACATCTTCACAAAGAGAAATGTTTCTGCTCACTTAGCACCCCACTTATTACTTGTGCTGTGTGGTTTGTAAGTTCAATAAAAAATCTGCTATGAATACAAGAAACTGCACAGTCCCCAGAACACTAAATGCGAGGGATCGGAAGATTTTCTATCTAATAGGATGCTAATAAATTTTTATCTTTCTTTATTTTTCCCCCCCGCTAACAAAATCTGTAGGTGTAAAGCCTATAGGAAATAAATGGAGGCGAGAATCATGTGAGAAGTTTCAGATGTGTGTAGCTGGCCTTAAGCTTCAGGCTAAAGCGATTAGTAAGCATGAAGATGGCTACTCTGTGGAACTTGTGGATACAAAGAGCAGTAAGCTAATCAGCGATGTCCTTATTGCGGAGGGAGCAGCCATTTCTGATGATGACAGGAAAAACCGAATGTCAAGCGGCGACTCTAAATCGGTACACAAAATAAGTTTGCCAGGCACCTCACCCAGGGAGATTACATCAAATAGATATTCTGCAAATGGGGAAGCTCCTGCAGTTACAGATCCATCCGGTCGCAGCATTTTGCCCATCGCAAAACAAACTTCTTCAGTAGAACCGGTGAAGGATTTGTCCAAAGAATCGTCTGTAGTGAATAAAATGACTCTTAATCAACGGCAGGAAGGTAAGGACAGAAAACCCATTTACTGACATTTTCAATGCTGTATTACTGGCATTATCGCTCTCCCTGCCACCCCCTCACCAGTAAATAAATGGTTAAAACACCTTTTATTCACTTACCTGATCCCAGCACTGATGTCCCTCGACGCTGGGTAGACTCACACATTAGACCTCCCTATAGGAAAGCATTGCTCTCCTATTGGCAAAAATCTGACACTGGAGTTCCTCATGCAGAGCGTGAGGATGTCCAGCGTCAGATACTAGACCAAAGGTTTGTTTCAATCCAGGAAGCGCCCCCATTAGCTGTCTGGTAGACAGCTACTGATGGCGGACTTATTGCTGCAATGTAAACATTGCAGTTTCTCTGAAATTGCAATGTTTAACATTGCAGCACTAAGGGCAATAGGTACACTGCACACAGACCACTTTAATGAACTGAATTGATCTGGGTGCCGACCGTGTCCCTTTTAATACTCATTCCATCAACCATTTTATGCTAAAATAAATGGCAGAATTTTATCTCCTGATTACATGACTTGGATTGTCCCTAAAACTACATAATTAGTGAGATGTGTTCTGGTGAATATATATAAGCTGTGATATTTAATCTGTGTGGTATAAGCAGGCCATGGTTTAGCAGTGCTTTTAGGAGAAATTAATTTGACAGACTGTGCCCTGACTGTAAACTGTGTCCATATTTATTCCATGTCTCTTGAAATGTTCACCTGCGATGCACACTCTTTAGATGAGACTATAAGAATAACACGATGGGGTGTACACAGAAGAAGGCTGCAGAGTACAATTGATACAATAAATACCAGTTGAGCCTGTGACTGTATCCTCGAGTCTAGCGGAACTTTTGCTGGACAGAGTAAAACTCAGTCATGTAATGCTGCAGCCCCAGAGAAAGCATTGATTCAGTACTTTCCTAGAGGAAGCTTAAATACACTTTCTGCATTGATCGAGTTAGCGGTTATAACATACTGTATGCTGGGATAGATTAACACTGGATAATAACGAGTGCACGTCCGCATAGGTTGTTCTAGTACCTTGATGCTTTATTTTATGGCTGCTTCTTTAACCAGGCTGAGTCCCCCTTCTCTGAAGTAAAGTTGAGGGACCGGGTGTTTATCTGTTCTCTAAATATTGTAAGACCAAATTCGTTAAGGTAAAATTACTGTGCATTTCATAGAAAACTTTAGTGCCCTCTACTCCCACTGTGTGAGGAAGTGGTGTTAGGAAACACTAAATAAGATTGACCAGGCCTTGGGATTTCCTATAAAATACACTTTAATGTGTATTTGGCCAAATGTGACACTGCCTGATCATAATATGAGTATTTCATCTGCAAGGCTAAACTTATAGCGTACCCCTGTAGTAACTGCATAGCATTTTACCAGCATGGATACCCATATAGTGCCCGCCTAGCGTTTCACCAGCATGGATACCCATATACTGCCCAGATAGCGTTTTACCAGCATGGATACCTATTTAGTGCCCACATAGCGTTTCACCAGTACGGATATCCATATTGTGCCCGCCTAGCGTTTCACCATCATGGATACCCATATAGTGCCCGCTCATCGTTTCATCATTATGGATGCCCATATAGTGCCCACCTAACGTTTCACCAGCACGGATACCCATATAGTGCCCGCCTAGCGTTTCACCAGCATGGATACCCATATAGTGCCCACATAGCGTTTCACCAGCATGGATACCCATATAGTGCCCGCCTAGCGTTTTACCAGCATGGATACCCATGTTGTATTGCTGTTTAACGATTACCGAAATCTATGCTACTCAGCCTTTGTTAAAATCAGAAAAGGCTGCGTTTAACTATTTTAAAAATTGCCTGCTACATTTTAAATGCACTGTAAAGACTCCAGTTGGTGCATGAACTAACTGAGCTATGTGCCTATAAAATCCCTGCACAGACGGTGCCAGTTAGTGGTATGGTATTGTTACCCATCACCCAGTGTTTGCCTGCTCCCTCTCTCCCACTAACTGTATAATCAAACAAAATGACTTGCTCTATCACAGGAATTCCTAATGAACACACCATTAATTCTGAACCAAAGCCAGCTCATAAAACATTCTTTATTGCCATCTTTGCTGTTAACTGTACTCAATTCTTCTTAATCTTTTTTGTTATCTTAACGTGTAACTTGTTATTCGTGCAACTTTTTTCTTTTTTGATTAGATGTCTGTGATAACCGGCAGTGGAAATCTATAGATTTGCCGCTAAATGAAGCATTACAAGCTTGCGTGATTAGTGTGATCAGTCCGGACCTGTTTTTCATTTTCCCTAAAGAAATCAAAGGTGAGCAGATTGTAGCAATGTTTTATAATCTCTGCTTTCCCTTCATTTGCAGAGGGAAAAGCAAAACTAAATGTCAGTTTTCTTAGGTTAACCCCAGGCCTCCAATAACAAACATGTTGAAATCCACTCTGAGGATAGGTAGAACTTTTATGGAAGGATAGAAATGTATGCCCTATAATTTTTCATTTTATTTAGCTGATGAGACGAGAGTTCAAAGGCTTCAGCGAGTGTTGGTAGACATTGCTGGCTACTGTAACGCAGAGCGAAGTGGTGGGAGATTTACACCATCTGTTGGTGAAATGTGCTGTGCCCAGTTCACAGGTTAGTATGCTTTTCTGTTCAATTCCAATATAGCAAATCTCCAGAAAAAAGACTGAATAAACATTCCCTTTTGGTTCTGTTGGGATAGAGCTGTCGTGTTGTAACTCATTCCATAGCTGTACTGGGAGATGTTCCTGAGAAATTAGAGCTGTTAGCAGTGTAAAAAAAAAAACAAAAGTGCATGTTTTCCACTGAGGGCTCCTTTTACCTGTACTGTCACATTCAGGGGGAGATGGTGGCTTTTGTATGTGTTGTGAGGTAACCCCTCACAGTATATGATAAGATATCTTTCTCCAATTGTAAAATGTTTTGGGTGACTCCTGTGCTTTGTGGTGCCCTGGAGTTGAAGGGCTATGATCTAGACCCTATGCCCACCTACATAGCAACTAAGAAATATTCTGTGCAGGAGGTGCTCTGGGCCATGGGAGGGCACTGGCGAGGTGGGCTTTGACACATTGGAGGAAAACAAAAGTACCCAGGTTCCTGAGGGGCTCTGGTAAAATGGGGATAACTGAGGGCTGCCCTGGTAAAACGGGGGAAGGAGGGCTGATAAAAGGATGCTCTGTTACATGGAAGTGAGCTGTTAAAGGGGTACTCTGGTAAACATGGAGGTAATTGATGTGGGGTTCTCTGGTAAAGGTAGGAAGGATTAGTGTTTCCTGGTACGGGGAGGAGACTGAAGAGTTCCAAGTCAACTGATGCAATTTTTTCCATGAAATATAGAAATAGGCTTCTTTTAAATGTGTTTATTACAGCGCTTTAATTAGGGATCGACCGATTATCGGTCTGGCCGATATTATCGGCCGATATTTGGTATTTTCAGCAATATCGGTATCGGCCAATTCAGATACCGTATTGCCGATAATATATAACAGGACCGCCGGGCCCATTACAAGCCCAGCGGTCCTGTGGGGGCCAGCAGCAAGCGCTGACTTACCTTGCATGCAGCTCCTACAGCTCTCTGTGTAAATCTCGCGAGACCCGCGGCCGCAGAGCGTTGCCACGGGTTACCATGGCAACGCTCCGCGCGGCACTAAGAGCCGCGAGATTTACATAGGGAGCTGTAGGAGCTGCTTGCAAGGTAAGTCAGCGTTTGCTGCTGCTGAGCCACCACTGTACTTAACAAGCCACTGGACCACCAGGGGATACTATATCCCCCTCCCTGGTAAGAAGCAGGGAGGGGGGACTAAACAAAAAATAAAAAAAACATTTCAATATTAAAAAAAATATTAAAATAAAAAATTACACAAATTACATCACTACACACACACACACACTGCACACATACTGCATTACATACACACTACACAAACACACACTACACAAACACACACTGGGGGGGACTAAACAAAAAAAAACATTTAAATATTAAAAAAAATATTAAAATAAAAAATTACACAAATAACATCACTACACAAACACACACACTACACAAACACACACTGCACACATACTGCATTACATACACACACACTGCATTACATACACACTACACAGGCACACACACTGCATTACATACACACACTACACAGACAGACACTACACACACACCACAAACACACACTGCACACATACTGCATTACAGACACACACTGCACACACTACACTGCACACACACTGCATTACATACACACACTGCATTACATACACACTACACAAACAGTACACATACTGCATTACATACACACTACACAGACACACACACTGCATTACATACATACACACAACACAAACACACACACACTGCATTACATACACACACAAAAACACACTGCATTATACACACACACTACATAAACACACTGCATTATATACACACTACACACACTGCATTATATACACACACTCTGCATCCACTACACACACACACACACACACACACTACACAAACACACACAGTTCCCCTGTCTAAACACACTTCTCCACTACATGTGGCATGTATATTTTGTGCATTTACCTTTCAAATTAGTTTATTTATTCAAAATAGTAAATGTACAGAATATCGGCAAGATATCGGCTATCGGCCTGAAAGTTCGCAGATTATCGGTATCGGCTCTAAAAAATCAATATCGGTCGATCCCTAGCTTTAATTGTAGTGATGTTTTATTTTACTTTGAGGGTTTTTTTTTTTTTTTTTTTTTTTGGTCAACATTTTAATTGCAAAAACCTTTTAAAACATAACACTCAAACTTGTGTACACAGGTTCAGAATGCAACCACTTGATTAAGTCTTGTCCAAATTATCAGAACTAAATAGTTGTTAATATTTAAATCTGTATGTTCCCTTAATTGAAATAATAGATACAGGTCAGGATGTGGAAACATTCTAACTCCCGCATGAAAGCACCTGTTATCTGATGGTTTTTTTTTTTGTCCTTCTAAACCTTTCTCCATGTGTGATGCTGTCTTTCATATGATTACCGCTGCTGAGTATTCATTGGATGCTGTGTATTTCCAGCTGATGGGCAGTTTTACAGAGCACTGGTATTGGACACCTCTGAATGTGCTGCTAAAATCATATACGTAGACTATGGAAACATTGAAACCCTGCCTTTCTCATCCCTCCATCCGATAAGAGAGAGTTCGCTGGTGCTCCCTGTGCAGATCGTAAAGTGCAGCCTTGCAGGTAAATACAACATTTCCAGGAACGTAATACTATTTTTTTATTTTTTTTTAAAGAAAATCTGTTCCTGTAGATATCATAAAGTGGCATTATAGAGAGACCAGTCCTATATAATCTATACATCAGCAAAATATTATGTTTCTAACGCTTGTATTTTTTTTTCATAAAGCTTAATGTTTTAAAGAGAGACATTGTCTTAAATTCTACAATTATGGGGGGTGGGAGGGGGTGTATGAAGTATAATTGAAAGGGCTATAAGTTTCACTCTGTACTAGATGGGTATGTCCTTGTGTGTACAGAGCTCTGTATTCCACTGCAATATTGTGATTTCAGGTCATCTTTATCACACCCTGTCTGTAGTTCTTTTCATGCTGTTTGTTTGACTCTTTCCCTTTTCTGTCCCAGGAGTGACACCGGTTTCAGAAAAGTGGTCTGCGGAGTGTATTGAGCTGTTAAACTCGCTAATTCTGCAGAAAGAGGTTACCTTAACAGTTTTGGGTGTGAATGGGGGCATCTACACAGTGTCCTTGGAACAGCTGCACTCAACGGGGCTTTTAAACATCGCTGAAAAGTTGGTCAGTGAAGGAGTGGCCCAAAGCACAACTCCTCCATCTAAGGGTGCATGTAAAGGTAAGTTTTTGTGTGGGGTGATAATTTTTTTTAATAGTAGAAGAGGTAGAGGTCCTGTAAAAAGCTAAAGGTCTGCGGGTTACTTGGTTTAATCTCTGTACCACCTCTAATCTCTCCATTGTTCAATTTCCTTTATCTGACCACCATCTGCTGACCTTTGACATCGGCATACCCAAATTTCACCACCCCTACCTCTCCAATCTCGCAGAAACCTCCACTGCATTGATCTGCAGCATCTCTCCTCCAAAATCTCCTTAACCCATCTCAAATCTCACTTGCCCTTACTCTGCAACTCCACTTTCTCCTCTCAATTCGACATCATGGCACCTCCTACATTTAAACCCAGCAAGCGTTCCCAATTACAACCCTGGCACACCAAGCTGACCCGATTTCTCAAAACATGTTCCAGAACTGCTGAACGCTGTTGGAGAAAGTCTTACTTTGCACCAGACTTCTTTCTCTATAACTTAATGCTGCACTCCTACACTCTGGCTCTTTCCTCTGCAAAAGTAATTTATTTAAACACCCTCATAAGCACACTGTTCCAGCAACCCAAACAACTATTTCACACTTTTAGTGCTCTCCTTCGCCCTGCTGCTCCCCCTCCTCCGACCACCCTGTACGCCTCAAACATTGCAACTCACTTCACTGAGAAGATTTCTACAATCAGGGGAGAGATCTCTAACCTCTTCCCCCTCCCCTTCCAATACATCACCCAACCTCCCTCACTCCACTGTTCTATGATTTTTCACACCTTCTACAATGGAAGAGGTTTCTGCTCTGCTCTGGTCCTCACAACCCCCACCTGTTCCCTTGATCCTATTAAAAAAAGAAGCGGAGGATACAATATAATATTAAAATATATATATATATATATATATAAGCAATGGAATAATAAGAGAAAAATATGTGAATTAAAACATAACTTTTAATAGAAGTATAAATCCATAAAAAGTCTCATAAGACGAAAAGACCCACTACAACACAAAACTAATAGTACTATGTACACATACACACAACGTAAAATTAAAAATTGACAGAGGCTGGTCCATACTGCTGAAAAAATTGCTGTAAATGTCCCTAAATAGGATTTAGTTTGAATCACTAAATCATATATCAATTAAACTGTTTGTTTGATAACAGGATATCCACTGACAAAGAATTGATTGTAAATGCTTACTAGGTGGTCAGCAGTGATAATTCTGACTCTATTGGCAACTATGTATCTCAGTAGTTATCGAAATGTAACCAAAATGGAGCGAAAGAAGCTATCCGCTTCTGTAGTTAGAAGAATATAGATAGCTGTTTGGTAAGGAGTTTAACGCTGAAGGTAAAAATTCCTATAATTTACCACGTATATAACAGGATGGGGTGAGGGGGAGAAAGGGAAAGGGATTAACAAAGTAACTGTCCCTACTGTACCTTCGAGGGCACCCCTTACCCCTAAACGACCCTAACTTGTAATGCAATACAATCCACCCACTCCTGAAACAGGCCTGATAAAAAGTAAAAAGAAAGATGTCAGAGAAAACAAAAATAAATGAAATAATTCCTAGAAATCAGAAATCACTGCAAGCAGTAGTGTGGACACAGCATCTTTTTAGGGTTTCTTTCTCTAGCTTTGCCTCTTCTCCCCAACCACTCTCTGTCGGCGTTGCCCAAGGTTCTGTCCTTGGTCCCCTATTGTTCTCAGTCTACACTGCCTCCCTTGGTAAACTCATCAGCTCCTTTGTCTTCCATTATCATTTCTATGCAGATGACACACAAATCGACCTGTCCTCTCCTGATCTCTCTTCACCCATCTTGACTCGTGTCTCTGAATGCCTATCAGCGATTTTCTAACTGGATGGCTGCTCACTCCAAAACAGAACTTCTCGTCTTTCCTCCCTCAAGTGCTGCTACTCCTGTGTCTGTCTCCCTCCAAGTCAACGGCGCCACCATCACCTCTACCTCGCAGGCTCGCTGCCTAGGTGTTCTCTTTGACTCCGACCTTTCCTTCACCCATCATGTCCAGTCGATCACCAAATCCTGCTGCAACATAGCGCCATCCGCCCCTATTTAACACCAGACGCAGCTACAGTGCTGGTCCATGCCATTGTTCTTTCTCGCCTTGACTACTGCAATCCCCTTCTCAGTGGTCTTACGTGTTCCTCGATTGCACCACTGCAATCTATAATGAATGCGGCAGCAAGGCTAATTTTCCAGTCCACCCATGGCCCCCCCCCTGTCAGTCCCTACATTGGCTTCAATTTAAGGGCTCAATTTAAGATTCTGGTGCTTGCTTACAAGTCCCTACATAATGCTGCTCCAACCTACTTATCCTCACTAATACACAAGTATGTGCTGTCGATTCCCTTCCCTTCGCCGTTAGACTTTCATCCAGTCTCCACTCCTTCAAAAGGTCTTTGAAAACTCACTTCTTCAGGAAAGCATATCATTTAAACTGTTAGTGGGTTTTTCCACCACCTCCCCCTTCTTCCCCACCCTCCCCCCGCCTCCCCATGACTCCTCTCCTGCCACTGTCAAAAATAACCTCTTCGGTGATTACTTTTCAAGCAACATATTTTATTACCCCTACTTATACCCTTTGTGTCACTATACCCCACTTCCTCTAGCATGTAAGCTCATTGAGCAGGGCCCTCAACCCCTCTGTTCCTGTGTGTCTATTTGTCTGGTTACAATTACCTGTCTGTTAGTCCACCCATTGTACAGCGCTACGGAATTTGCTGGCGCTTAATAAATAATAAGTAGAATAACTCATTGGATTTTGGTTTTTATTTATGTATTTAAGAAAAAATAAATAAATGAGCTTCTTAGTGATCTAAAAGTGATCACTATAAAACAGAAGAACAAGACCAATTTAATTGTTTTTGGCCTTTTACAGAACCATAGGGGTGGATAAAATACTAGATATATGCTAGAATTTATTATTTTTTTTAAATTCTTTATTTTTGATTCGACACATATTACAGCATGGCAGTACTCAGTGGCTCGCGCAGGGGCCAATAGTGATTGAGACATACAATGCATTATACAGAAGATAAGCGGTGTTATAAGGTAATGCCAGGTTCTGTTATGCCGTGCAGTGTCGCCGTTTCTGTTTTGATGGGCTTTTTCACGCCCACAGATAAAAATAAAGTAAAGTATAAAATGTAGTACAAAACTAAACAATACTAGACATATAGTAACTAAATAGAGCTACCTAAGGTAAGAGCCTCCGATATAGTTCCCTACTATGAGCTTCCAACCCACTGGCAAGCCCTAGATGTCTGTTAGTGCGTTTGATTTAGGTTTCTGCGTTCCGCGTTCCAGGGCCCCAGTGTCATGTACGCCTGTCGGTTACAGTAGCTTTTATCGGCTTATCCTTCCCCCTCCTGTGCGTGTCCCTGTCCCGGATGACCTCCCAACTTTGTGTTTTTTGGACCCTGAGGGTCTATGAGCGTGAGTCCTGGGAGCGTTGTCGTGAGTTGGGTTGGCCCTGCATGTTCGCTACTGGAGCCCTTGTCGGCTTCTATACTGTTTTCTGCTCTATCGGCTGTCTCCTATTAGGTTGTCTCAATGCGGTCTACTTGGGACCCTGGGATGAGCGTGGGCGGGCAGTCTCTATGCATGACATCCTCTATGCCATATGTGGGAGGAAGAGTGGGGGGTGATAATTGTTGAGGCGCCGGTCCGTTGTCCAGTCCCTTTCCTTTCCTGGTGGGGTGGGGTTTTATTCGTTAGTATATTTTTCCCAGGGCTGCCAAATTTTATGAAAGACTTTTTCCGTGTTTCAAATTTGAGCTGTGAGTTTGTCCATCAAGTATGTGTCTTTGATTTTTTACTATCACGTCGTTATCGGTGGGTGTGGTGTGTTTCAACCACGTTTGAGCTAGGGCCCTTCTGGCTGCAATTGTGACTTTGTTAAGGAGTACTTGCTCCCTCCTGGGGAGGCCATCTATGGGTCTGGATAACAGGATGGACCAGGGGTCCAAGTCCACTGGTCTCTCCAGAATATCAGTGATTATTGACTGCATGCGTTTCCAGTATTTGTGGGCTTCTGGGCTCTCTCACCACATATGTATGAAGGTGCCTTTCCTGCCACATCCCCTCCAGCACGTGTCAGTCGTGGTTTTCCCCATTCTATATAATTGTATTGGTGTGGTGTACCATCGCATGAGCATTTTGTAAGATTGTTCCTGTTGGACTACGCAAATCGACGTCTTTGCCGACGCTTCCCAAATGTCCACCCAGTCCTCCCCCTCCAGCTCCCTGCCCAGATCCGTCTCCCACTGGGTTATGTACCTTGGGTCTTGAGCGTCTTTGTCAGGGGCGCTGAGTTGGGTGTATATGGCAGTTATGAGGCCTTTGGGTACCGTTTCAGCGTTACATAGCTGTTCAAAAAACGTCATCTGGGTGTGGGCTGCTCGTTTAACCTCGGGGGTTTTAGCGAAATTTCGTAGCTGTATGTATCTAAATCCATCTCTCGTGGTTAGGGGCGCCAAGGTTTGTAGAGTGTCGTACGTTTTGAAGGAACCTCCCTCGTACATGTGCCCATATCTCTGTATCCCCGTACTTTCTATCCCCTTAAAATCTCGTGCGCTCAGCCCGGGCTCGAATGCTTTGTTCCGTAAATATGGAGTAAGCGGCGAGGGTGTATGTTTTAGGGCATATTTAGTGGCAGTCGTATCCCATATACGGATGGAATTAAGGATCGCCGGACAAGTGGTTCGTAGGGGCGGCCTGTCCTGTTTGGGCACCCATATCCAGAACTGGGGCAGGTCTGTACACATTAGTTTTGTTTCCAGGTCCACCCATCTGTGGGAGCCCTCTGGGGCATGCCATGCCACTATTTGGGCAAGCTGAGCTGCCAGATAATATTGATAGAGGTTAGGGCGTCCCAGTCCACCTCTCATTTTCGGCCGGTATAGCACCTGTCTAGCCACTCTGTGGCGTTTGTGGGCCCATATAAAATTATCTATGTGTCGTTGTAGTGTCGCTAGGTCTTGTTTGGTAACCCTTATCGGTAAAGTTTGAAATAAGAACAATAAACGACGAAGCATCGTCATTTTGATGGCATGTAATCTGCCTATCCACGAGATTGGCTTTTCTTGCCATTTTTCGATATCGCGGGAAAATGCTTGGAGTTTGGGCGTATAATTGGCAGTATATAGTTTTTCTGGGTCCGCTGTAAGTATAACCCCTAGATAGGTGAGTTCGGTGCTTGTGAATTTGAGATTGTGGGAGGCTTTCAAACCGTTTATCTCAGCCATGTCCATTGCAAGCGGCATGGCTTCCGATTTTTCTAAATTAATTTTATAGCCTGAGACATATCCGTATGCCTCTAGCAGGGACAGGAGCCGTGGAAGGGACCTTTGGGGGTTAGCAAGTGTGACCAGGACATCATCTGCATACGCAGAAACTTTGTATTCTTCCTCCCCAGCCCGTATGCCCGCTATGTCCCCATCCTTCCTTATCCGTTGCAGGAGTGGCTCAAGCGCTAGAACGAACAGTAGGGGGGACAGGGGGCATCCCTGCCTGGTACTATTATTCGGCTTGAATGGTGTCGGGGCTGACCCCGGCACATTGACCTGCGCCCTGGGCTCTGTATATAGGGCTTTTATACCTTTGATGAATGCCTCCGGCATGTGTAAGTGCCCGAGCAGCGAGAAAAGGTAGTGCCATTGGACCCTGTCGAACGCCTTCTCCGCGTCCAAGGATAGAATCAGAGAAGGCGTCCGAGTCCTCACCACCCACCATATGACGTCTGCTCCCCTTCTGGTGTTTTCGTATAGTTGCCGTGATGGCACGAAGCCAACCTGATCGGGGTGGACCAGCACCCCCAGGAGGGGGTTTAACCGTGTCGCCAGGATTTTCGCGAACACTTTTACGTCAAAGTTTATCAATGAAATGGGCCTATAATTCACTGCATCTGCGGGGTCTCTGCCTGGCTTGGAGATGAGGGTTATGTCAGCCGTAAGCATCTCTGGGCAAGGATGACCCGCATACACCCTCACAAGTGGTGGGATCAGTGTGTCCCTAAGGACTTTGTAATAGGAGCCGTCGAAGCCGCCCGGTCCCGGGGCTTTGTTACCCTTGAGGGCCGTGATAACCCTATCCACCTCTTCCTCCTCAATAGGCGCACCTAGAGCTTGTAGGACCCCCGGGCTCGGCCGCGGCAGATCAGCCCCAGCCACAAAATCCTCTACTGCTGCAGCATAGTCCCTGTTAGTGCCGACCAGCTCTGGGGAATGATTGTAGATGCTGGAGAGGAGCTCCGTGAAGATCTGATTGATCTCCATAGGGCCATGGGTCACCCGCCCTTCCCTGTCACGAATCGCCGATATGGCCTTGTATTGTGCTTTGGGGTTCAGTGCTCTGGCGAGGAGGGTGTCCATTTTATTAGAGCGTTCATAGTAAAGACGCTTTCTACGGATCAGGTCCCGCCCTAAGTCCTCTACCGCCAAGGTCCGTATTTTGTGGCGCATGTCGCGAAGGTCCTGGAATCCTTGTGGCGTGGGGGTTTGTTTGTGTTTGGCCTCGGCCCTCCTCAGCGCCTTCTGGAGCTCGAAGAGGGCCTCTGCCCGTTGTTTTTTCCTTCGGGTGGCTAGTTTGATAAGGGTGCCCCGTATGACCGTCTTGTGGGCCACCCAGATCGTGGATTGCGTTGTCAGGCTTATCGTTTGTGGTAAAGTAGTCTGTCAGTTCACCCTGGATAAGTTTGGTCACCTCTGGGTCTTTTATGAGTGTGCTATTTAGCCGCCACTTCCATGGTGGTCTGGGTCCCGGAAATCTCAGTGTGAGCTCTATGTCTGCATGGTCTGACCACGTAATTAGGTTTATTCTCGCAGAGTGGACCCACGGGATCCTGCCCTGGCTGACCAGAAACATGTCTATGCGGGAGTAAGTCGAATGTGCCGCCAAAAAGTATGTGTAGTCCCTCTGTCCTGGATGTTGTAGTCTCCAGGGGTCTAACAGTTTCGCTTTCTGTATGAACTGGGCCAGTAACTTGTCTTGTCCCCCGATCACCCGACGGCTTGCTGCGGTCGACCGGTGGGCAAGGGGTCGAGGTAAGGTCGCCCCCCCACCACAACCCCCCGGGGCAAGGCTTGTATGGAGTCATGTAATGTCTCCCAAAATACAGGGTCTGGTTGATTGGGGGCATAAATGTTGATCAGGTGGTATGTGGTAGTGTAGATAGTCCCTGTGAGGATAACGTACCGGCCCATGGTGTCGGTCTGTGTTGTGTGAGCGATAAATGGGCACTTTTTGTGCAGCAGTATTTCTACGCCATTTTTCTTACTAAGCGCCCTAGAGCTGTATGACCTGGTGTATGTGTGGTCCATTAGCTGGACACGGGCTGAGCGCAGGAGGTGTGATTCTTGCACAAAGGCGATATCCGCCTTTTGTCGTTTTAGTTCCCTCATTAATAGTCGTCTTTTGTTCGGGGTATTAAGGCCATTGACATTTAAGGATGTAATTTTGAGTGTGGCCATATTTGTTTCTAGTTTTGACTGACTCGTGCTCATCAGGGCCGAGCCCAGGCCGCCGCGCGCCTCTCCAGTAAGTGCCTCTGCGGAGGGAAGGTGGGGGACACCCTTGGGAGGGTAGGAGAAGGGGCGGCGGGGTCACCAGATGGGTGCCCAGACGTAGTTCCCTGGCAGTTCCCTCTGTGTGGGGAGAGTCAGGTGCGTGTACCTATGGGCCGCCGGCCCTGCCTCTGAACTGGGGAGGGATGGAGTGGGATAGTGATACGGGTGCTAGGGGGAGGCTGGCGGGGGGGTAGGGGGAAGGAAGGGACCCTTACCAAACGGGGTCGCTACGGAGTATACCCCGGTCTTAGTTGTGCCAGGTGTATCGGGGGATGACCGTCCACTCCGCGAAAGAGTTTCTAAACACGGAGGGGACAACCAGTCGCCGAGCACCCCGGCACTAAACCCGAATTATAAATGTAACAAATACTTAAACCGCTATTCCCTGCAAACTCCCTTGGTCTATGCGCCCTGTATTAAATCACCTGGATAATTAGGCAACAACATAATATACATAACAGGCATGATCAAGCAAATCAACATAGATATAGTGAAAACATTTCCAATACCGCATTCCCAAACACCAACAGTTCTGATGGTCTCCCAGGTTTAAGTTTCCTAAAAGGGTTAGCATCCCATTGAGTTCCAACTGCTTGGGCCTCTAGATAGTCTTGTGACCCTCAACATCAGTTTGTCATCTTATGTCGCGGCCAGAGGCCTCCAGGAGGGGAGGAGGGGGTGAGTGGGAGGTGGGGAGAGGAGTGATGTCCAGTCTGTGTCGGGTCTGCAGGATGTCTCGTGTCCAGTGGGGTAACCGAGTGGGTGAAGGGGGTAAAGACAGCCTAGTTGTCTGGATCACGGGTCCGTCCATCAAGGGTGTCCCTGAAGGTAGGCACCAGACTACCTTCCCCCCCGTTGGGTTCCCTATACAAGCTACTGGGCCTAACTGCCCTGAAATCCCTCGGTAAATTCCTGGCTAGTGAGTGCCCTGGGAGAGGGGAGATATACACTTGCGTGTCCGACCAGTTCATATGTCTTCTGCCTCTGCTTCAGGGTATAAACCTTTTCGGTTATCTTTCCCCCACGGTGTTTCTGCGTCCCGTCCCTTGTGTCCCAATCAGCATTCCAAGTTGTTCCTGAAGGTCCGGTCTTCGTCTTGCCCTCTAGGTCCATCGTCTCCGGCTGCACTGCTTGTCACTTTGATGCTGTTTTTAGCTGTTAGCACTCCGTCAGGTGCGTGGTAAATCTGATGTTGCTGTTCGCTTTTGTCAGGGATGTTCTCTTTATGGGTTTTGCATTTTGCATCTGTAATATTATTATTTTTTTTTTAATTTTATTTATTTTGTATAAAGTGGTTTTTTTTTGTGTTTTTTAAATTGTTTTTTTATTTTATTTGCTTGTGCTGTGGTGTCGCAGTGCTTGGATTGGTTTGTTGGCTTTAAATTTGTCTTCTTCCTTTCGTCCTCCATCTTGTCATGCTTGCCATTCCTTGTCCTTGTTGTTAGTGGTATTCTGTGTATTTGGTGGGATTCAGATCCTCGGGCATTGAGGCTGTATGGTGTGGGTCTGGGTATGGGACTGCATGGTTCGTTGCCTTCCAGGGTGAGGAGGGGGCCAGGCCCGGCCCTCAGGGGTCGCCACTGTCTTGCGGCACTTCTTCTCTGGGCAGTTGCACCAATGCTCTGTTGCCCCTTAGGGGGAGTCTAAAGTCGACTGGGACTTCTATACCTAAGTCTTGTAGGAAGGCCCTGGCATCCGCCGTGGGTAGGAGCACGGGCGGCCGTGGCCCATTAAACACCAGCATTTTGAAAGGGTGGCCCCAAGCGAAATTAAGGCCTTTGGCTCGTACTAGGTCGGCAATGGGCTTCCACTCCCGCCTCCTGGCTAACGTGGCTGGTGCAATATCCTGATAGAGGTGTATGGTAGAGCCCTTGACTGTGTAGGTGTGGTGCCGTGCTTTTAATAATGGCTTCCTTGGTGGAAAAATAGTGCCACCTCATGATGACATCCCGTGGCGGTCCGTCCTCGGGGCTTCGAGCCCTGAGTGCCCTGTGGGCCCTATCTATGGTCCACAAGTGGTCTGGGATTTCTGGCAGGTGTTCCCTGAACAGGTGTGTGAGCACCTTCTCGAGGTCTGTGTCTTTAATCCTTTCGGGCAGGCCTTTTATTCTGAGGTTGTTCCTCCTCGATCTGTTGGAGGCATCCTCTAGTGCAGCTTCTAATTCGGCCACCCGTGTAATAAGGCCATTAGTAGTAGTAGCAGCAGCTTCATTATGGGCCGCTACCACGTGATCCATCCTCCATTCTAGGGCCTCAGTGCTTTGGCCCACCGTCTGAATCTCTGCCTTCACCTCTCTTGCGGACCGCTCTATTTCCCCAGCCAGGTAATGCTTCACTTCTGCTAGTGATTGCAGTACTTCTAGGTGAGCTGATGGTGGCGGTGGTTTCTCCTGTTCCCGGGGAACCCGTACTCACGTGTCCGCTGCCATCTTTGGTCACCTGCGGCCTTGGTGTAGCAAGCAGGTCGGCGACGGACAGGGCCCCCTCCCGCAGCTTTTTCCCGTTCTTCTTGTGCGAAGCCATCACCGGGGCCGTCCCTCCTCCAAGGTGAGAGCTGCCGGAGCGCTAGTGGGGGTAATTTGTGGTGTGCCGTGTCTGATCGTCTGGGGTGCGGAGCTCTCTGCCAACGCTGCCATTTTTCTCGGTAGTCAGGCCACGCCTCCCGATATATGCCATAATTTATCTGACAATGTTTCACACTGATTCTGAACTATTGAACATAAATATAACTTTTTATCATGAATACATACACTAGGTGGAACACAGGTCTGATGATTCTAGAAGGAAAAACAAAATAGTGCAATATTGTCAGTATAAATAACGTAAAGGTATTGTGGATTTCAGGTACTCACAAGCATGGAGCCAAATCTTAACATATGGCTCTCATGGGTAGTGCAGAGGGTCTCTACAGTGCCAGGAAAACAAATCACCCCCTTCCCCATGTTGCTGAAGGGGTTAAAACCCCTTCAGTGACTTGCCTGAATCTAGCGCTGATGTCCCTCGGCGCCGAGTCAGGCTTCTCCCCAGCCGGCGGGGGAGACCTAATGCGCATGCGTGGCAATGGCCGCCCGCACGCATTAGACCTCCCCATAGGAAAGCATCATTAATGCTTTCCTATGGGGTTTCCGGTGACGCTGGAGGTCTTCATGCATAGCGTGAGGACATCCAGTGTCATTTAACACTTTTCGTGTTTTAAGAACCCTGAAGTCCCTCTAGCAGCTATCTGATAGACAGCCACTAGAGGAGGACTTAAACCTGCCAGGTTATTATAAGGGTATTGCAGCGATTCCTCGTTATCGAGACATCCTGAAAACCCCCCTCACTGTCGGGCCGCCGGTTGATCTGATCACTTCCAGATTACCCCACGTGGCACCCGGCCGTGTAGTCCAGAGCATCGGAAGATATCAGACAGGCCTCCGATGCTTTGCCTGTATGCTGAGTGCCTCGAGGAGTCGAGGCAGTTAGTAAAATTAAAATAGTAAAAATAATAATAAAAAAAAAACATTTTTAAATTAATCCCTTCCCTCCCTCCCACCATTCCCATATACTTACCTGATCGCCGCCGTTCCCCCGATCGGAGTTCTGCTCCACTGAGGGGACTGCCTGACAGCCCAGACAGTCCCCTGTTTGCAAAAAAGGACCCTGAAAGAGCGGTCACATGGCCGCAATAGGTGTCCATTGTGTTGCCAACAGGCATACTTTAATATATTTTTATATTAATATAAAAATACTCTTAGAGTAAAATTACACTCGTGTGTGGGTGTGTGTATATATTTAAAAATAGTAAATAAGTGATTTTATTCTAACTGTATTTTGATATTAATATATATTTATATCAAAATACACTTAGAATGCAATTATGTGTGTGCGTGTGTGTGTGTGTGTGTGTGTGTGTATGTATATATATATATATATATATATAATATATATATATAATATGTATACATAATTACATAAATATACACCTAGACTTCAAATATATAAATATGTATATATATTTAAATTCTACATGCATATTTATGTAATATTTTTACATAATTAAGTAAAAAAATGTTACTGCAATTTGGGAGACTTGCCTAACAACCCAGGCTGAAAGTCCAGAGAATTTAATTTGCTAGCACTATATTTAACCCTGTAACTTTCCAAGACACCCTAAAACCTGTACATGGGGGGTACTATTTTACTCTGTAGACTTCGCCGAACACAAATATTAGTGTTTTAAAACCGTAAAACTTATCACAACGATGATATTGTCGGTGAAAGTAATGTTTTTTGCATTTTTCACACACAAACGGCACTTCCACTGATATTGTTGTAATGTGTTTTACTGTTTTGAAACTCAAATATGTGTTCAGCGAAGTCATTGAGAGCGTATGGTAGCCCAGGAATGAGAATTGCCCTCATGATGGCATACCATTTGCAAAAGAAGACAACCCAAGGTATTGTAAATGTGGTATGTTCAGTCTTTTTTAATAGCCACTTAGTCACAAACACTGGCCAAAATTAGCATTCCTATTGTTTTTTGCATTTTTAACACAGAGATATAAATGCTAACTTTGGCCAGTGTTTGTGAACAAGTGGCTACTGAAAAAGACTGGACATATTGAATACCCTGGGTTGTCTAATTTTCAAAAATATATGGTTTGATGGTGTTAAATAACATTCAGACTTCAAAAATGTCCCAAATAAGACATGGGTGCATAATGACCAACTGTGAAAATTACAAGTTGGAAAACTGGAATGCACACCTTCCAAATAAGGTCTTTTGGCCCCCAGAGAACCCGACACACCTATACCTGGGTCATATCACTGTACTCAGGAGATGTTGCTGAACACATATTGGGGTGTTCTTTGGCAGTAACCCTTAAAGTTATCAGTATATGTATTCTTAAATTGCTATGTATGTCAAAAAAATCACCAATTTTTTTTATTTTTAAATTTGGCATAGATTGCTGGTAAAATGGTTGCATGAAAAGAGTCAAAATACCCCGAGTTTAATACCTTAGGTTGTCTTCTTTTAAAAAAATATATACATGTGAAGGGTTATTCGGGGATTCCTGACAGATGTCAGTGTTACAATGTAACTTGCATTAATTTTGAAAAAAATAAATGGTTTGGAAATAGCAAAGTGCTACTTGTATTTATAGCCCTATAACGTTCCAAAAAAACCTAAGAAAATGTTAACATTGGGTATTTCTAAACTCAGGACAAAATTTAGAAACTATTTTGCATGGGTGTTTTTTGGCGGTTGTAGATGCGTAACAGATTTTGGGGGTCAAAGTTCGAAAAGGTGTGTTCGTCCCCCCCCTCCCCAAGAGATAGATAGATATATTATTTTTTTTTTTTTTTTTTTATAGTAAATTATGATATGAAAATAATGGTATCGTTAGCCCATTTAATGGCAAAATAAACTGTATATAATATGTGTGGGTACAGTAAATGAGTAAGAGGAAAATTACAGCTAAACACACCGCAGAAATGTATAAACAGCTCTGGTCCTTAACGGTAAGAAAATTGAAAAGCAGTTTGGTCACTAAGGGGTTATTACAATCGAAAAATAGGAACAAGGAGGCGGAGTCTAGCAACTGAAGCGAGCAGACGCATGGCCGTGGAGCTCCGGGAGAAAAAGAGCAAAAACAATCATTAAAAGTGGGATTTATCACCCTACCCACACAACAGGGGGTACCCCAACACCCCCCGACCCACATGGGCCGCAAGATGAGGAAGCAAAAGCCCGACAAACCTCGGCAGGGCATGAACATTGGGGACTTATGGAAACAGGCCCTGAGTGCCCCAGGCCCCAACATGGCATCCCTACACGAAGGCTGCTCCGACTTTGAGGATGGAACATCGGACGAAGCAGAGGGGGAGAATGTGGCAGAACTGCGGAGGCCCTCAATGGCACCGCTGAAACCTCCACCGCCCACGGCGGCCTCCACGCCGGTAACAATGGAAACAATCGGCAGGCTCATGGAAGACCACCATCAAAAAATCTCGGCAGAGGTGGCTGCAATCCGAGACGACTTACGCGGCCTATCTAGCAGATTGGGTGTGATAGAAAACCGCTCTGACTCACAGGCAACCCATCTCAAGGAGCTGCAACGGGCAGTTTCAGAACTTCAGTGACAAAACCTCCTCACGGAACGAAAGCTCGACGCCCAGGAAGATCGACGGCGCCAAAACAACCTAAAAGTGCGGGGAGTGGCAGAAAACATCTCGGATGCTGAGCTACCACACTTCACCAGGCGGCTGACTTCTAAACCCCAAAGCGACCCAAATAACTGGTATATTCCGCATACCGAAATCGAGCAAAGCACCAACTTCAACTCCTGGAGACCTGATTCTTCAGTTCCTCAGCCGCACAGACAAAATGGCGGTACAAGCCGACCGACCTACCTCTTTGAGGAGATGGAGCTTTCCTTCTATACCGACCTCTCGGGAGGAACGCTGGCATGGAGGAGAACGCTAAGACCATTTACCACCCTACTACGCACACACCAACTCCGGTACCGATGGGGCCCAGCCAACACACTACAAGTCACCAAAGGTGAAACAACGTATGTCATACATGACATGCAAGAAGCCACAGCGGCACTGAGAGACTTGGATCTCCCTCTGGACTCCCTCGGGAGAGCGCTACCTGCAACCTCTCGAGGCCTTGACCCGGTACACTCCACAGAATTCAAGCCCAGGCAGAGAGCCACGGAGGCTTATGCGGCAGCCACGACTTGAGCCCGACAGGCCCTTCACCGGGACGCTATTTTTCTATTTTCTCACAGATTGGCCGAATCACGACCTTATTGTTATAACTGAATGCTTAGCTTATCTTACTTTTTATTATTGTTTTTATTTTTGTAATTTTTTTAAAAATTTTTTAATCTTTACTCTAACAATAGCCACATAAACGCTTACTATCGCTCTACGTTAGTACCACACTCCACACGAATTGTAATAAGGGGACACAGACATAATATTACTGCCCCCAAACATCCTTTGGCACGCAGAATCATACATACGCCTCTAGAAGATACTTACCACCAAAGGCCCACACACTTCGAACACATTAGGCTAATTGCTACAGCACGGGGGACAAAGCTCTCCTACGGTTTGTGTGTGTAATGTTTTTGCGTTGATGGTTTTAGTTTCGTTTACTCAGCATTGCTCCTATGGAGCAACACGGATAGGATTGTAAACTTAGCCACTCGGAACACGAGCTATCACTAGCCCTCGATATCACGATAACTCAACTAAATCAGTAAAACCGCTATTGGTCTCCCTGGGGTTTTTAAAATTGCCTACTCTGGCGGTGTCAGCGGCTGAATATGCTGGCTAATACGCTTCTAACAACTTACCTGCTAACGTTTAATGCGTAAGACCCTAGTACTAGCCCATAACTTTCTATTGTAGGGAGAATATAGGCATACATATATGCATATCAGAAAACACAATAGGGGGAAGAATAGAAGGGGACAAGAGAAATACATACGCACCCATGTTAGACCCTCACCGTACAGCTTTGCCATGTACTTAACCTAATTCTTACATGAGACCAAACTAACTGTAAATTTAACAAGCTGAACATGTCCAAACTGATTAATCATTGTTCTTAAGCACGATAATTGCAAGTGTTATTCTTTTATCAAAAGAAAAAAATGTGCGCTTGTTTAACCTGCCATGACTTACAATGTTAAAATGTTATGAAAAAGCATGCAGCTGCTGTTGTGGCCCTGCACGCCAACTGTTATCACATGCACGATGAAAATAAAGAATTTAAAAAAAAGAAAAAGAAAAATAGGAACAGAAGAAATGAAATTCACTTGTAATTTCAATACCCATATCCCACATGGCTTAAACTCAGATTTTGAGGTATGCCATTTCTTCTAATTAGGATTCAAGATCTACACTGATGGGTACATTATAGTCTAATTTCCAATTAACCTTTTTAAAGATAAATTTTTCATTCACTTTCCCATATTATGGTTTATTTAAAAAAAGGTTCTTCTACACTGTCCAGAGGGTGCACTAAACAAGCATTTATCTCCCTTGCATTAATATTTCATTATTATCATACCAGGAGGTGCATTATGAAATCTCCCTTTTAGTAATGATTTATTTTTTTGATTCTACTACATCCTATAGCTGGCTGTTCATTTAATATTAATATAGTACCATCTAGTGCAAGTGCCAAATTTTTACTTATCAAATTATCCCATAGTTGGCTTCTTATTTATTATTAATATAGTATTACCCAACTTAAGGGAACGTTCTGAAAATAACTTGTGCTTACCAAAGGTATAAATTACCATTTTGTATATATGTAGACATAAGAACATAAGACCAATACCGTGTTTTTCGCAGAGAAATAAAATTCCCCAGTGGAACGCACACATCACACTTTCCAACGACGCAGGTCACGTGACCCGTAAATGGAGAGCATGACGTCTGTATTTGAATGCACAATGCATTCCAAGTGCGGACAGCCGGACCCGGAAGTACCCACAAGACTTAAAAAGACGCCAAGGAGACCCCCCACAACAGCATTGACTGAGGCAGCCGCCACCATAGGGCGAAACGCGTATCGGACCTTCTAGCTATCAGGCAGCACCAACATTGGACCTATTTGGACTATTATCTTTTAACCATTAAGTTTTATCTTATTGCACACGGTGCATTTTGCTAATTTTATTTACTAAAGCCTTTTTTATATTGGAGAGAAGTCTCTCAACTCATCTTTACTCCAGAATCCTTAAAGGCTACACAAGGACCATCTGGAAGAAGGATGGAGACATCCTATTAAGAGTCCCTCTGCACTACCCATGAGAGCCATATGTTAAGATTTGGCTTGTGAGTACCTGAAATCCACAATACCTTTACGTTGCTTATACTGGCAATATGTTATTTTGTCTTTATTTATAGAATCATCAGACGTGTGTTCCACCTACTATATGTATTTTTGATAGTTATTTAGAGTGGTATAAGGGGTTCCCACTCAGGTGGTTTGTAGCAGTAATTGTTACCACACACACCCATTCACTGTTTATTTCACCTTTCACTAACATGGTCAGATAGCTTTGTTCAACCAAGCAAATAGTTTACTAATGGGATCCTGCTGGGTCATGAATGCATTCTTTGGAAATGGTTTTGTGCTTTTGAGCCTTATTGACTCTTGTACAGTGAGGGAATGCAGAGGTTATTGCATGATTCAGAGATGCTAAGTGAAGCAAGCCAGAGGGATATACATTTTAATTATTTTTCATAGAATGTAAGTTTAATTGCAGCATTTATATCACGGGTCGGCAGGTGAGCATTTGACGGTTGTTAATTGCTTGTGAAGAAATCATGTGAAAATCTGTTTTGGTTTAGAAGGGATCTCTTCCATTGGCTTTATATTTGTCTGGAGGTATTACTTGCTGGTTAATGCGTGTGTCGTCTTTTTAACACATTACCTGTATATAATTTCAGGTCCTGAATGCTGCTGCCATGACATCCTAAAAAGAGTGAGTTCTATTCGGTGCTTATTTTTAATACTCTGCCTGGAATTTACTTTGTATTGAGATCACACAAGCCGAATACACATCTAATGTGCTAACCTGGTGAAGTGAGGAGACTGGATAATGGTGAAAGAACCAGTTAGAGTGATATGAAATGACTCTGATAGAAATCATGATGTGACCAGAAATAAGAGGGCAGATCTGCAGGCTTAGTTGCAGTCTGTGGTCATATACTAACTTAAGCATTTTAAAAGTTATTACACGTGGCAAAATATTGTCATTAACAAAGTTATGGTCAGAACTATCACTTCTCAGGAACCAAAATATTATTTTTTTAAATCCCCTGTATTCAACAAATGTTTTCGAACTATGAAAAATATAAATTGATTGTCTAGATGTTCCTGCCAATCGTTGTAGAGTGAGATATATTTTCCAAGTGCTTTAGCTATCTCCTCTGTATTTTAACCCCTTAAGGACACAACTTCAGAAATCAAAGGGAATCATGACGGAATATTTCCGTCATGTGTCCTTAAGGGGTTAAACCAGGGAATTTGTGGATGTCTTAATTTTAGGCATTTAAGTATTTTGCAACCTTTGTTTTAATGCTCCAGCTAGACACCTGCCGACAGACATCCGCTCCGCTATATTAATCACTGGGTGGGGGACCTAGAGAAGGACATGGTCTAGACAGTAGTGCATAGAGTGTAGGGTCTCAAACAACATTAATATGGCGGATTTGATGTCTGCCGAGAGTTTGTCTTGGAATGAAGCCTCCAGTCTTGACAACATGTTTAGTTGGTTATGTCTAGAATATTTCCCTGAGGTGGTTAGCCATGTAGAGATGAACGTAGCAAAATATTGTCCTCTGCCTTCCTCTCTCCTTAAAATATTTATTAAGGTGGTTGGATTTTTTTGGGAGGGTCCCAGAGATTGGAGGTCTTGGGAATCTGGAAGCTTAATTTTTATTGCCCAAGATGGGGTTATATTTGAGAGAGGAAAGTTCTAAATGGAGTTCTCACTGGGAGCTTACATCAGTTCACATGGATAGCGAAGCCATGTCCTGTGAGAAATTAAATGTAGAAATCCATACTTCTCTAACCTCCATCTTGGCTCCTTGTCCATCATTGTTCTAAGCTCTGCCAGTATGCCAATTGGCATCGATAGAGCATTCATTGAAGAGCAGAAATTAAACACTATTTCTAGTTTCCTCTTCATTTTCAATATTTGTCTTGTCTAAACGAGGTCTTGTCTGAACGTCATTTGCTAAATTATTGTCAATTTATAAGAAAACTAAGCATTTCATGAAAAAGGTTAGCACGTTTTAGGGGATATTTCAACATTTTATTCAATGGTGTAAATTCCAGAGTAGTGATTGTTCTCTTTTTAAAGAAGCTTAATCACCTTGAGGGTTTTATTTGCAAATAGGACATCCCCAAGTTTTTTTGGCGAAAGGCGTTAAGATGGCTAAAATAACACACACACACACACAGACCGTATGACATATAAACACTTATTTTTAATAGTAAAACATGACTTTCTTTATAAATGACCAGGATGTGGGCTTCCTCTGAACACTCACATATTTTTCTGCTTTATTTCATTATTTTATTTTGTTTTCCTGCAGGTTGAAAAGTTGGAAGAGATCATCCAGCAACTCCTAAAACGGGAAAGCATCAAGTGACACTGAGACTTTTAAAACCTCCATCAATTAATGCTCTTACATTTATTAAACCTAGGAAGGCCTTTTGCTTTTATTGATGGAAAGGTTATAGTAACCTTGCTCTCATGTGACGAAAAAACCTCCACTGTTGTCTTTTTGGTTTGTTTTTTTTGTTTTGTTTTTTTTTTCTCCATCTTTCTTGTTTTCAAGCTTAGATCACGTCTGCCTTTTGGCAGAGACTGAGACTACAGGTTGCAGAGTTATTCTCACTGTTTGTAATGTGTGCACATCCCTTTCATGTGACGTGAAAAGAGAACTAGTTGTAGGTTTTAGGCAAAATGCCGTTTATCTTACAAGAAGTGTCTAAGGACTATGGTGGTTAAATAACAAAGGAACTGCAGGTTTTAGACCAAACGAGAGAAACTAGTGAAATTGGGCTGGAAAATGTTTACAAATCTTCTATTTTGGACCAATATCTACGGTCCGTTTTATAACCGGCCGCTCTAAACATAACCCCTACAACTCTGTTCGTTATACAGCTCAATGTAGCGGCTATGTTGTGGTGCCGTACTTGTTCACCGTGGCAGCCACAGACTGTGTCCTCCTCAGCCAAGTTGATAATGTTTAATTGACATCTTTACATTGATAACCATTCTGTTTGGTAATCTGAGAGAACTATAAATTCAGCATCATTAAATCTCCGGGGCAGTCTGTGAGTGGTGGCAAACTGCTCCCTAATTGTTTAACAAAAAAAAATAATTGCAATAGACTCTAGGCAGCAACACATAGCTGTAACAGTTATCTTTGCTAGCATGGGGAGGGACACACTCTGATTCCGGGATACAAACTTAACTAGCTCACATCAGAACGGATACTACATGTCTTAATAGTACTGTTTGCCACCTATGTTTTCCTCCACTAATGTCACGATTTTGTTTAAATACATCCAATCTTCTAGTTACTAGAACTTTAAATCTTCTCAGTTTGTTTTTGTGGGTCTTGTGAAGGTATGTGAATAGTATGTGAAAAGAAAATACTTCCCCATTCAAAACCTTGTGAAATACAAGTCTCAGAAATTCTCATGGAATGGAAAGGTAGTTAAACTGTAAGAATTGACATATTGTTTCCATGGATTGAACAATTTCTATTCATTTTTTTAAACTGGCAAATGCAATGTGGGCTGGCAACAAGATTCAGGCAACCAGGTGTTACTTAGTACCGGAGACATCTTGTCTGCATTAATTAAACCTTTTCAGGTGCTCCCTCCTAATCTCCTATTATACATAAACATACATACTTTTAATTTCTCTCCGTTAGATTTTTCCCATGATCCCACTTCCATTTGAAATTCCCAACATTTCTCACTTACTGAAAAGCCCAAAATAGCTAAACTGGCAAGATTCTCCAAGTCAGCTATACTTCCAGTTCGAATACTTTGTCCTCAAATTTGAAATTCACTTTGAATTCACCGTGAATTCTCATCAATTTCTTCTTTAGTAAATAACTTCTGGTGTTCAAGAAGAATGCTTACATTCAAATGTGCACATTCCATCTTCTCAAATGTAAGAATGGCAGCCGGCAACTACAAATTCACTGAATGTTGAAATTCTACTAAGGATGAAATTCACATTTTAGTTGGGTAAACGTTGATGAGGAATTCAAAAACTGACTGACAGGTCTGAGTTAGAAATGAATGAGACTTGGAAACAGCCCTCAAATAGGTATTAAACTATATCGAATAATATAGAAAATGACAAGCACAATATTTTTTCATGTATCTTGTAACACTATATAAAGTAGGAATTGCAAAGTCTGTAAGTAAAAGGTTTAGCAGAGGTGTATCTTGTGAGGGTATTTAGAACATTTGATCACTATAAAGTGTAAATAATCAAGCAGAGTAGGCCTTTCTAGACAGAAAACAAATATATGCAATTTTTGATTCCTTTAAAAAAAAATGTAATAACGGGCTCCAAAATGCTAGGAGGTGGACTCTGCTGAGATGACGGACTTGCAGTCAGTGTGTCGGTAGGTGCATGCTGCTGAGATAATGGACTTGGAGTCATTGTGTCGGTAGGTGCACGCTGCGGAGGTGACGGACTTGCAGTCAGTGTGTCGGTAGGTGCATGTGCGGAGGTGACAGACTTGCAGTCAGTGTGTCGGTAGGTGGCCGCTGCTGAGGTGACGGACTTGCAGTCAGTGTGTCGGTAGGTGCATGTGTGGAGGTGACAGACTTGCAGTCAGTGTGTCGGTAGGTGGCCGCTGCTGAGGTGACGGACTTGCAGTCAGTGTGTCGGTAGGTGCACGTGCAGAGGTGACAGACTTGCAGTCAGTGTGTCGGTTGGTGGACGCTGCTGAGGTGACGGACTTGCAGTCAGTGTGTCGGTAGGTGCATGCTGCGGTGGTGACTGACTTGCAGTCAGTATGTCGGTAGGTGATCGGGTGAGTAGTGTATTTAGTATATCTTTGTTGCATTGTTAATACTTCCCTTTACTGACTAAGCCCTTACCATGTTATCATTTTATGTTGGCACAGTTTCTTCAGGCAGTAGCAATACCTTGGCATCTGACAAGACTTGTGTGTTGGCCTTGCAGATGTTGAAACGTGATGTTTTGGCAGGATAATGTCATTGTCGACATGCAAGTTTGATATAGAAGTGGTTTGAGAATAATGTTTAAGAATGTTGCTGGTGTGCTCAGCCACATTGAGCATCTAGGGATGTATCTATGTTAACTTGGTAGACCATTCCTCTCAACCTGCACTGGATCCCTTTTTACTCCAAAAATGTGCAGGATGCCATAGTTTTCTTGTAATTCTGCTGTTAACCTGTTTACAGTAGGAAACCATTTATATTTCAGAAGTTTTAGTTGTACCAAAAAGCACTTCTCATGTCATAGCTCAGCGCTGTAGAATGTAAGTCACCGTTCTGATTGGCTTGCTTTGCTCTGATCTGGACTTGACTCTCTGCAGAAATAATAAAAATTGGGGATTTGCAGCAAATGCAAGGATGCAGAATGAGGTGTTATGGAATTAGTTTATTTTCTTTGTATATGCATTAACTTTACAGTGCATTGAAATGTGTTTAATCCAGTAATCCTTACATGAAATACAGTCGTAAGATAATGCTTTTAGGATGCCAAGCATCACCATAGTTTGCATTGTGTTTAGTGACCGTGGGCTTGTGTGACCAACTTGTTATTAATGAGCCAATTGATGAAGCTCTCAACAAACCATTCTGCTTCTGAAGGCAGTTTGGATTTAGTAGAAAATATTGGAACGATGAGCAGACAGATATATTTGCTACATGTGTCAGGATCCCATTTCACAATCTTTGTAGTAACTGTATCAGTGCCAAGCTGGAAATGTAACTTGATGGAATGGCAACATCACGCGACAGTGCCACATAGAACGCCATGTGCAATATTACTGTCTGGAGGTAACATGAGGTTGGACTCTGTATCCCTCGGCAATATTCCAATCCACTAACAATTACAGCATATAATGCAATATTGTTTTAAAACAAATTATTACATGATGTATAGATCAGGCTACAGCAGTTTGATTTCATTTAATGTGTCACTTCAGGGCTGCCCTAGAATGAATGCAGTCTTTGTTTCTGTATTTCTTTTTTCCATTAAAATTTCAAATTGTGAGTCCCCAAATTGTGGCAGTTAAAACTACCACGTCTGTTTATCCAGAAGTGAGCATGTGCATAAAGGTAAGAATTAGGTGGCCCAGGTGTATGGAAGGTTTGAAACCGATACATTCACATCCCCAGCCGCCCCCCGGGTACTACACACAATGTTTTATTTATTTCACTTGTTTACTTTCCAGATTATTTAATTACACTTTACAGTGATCACCACAGGGTAAATATTGTAACTAATAAAATGGTTATACTCTTTATAACCATCTTTATAAGTCTATTAAGGTTTAGGTGGGAAGAAATATTTTTACACAGCTTCTCATTAGCAAATGCTGAAGACTGACATTGAGTTTAGAGCTGGCATTTGGATGATGTAGAATATGTATTGACTGAATTACCGGGCGTATAGGTTAGTACAGTTATTGTAACTTAAAGGGATACTCCAAGCATCATAACCAGTACCCTGACACCTTTCCCAACACTTTGCCAATTACCTGGGTCCTGTGAAAGCAAAGCAGAAACCAGAGGGCAGTCCTACCGCCCAATCATTGGCTGAGAATGTCAGCGAATTGCTCTCAGCCAATGAATGAATCCCTGCAAACCCGTGTTCCAGATCTGCCTAGGGACAACCCAATGTTGCTGCCGTAGGTGGAGTTACGCATTCGGCAGCAAAGGAGATAAACAATGTATTTGCAGCGTCTTAATCGTGAAATGCTGCGCACTCCAGACACCATAACCATATCAAATCACTGTTTTACAAGTAGACTGTGTGGTTGATCTGTAGTTCACAGTTGGTGTTACATGCTGCAAGGGTCCCCATATGATACTGAGATATATGGTCTCGGCTATTGAGAGATGTTCACATATTTTAAAGATAATCTACCTACTGTTCCTTTATTTTTCTTATTACAATGGGCCCTTTGAAGATTGCTATAATTCATATGGCAAAAGTAAATTATTTTTACATTATCTATTCATATCCCTTTTAGTGTAAAGATATTGGGGTTTTATTCTCCGCTTCTGCCTCTGTTGTCAGTGAGCGAAGGTCCGTGCCTCCTCTAAGCTGTGCATATCAGGCTGCTGCCACTGATCCAAACAGTAAGACCAGCTGCTTTCTATAGCATACTCCTGGTAACACAGCAGTTCACACCGGAGAGAGGCTATTAAAGGAGCACTATAGTGCCAGGAAACTAAACTTGTTTTCCTGGCACTATAGGGTCATTCTGCCCACCCTCAGGGCCCCACTCCGCTGGGCTAAAGGGGTTAAAATCCCTTCAGTCACTTACCTTTCTCCAGCGCCGGGCTCTCCCCCTGCCGACGTCAACTCTGAATGCGCATGTGCGGTTAAAGTTGCGCGCGCATTCAAACCGCCCATAGGAAAACATTACTCAATGTTTTCCTATGGACATCCAGCGTGTCTTCAATGCGATTATCACATTGATGATTTCGGAAGCAGCTTCTAGTGGCGGTCAGGGAGACAGCGACTAGAGGCTGGATTAACCCTCAATGTAAACATAGCAGTTTCTCTGAAACTATGTTTACAGCTGCAGGGTTAAAAATGGGACCTGGCACCCAGACCACTTCATTGAGCTTAAAGGTCAGCTTAATGAAGTGGTCTGGGTGCCAGGTCCTTCTAGGGTTAACCCATTGTTTTATAAACATAGCAGTTTCAGTCTCATTGACAGCCGCTAGAGGCGCTTGCGTGCTTCTCACTGATTTTTACAGTGAGAGCACGCCAGCGTCCATAGGAAAGCATTCTAAATGCTTTCCTATGCGACCGGCTGAATGCGCGCGCATTCAGCCAACGGGGCGGATCGGAAGAGGAGAGCTTCCCGCCCAGTGCTGGAAAAAGGTAAGTTTTAACCCTTTTCCCCTTTCCAGAGCCGGGCAGGAGGGGGTCCCTGAGGGTGGGGGCACCCTCAGGGCACTATAGTGCCAGGAAAATGAGTATGTTTTCCTGGTACTATAGTGGTCCTTTAAGTGGTCTGGGTGCCTATAGTGGTACTTTAACCAAAACCCCAATATCTTTACACTAAAGGGACCTATGTAACTGTAGTCTGTAGAAAATGCAGGGAACACAGCAGCTCACACTGGAGGGGGCAATTAACCTAACTCCCCTCTTAATCTAACAAGTTTAATGTTTCCATTCACACTGTACACCTGGCTGTCTGGCAGCCAGGTGTTCAATAAGAATTACACTTTAGACACTATAGTCACCATAACAACTACAGCTTAATGTATAATAAACCGTTTAATGCAATTGTTCTGGTGGCTACAGCCTGGTAGGCATAGGCAACCTTCGTCACTCCAGGTGTTTTGGACTACACCTCCCATGATGCTTTGCCAGCATTATGGGAGATGTAGTCCAAAACATCTGGAGTGCTGATGGTTGCCTATCCATGGCCTAGTAACACCTCTAGGTGAAGCTACTAAGACGGCCACAAGAGTTGCTTCTTTGGTAAGTGCTAAAATGTTCAGTCTTCACACTCTGCATGGAGATGCTGATTTGCGCAGCGCTGTTTTGTTGCGCATGCACAATAGTCTCCCAATGCTTTCCTATGGGAAAGCACTGGATTGGCTGAGATCTCCGCCAAGGAGGCAGAGCATGAAAATGTTTAACTCTTTTTTTTTTTTTTTTACTACAGGGAAAGGGGAGCCAGCCACCTAATTACGCTATTAAAACTATACTGTCAGGAATACATGTTTGTATTCCTTTAAAATTGTTAGATTTAAAAAAAAATTAATGAAAAAAAGCACAATCCATACATAACATTAATAATAAATGTGTTTCTTTTCATGTCTTCCAGCATCCTGTGTATCCCTTAATTTAGAGAGATCTCTTGGATTTTGTATTTTCCTTTATTTGCAAACTAGATGGTGAAGTTCCTGAAATCTGTGAATATTTGTGAATTATTTCCAAAAAGAACGATGAGCTTTGCAGAGTTGATATATCCATGAGCAAAGTCAAGAAAAAACTATTGGGTGTCGTTCTCCAAGTAAAAAAAAATCTAATTGTATACCATAGCGAAATCTAAGGATTTAACTGCTGACATTACTGCAGCCGCTCTGAGAACATGGCAATCCAGGTTGGTTGTATATTTTATTATCAGTTGAGGATTAAAGGAGAATAGACTTGCATTTATGTTTTCAAATCGAAACCTATACACATAGCTAGGGATTGCCAAATAGTTTGAAGATCTACAACGAAGTTGCAAATCACATTTACAGAGCGTAAAGAGGTCCATGAGTTGGAGTTGGTTAACGCTACTTGCTGTGAGCTCCTCCAGGTTTTATCATGCATTGTTACTAAATGCCATCCTCCTATTTCTCTCTGCTCACCGTACAATATTTGGGAATATATGCAGGGCTTGAAATATCCTACACTAATAGCCAGGCCTACATGTTTCGCACCTTTACAAGCCTGACCGGGTCCATGCCACACTTACCAAACCACAATTTCTACTGACCAGGGTTGAATATTTATTACCAATAGTGAGGAGTGGAAATTTTAATAATGTCCTTCTAAAGGAGTCTGGGTTTATACTTGCAACGTAAAGCTGGGCTAGTCTGGGTTTATACTAGCAACGTAAAGCTGGGCTAGTCTGGGTTTATACTTGGAACTTGAAGCTGGGCTAGTCTTGGTTTATATTCGGAAAGTGAAGCTGGGCTAGTCTTGTTTTATACTAGGAAAGTAAAGCTGGGCTAGTCTGGGTTTATACTCAGAAAGTAAAGCTGAGCTAGTCTGGGTTTATACTTGGAACGTAAAGCTGAGCTAGTCTAGGTTTATACTTGCAACGTAAAGCTGGGCTAGTCTGGAGTTATACTCGGAAAGTAAATCTGAGCTAGTCTGGGTTCATACTCCGAATGTAAAGCTGAGCTAGTCTGGGTTTATACTCGGAAAGTAAAGCTGAGCTAGTCTGGGTTTATACTTGGAAAGTACAGCTGGGCTAGTCTTGGTTTATACTCGGAAAGTAAAGCTGGGCTAGTCTTGGTTTATACTCGGAAAGTAAAGCTGGGCTAGTCTTGGTTTATATTCGGAAAGTGAAGCTGGGCTAGTCTTGTTTTATACTAGGAAAGTAAAGCTGGGCTAGTCTGGGTTTATACTCAGAAAGTAAAGCTGAGCTAGTCTGGGTTTATACTTGGAACGTAAAGCTGAGCTAGTCTAGGTTTATACTTGCAACGTAAAGCTGGGCTAGTCTGGAGTTATACTCGGAAAGTAAATCTGAGCTAGTCTGGGTTCATACTCCGAATGTAAAGCTGAGCTAGTCTGGGTTTATACTCGGAAAGTAAAGCTGAGCTAGTCTGGGTTTATACTTGGAAAGTAAAGCTGAGCTAGTCTGGGTTTATACTTGGAAAGTACAGCTTGGCTAGTCTTGGTTTATACTCGGAAAGTAAAGCTGGGCTAGTCTTGGTTTATACTCGGAAAGTAAAGCTGGGCTAGTCTTGGTTTATACTCGGAAAGTAAAGCTGGGCTAGTCTGGGTTTTTACTTGGAACGGAAAGCTGGGCTAGTCTGGGTTTATACTCGGAAAGTAAAGCTGGGCTAGTCTGGGTTGATATTTGGAACGTTAAGCTGAGCTAGTACGGGTTTATACTTGGAATGTAAAACTGGGCTAGTCTGGAGTTATACTCGGAAAGTAAAGCTGAGCTAGTCTGGGTTGATACTTGGAACGCTAAGCTGAGCTAGTCTGGGTTTATACTCGGAAAGTAAAGCTGGGCTAGTCTGGGTTTATACTAGGAAAGTAAAGCAGAGCTAGTCTGGGTTTATACGTGGAAAGTTAAGCTGGGCTAGTCTTGGTTTATACTAGGAAAGTAAAGCTGAGCTAGTCTGGGTTTATACTCGGAAAGTAAAGCAGAGCTAGTCTGGGTTTATACTTGGAAAGTTAAGCTGGGCTAGTCTTGGTTTATACTAGGAAAGTAAAGCTGAGCTAGTCTGGGTTTATACTCGGAAAGTAAAGCTGGGCTAGTCTGGGTTTATACTCGGAAAGTAAAGCTGGGCTAGTCTGGGTTTATACTCGGAAAGTAAAGCTGGGCTAGTCTTGGTTTATACTCGGAAAGTAAAGCGGGGCTAGTCTTGGTTTATACTTGGAACGTAAAGCTGGGCTAGTCTTGGTTTATACTCGGAAAGTAAAGCTGGGCTAGTCTGGGTTGATATTTGGAACGTTAAGCTGAGCTAGTGTGGGTTTATACTTGGAAGTTTATACCCAGCCTAGCTCAGCATTACTTTCCGAGTATAAACCCAGACTTGCTCAGCTTTGATAATTGAAAAGATTTGTATGTATCGAACGCAGGGTTTGCGTGTTTGTTTTCTTTCATAAAGGGCAGCATGGGAGGTATGTGTTTTATTTTTTTTAAATCCTGTACGTGCTGCCAGTTTACTCTTGGCCCTTGTACACATGGAACCTTTGAGGGGGGCATTGAAAGTTTGAAGTAAACCAGTTTGTGTGCTTTTGTATTACTTACTTTGTTTGGGATTTGTGAACTAAATATGATGCAGTGATAGGAGGCTTATACATCAGGGGCAGCCGTCCAGCAATGTAGAATGGGCCCTGGTATCCAAATCTGAATTATTTTTCAGTAGGTTATAAAAATTGCTTCAGTCCATGGAAACAATGTCCTTCAAGTAGGGGTTTGGGGATTGTTAAATGCACCTAGGGGCTTGGAATCAGCCTGGAGTTGTTGGCACCTGTCTGCAAGCAGGGATTGAGAGGATTTCTTTGAGAGCCCATAACTGATCACTGATGTATATTTAACGCACAGCTGCCGGTCTATAAAGATATTACAAACGTCACACCTAGACAGCCATGCTCAAAAACTCTCAAACCCGCCTGCTTTTCCCTACTTGCCTGTTTCAGTGCTATACAATTCCTATTTCAGGCAATGACCCTATTTTGTTTGTGATTTGACCATAGCTCTCCCTGTGTAGTTTCATTGTATGATGCTGTATACATTTCTGTCTGTTCGCACTGTAATCTTGGAGGTAGGGATAAAGCTGCCTGCATTTCTGAGCATCATTCAGGCGGATTTCGTTCATTTGCAATGTTTGGATTTCTGCGGTCTTGTCACAGTATTGTGTTTTGCTCTGGTGAGAATTTAAACCAGTTCTGTCTGTAGAATAAGAGAAGGCATTATTTCGGTGTTTAGTTGTTCTTTAGAAATATATGAGCTATAATAAAACTGATGTTGACTCTCCTTTTTAGTTTGTTTGAATCTTTAAAGGAGACAAGCTGATCTTGTCTTCAACATGAATGGCATTCCCGCTACTAATGGGGCGATTCTTTGATCTCTGGCTCAGCGTTCTCCCCTTTGATTTCGGAGGTAATTATGATGTTTGCTGTTATGATAAAACAGGGGGAAATCAAATGAGAGAACAAAGTACAAACCTGTGTATTATAAACCCTCCACACACGTAAAGGACTTCAATCAGGTAGCGGAGCCTGGAGACACCATCACAGTCATGGAGGATGGCTTCCACTTCTGTTGGTTCTACAGAGCTGGAGCTTTTTAAATGAGCCATTTTTTTTGTGTATTAATCCAGTGATTTCAGCAGAAAGCAGGTCCATTATTTAACACCAGTCTCATTTAGTGCTGGTAACCTGCTCTTGTTCAGCAATTAAATGGGTGTAAGAACATTATGGGGGATGTAGTCCACAACATCTGGAGTGCCAGCGGTTGCCTACTCCTGGTGTAGAGTTTGTCAATGGAAATCAAATCTCATTTCATCCTATTGGTTTTGTTTTTTTACCTGGCTGGTTGAACTTCCCTGATTTATTTTATTTTGCCCCTAAAACAAGGTGTTTTTTTTGTTTGTTTTTTTGTTTCTACAGTGGATTCTGCAAAGATCATGAAGTGACTCAACGTATCGATCCCTGCATACCAAAGGGGTTTCAGGCAGGTCAGAGGGTTCTTAATTTGTCGTTCAGTAGTCCACTTTCTACTATAGAAATCCAACAGCTCAACTACATTTCCCAGAAACCATTGCAGCGTGTCATGTACAGCTGTATTACTGCAACAGAAAAGTAAACTGTGCAGGTTGGGAGAGAGGGCAAACTGAGAACGCCACTAAGGAATACTAAAAGGTTCCCTTTTGTAATGACAAATGAGCAAAAACTTGTTGAGACCTGAGCGGGAACTAACCGAAGGCAAGCTACTGACATTCTCTAAGCTTTTGTCCGTTCTCATATTCTGTTTTTGTTGCAATTCATTAACTTGGCTCTCCCCAAGTCCAAAGGGTAATCCGGACATGGTGCTCATTGTGTTCATGAGGTCCGAGAAGGCCGAAACGATTGTCTGGGGTTGCTGTATCTCTTATGGGGCGAGAACTTGCCAGTATTTCTGTTCTGGATTGACCATATTGGGGAGATCAGTCTGATGTGCAACGGTATAGGTTCACTCTGTAATGGCACAAGTGAGCAGACCTGAGCTGGGATTTACCGAAGGGCGAGCTACTGAGAATCTCTAAGCTTTTGCCTGTTTTCAGAGTTATCATATTCTGGGTTTTGTCTAAAAGACATTCTGGTTACATTTGAATAATTCTACAATGTTTAAATTAACAGCGCCCATTCAGTTTTAGCTCTGGGTTCCACCTTACAGTGAGTCGAACTGTTCTGGAGTTTTATTAGAACCACGTTTGTTTAAATCTGAATATATGTTGGAGGTTTTATAAATCCCATAATTAATATAAATAAAAATAACAAATCTAAAGGGAAAACAAATTGAAGCTAAAAAAGTTTCACATGCGAATCTACAATAACTACTCCTTCATCTATAGAAAAATAATCCATATATGTTCTGTTAAAGTTCCTACATTGCAACAGGTTATATAGCACAACAGTCAAACTGTGTCTGCAGTATTAGTGCAGTAAAATCAAATAACTATAAATGTGTTTTCAGATCTGTAAATAAGACCATAAAGGATCTGGCTTGTTCTTGGTTGCGGGTGAAATTATAATACATTTTGTAATTACGTCCTGCATTGATCAGTGAGTGTTAACATTACATGTCTCTAAATGTATGTGTCTCTTAGCGCAGTCATGCAGCAGCCAACAAGATCTGAGGCCAGTCCCATAAAACCCAAACTAGCGGTCAATGTCAAGCAGTCTGTAATTAACTGATCCTTTTATCTTTGGCCTACAGAAATTAATTACAGACTCTGTGGCTAATATTCTATTACTTGAGTTAATGATCCACTAGGAGGTTGCAGAGGGAGGTGTGCACAGGGCAAACACTTCCAATTGTGGAAGTAAATTTGTAGCCAGACACTCTTGGTCTATTTACAGCTACCCTGTATAAACTGATGTCTGTCTGTGGAAACAACAAGGGCATATTTATTTTTTCCGAACCTCAATAAACTAAAAATAGAGATGTGTACGTTTTGGGGTTCAGTACAAGAAAATATAATCCAGTCTGTAATATTCACAAACTGCAGTCCTATTGCATGATTATCCCTCTAAATATGTTTAATCTGAATGATGGAGATGTTTATCCAGGAAGCTTCAGGAGAAATTGGAATGGAGGATTTGCAATAAGTCACAAGGTATAGATTTCTCCAGTCCTGCGTTTCGATGTGGGACGGCATTAGAAGGTGTTGAATGGCCTCCTCTTTTTTAGCTACTGAAGCTTTGGGATTCCCTAATCATTTTGTATAATTGATGAACCACTGGTCACTCCTAGAGAGATATCCAAACCATTCACAGAAACTTTACAACACAATTGCCCTCACAGCTAGCAGAGCCTTGCACTTGGATAGCTTCAGAGTATGGTTCTGTTTTTACCAGACCTTAAGACAGAAAGCAATCTAATAATGGTGAATAAATTTAGTGTCCTACAAAATACGGCTTCCTTCCATAAAACCTGGACCATGGCTTTGGTTGGACCCATAGGAGTAACGTTCCTCACACTGGGTATTCCCTCTTCTCCCATTTTTTAATGCTTATTTGTTTTTATCTTCCATATGTTTTCAATCTGTGGAGAGTGTTGGAGCATTGTTCTTACTCCAGTGTGGAGAGCGTTGTTCTTCCCACAGTGTAGGAGAGCAATGTTCTTCCCACAGTGTAGGAGAGCGCAGTTCTTCACCCAGTGTTAGGAGAGCATTGTTCTTCCCCCAGTGTAGGAGAGCGCAGTTCTCACCCCAGTGTAGGAGAGCGCAGTTCTCACCCCAGTGTAGGAGAGCGCAGTTCTCACCCCAGTGTAGGAGAGCGCAGTTCTCACCCCAGTGTAGGAGAGTGAAGTTCTTCCCCCAGTGTAGGAGAGCGCAGTTCTTCACCCAGTGTAGGAGAGCGCAGTTCTTCACCCAGTGTTAGGAGAGCATTGTTCTTCCCCCAGTGTAGGAGAGCGCAGTTCTCACCCCAGTGTAGGAGAGCGCAGTTCTCACCCCAGTGTAGGAGAGCGCAGTTCTCACCCCAGTGTAGGAGAGCGCAGTTCTCACCCCAGTGTAGGAGAGTGAAGTTCTTCCCCCAGTGTAGGAGAGCGCAGTTCTTCACCCAGTGTTAGGAGAGCATTGTTCTTCCCCCAGTGTAGGAGAGCGCAGTTCTCACCCCAGTGTAGGAGAGCGCAGTTCTCACCCCAGTGTAGGAGAGCGCAGTTCTCACCCCAGTGTAGGAGAGCGCAGTTCTCCCCCCAGTGCAGGAGAGCGCTGTTCTCCTCCCAGTGCAGGAGAGCGCTGTTCTCCCCCCATTGCAGGAGAGCGCTGTTCTTCCCCCAGTGCAGGAGAGCGCAGTTCTTCCCCCAGTGCAGGAGAGCGCAGTTCTTCCCCCAGTGCAGGAGAGCGCTGCTTTTCCCCCAGTGCAGGAGAGCACAGTTCTTCCATACAGCTAAATGGGCTGCAGAATAAAATTAAAAACAATTTAACTGCGGAGCTCAGTCTGCACGGTGCCCTCCATGGGTAAAGATGGATTACTTTTTTTGTGCTCGGGTTTTTTTTTTTTCTTCAAAGTGCGACGGTTATTATGAATTTTTATTTGGCCTTTTTGGGGGCTGAAAAAAGATTTTTAGAAAAAAGAAAACGTCAAATGGTAAGTTTTTTTTTTTTTTTTTTTTTTTTTACACAGGTACCTAGTTATTGGTCCCTCCTCACTTTTAGGGTGAGGGGGCTAGGTAGGGGTTCATTCATTTTTTGGGAGGGGGGTGACTAGGGGTTTGAGGACCCCTAGTCACCTGGGGGCGTTACAGTTTTTATTTAGGGCCCCCACCCGCCGCTCAGGGGTGGGGGCTGGGGGGGAGGACTATAGCTCCCCCCCTTGAAGTAATTTAGGGCCCCCACCCACGTTCAGGGGTGGGGGCCGGGGGGAGGACAGGGCTCGGTAGGCTGGATACAGTGTTTTTTTTATTTTAAAACTGCTCACTGTTTAATAGACATGCCCCTACTTGCGGTATAGCGAGTAGGGGCAGAGTGGACTAATGCTAAGTAATCTTTATTTCGTATTACTAAATTTGGCTGAAAGACCAATTTAGGTCTTTCAACCTTTTGGTAGATAACTCCCTAATTCCCACGGTATTAGGGAGCTATCTCCTTAGCAGCTGCAAGAGAACATCCGAAGTGCCGAACAGAATTTCCGAATTGCAGAAGTCCTGAATTTCGGAATGCTGAACCTAACCGAATATTTTCCCCATGCACATCCCTAATACCTACACATACCTCCATACACACTGACACATAGACACACATACCTACACATACACAGTGGCACACATACATACACTGGCACTTCCAGCATGCTCTGCAAACATTAAAGGTCTGCAGCATCTGGGCCCCTGATAAGACCTGCCTGGGGAGATTTCTCTCTGCCTAGCCGATGCTGCAGAGGCCTGATTAGGCTCTTAAAGGGCCAACCCGCCCGACTGGCCCTGTTTAGCATCGGATGGCCCTTAGTGCATGGGCAGCCCCAAGACATGCGGACCTCTATGCAGGTGCACACTGACTGCACCGGTGGTAGCTCCGCCACTGCCTCAATTTACCACTCACATTTGTCAGTACATTTGATTACCATTTTCTTGTACATATGTAGATAATCCTATATGTCTAATTGTTATATTTTTAGGTTAATATACCTTTAATAAATTAAAATCTTCTTATATTTATTCTGCAGCCCAATTAGCTGTATAGTTTTATCCACCTTAATAGCTTCAAGCCCAATCCTTTCAGGTTGGAGACTTGGTGATTAAGTCTGTTAATCTTTCAAGCGTATCAGAGCATTGATCTTCCTACAGTGTAGGAGTATCGGAGCATAGATCTTATGATAGTACGGGAGAGTATCAGAGCATTGATCTTCCACTAGTGCAGGAGAGTATCGGAGCATTGATCGTCCTCTGATGTGGGAGAGTATTGGAGCATTGATCTTCCTCTGGTGCGGGAGAGTATTGGAGCATTCTTCCTCCGGTGCGAGAGAGTATCGGAGCATTGATCTTCCTCTGGTGCGGGAGAGTATTGGAGCATTGATCTTCCTCCGGTGCGGGAGAGTATCGGAGTATTGTTTTTCTTCCTGCGTGGCATAAAAAAATTTATTTTTTTTCTGAGTTCTAGAACCCACCCAGGATACTTAGTGTTCCTTCATGAGCAAGGCCAGTAGAGTGAGAATACTCAAAGGGGGTCAATGGTCTGATTCATGTGTTTTTAATTTGCTGACAGTAAATGTCTTCTGTGTACATTTATTTATGTTCCAAAGAGCCTGTTTCCTAGCAAACTCATCTGTACTTTGTTAGCCTGCACAGGTCATTAAAGCTAAAAACTTCATGCAGGTCAGAGGTCAATGATAGTATGTGTCTGTTACACTTCCCTGAGAGGTCAGCTCCAAACATGTTCATTGACCGCAGGATCACCGCCGGGCACCTGGAGTGGACGCCCTCAGGTAATGTGGTTTCGCTGTGCGGTCCGTGGAGGAATGCAAAATATTTAAACCCTCAAAAGCATTAAGTCATCTTTTCCAACGATCGTTACTTTCAAAAATATGATTTATCTTTTATTACAAATGCTGCTAAATTTGTATCCAGTAAATACTCTGTCTTATTGCTACTACGGGAAGTGATAGAACACAGGGGAATCAGATAACACTACTCTACCTGCCTTTCTGGTATGCTGAAAACCTACATATTACATCTGGACGATCCACCATCAATAAATACCCAGGAACTCCTTTTATAACATGATTCTCTACAAAGGCACTTAATTGGTTACCCGCTCGGTAACGAGAGCAACATAATATCTCTCCATGCTCGGTAACGTGGCGTATTATCTCTCCCTGTTCAGTAACGAGAGCGGTGTATTATCTCTCCCTGTTTGGGAACGAGAGCAACATAATATCTCTCCCTGCTTGGTAACGAGAGTGGTGTATTATCTCAACATGCTCGGTAACAAGAGCGGTGTATTATCTCTCCCTACATGGTAACGAGAGCGGTGTATTATCTCTCCCTGCACGGTAACAAGAGTGGTGTATTATCTCTCCCTGCACGGTAACGAGAGCAGTGTATTCTCTCTCCCTGCATGGTAACGAGAGCGATGTATTATCTCTCCCTGCACGGTAACGAGAGCGATGTATTATCTCTCCGTGCTCGTAACGAGAGTGGTGTATTATCTCTCCCTGCACGGTAACGAGAGCAGTGTATTCTCTCTCCCTGCACGGTAACAAGAGCAATGTATTATCTCTCCATGCTCGTAACGAGAGCGGTGTATTATCTCTCCATGCTCGGTAACGAGCGGTGTATTATCTCTCCCTGCACGGTAACTAGAGCAATATATTATCTCTCCATGCTCGTAACGAGAGCAGTGTATTATCTCTCCCTGTTCGGTAATGAGAGCAGTGTATTATCTCTCCCCGCCAGGTAACGAGAGTGGTGTGTTATCTCTCCCTGTTCGGTAATGAGAGCAGTGTATTCTCTCTCCCCGCCCGGTAACTGGGGAAGTTGCAGACCTCTGTCTATTACTATAACTCATTTGTTTTCGATCATTCCATGTAAAATTCATAAATTATAAGAACATATTCCCTTTTCTAGCATTGACTGAAAATGTCCAGAACGTAGGCACCCAGGAAAGCTGGTAAACGGGTCATTTTACTTATTCAATCCTAACAACTTAATATATTTACTCGAATCTGATTCACAGCTTTTTTGGCAAAAATTTGAATGTGTATCAGATTTGATGGCGTACATTCGGGGCGAAATTCACAGTTTCATCGCTGCAACAGAGATGCTAAACTTTCTGTGTACAGTAAAGCTGTACCTCTCATCTTTGTCGTGATGTGAATTTCACCGCGGTCACAGTAGTCGTAGCAGCTTGTAAGAATCTAACAACTGAGTGACAAAAGCATCCAAAAGTAACCGCATCATAGGTGAGATTAATTCTGCTTGGGGTCGTTTTCCTAGGAAAAGATCATCGCACAAGATGGGCTGAAACCACAATTCATAGGGGTGTGCCTGGGCACACCCTAATCCCTGTGGCACGCCTATGGCGTTTCTGCAGGCACTCAGCGCCCCCTGTCTCACCTCTTGCCCCTGTCATGGATACTCCGCTCTCTGCATCTCAGCCACGGCATCTCTGCATCTCAGCCGTGGCGAGGGAGCTGTCTGCTCTCTGCTCCCTCTCGCCGCGCGCTGATGCCGGCAGCCGGAATATGACGTCATATTCCGGCTCCTAGCTACAGCAGACAGCCCGCGCGGCGAGAGGGAGCAAACAGCAAACAGCTCCCTCGCCGCGGCTGAGATGCAGAGAGGTGCCCGCCCCACTGGACCCCAGGGAAAAGTCCACGCCAGCAGGTAGGGTGGCTGGGTGGACATTTTATTGTTAAAATATAATAATTTATGTGTGTGTGAATGTGTGTCTCTGAGTGAGTGTGTCTGTGTGTGTCTGTGTGTGTCTGTGAATGTGTATGTGTGTGAGTGTGTACGCTATATATATATACACACACATGTATATTATTTTTTTGGGGGGGGGGTGGGAATCCCGATCTCCCCTGTCGGCTCACGCAGAGCCGGAGCTATCTGAGTGCCGGCTCTGCTCTAAGCCTCCATGGGCCGGCCGGGAGACCAAAGATCTACCTCACCGGCCCACAGCAGCATGGAGGGAGGCAGGAGAGGACCCAGGGAGCTCTAGACAGAAGCTCCGCCAGGTTCCTCTCGCGATATTTGAGCGTTGCTGCGGCAACGCTCAGATCTCGCGAGAGTTAACTTTAGCCCCACAGGCTAGAGTTCACTCTCCACTGGACCACCAGGGATGGCACATGGCAGCAAGGATTTACTAATCTGCCCCCACCTCCACAATCCCTCCAAACATACAGCACCTACACACATACAGCTCACACACAAACACACACAGCACCTTTAAAAAAAACACAACACCCTCACACACAGCACACTAACAGCACCCTCACAAACACACACAAACAGCACCCTCACAAATACACACACAAACAGCACCCTCACAAATACACGACACTCACACAAACCGCACCCTCACAGGACAAACACACACACACACAAACAGCACAGTCACAAACACACACACACACAAACACCCTCACACAGCAAACTAACAGCACACACAGCAGTGTGTGTGTGTATGTGTGTGTGTATATATATATATATATATACACACACACGCGGCGTGTGTTTATGCTTTAGGGTGCACACCCTAATGCAATAGGCTGCGCACGCCTATGCCACAATTACATGTACCTACTTACCATGCCAGGTTTACTTCATCAGCAAAATGGCTTCCAAGTGCGCATTAGATTTGAGTAAATACGATATTTCTATGTGTGCAATTATTTCCTGTATTCCTGTGTATATATTTTTTTCCCTGTATTCCGATGTATTTTCTTTCCCTGTTTTCCGGTGTGTATTTTTTTTCCCCTTGTATTCCTGTGTATTTTTTTCCCCTTGTATTCCTGTGTATTTTTTTCCCCCTGTATTCCCGTGTGTATTTTTTGCCCTGTGTTCCGATGTATTTTTTTTCCCCCTGTATTCTGATGTATTTTTCCCCCCTGTATTCCGGTGTGTATTTTTCTCCCCTGTATTCCGGTGTGTATTTTTTTCCCCTGTATTCCCTTTGTTTATATGTCTTTTGCTCTTTTCTTGAGTATATTTTTTTGCTGTATTTTTGTGTATATTTTTTGCCTTGGGTGCTTGGCATAGAGAAGTGCCATATCTGACGTATCACATACTGATTTTATTCTTTATATTTATTTATAAATCTTTCCCCTGGCTATTTATTGAATAATCTGACAGCATTCCCAGTGACACATTGTAGCCAATTCTCATGTTGATCAATGTCTGCCCACTGTACTTTAAGTGATGTACTTTTAAATCTGACTCACCTGAGTGTCCACTTGGTGGCAGCTTGGGGGAGGGGTGGTGCTCTGGAAGACCATTTCTTTACTTATGTAGTCCAGATCCTGCAGGTTCCCAATTCCATTTCTAGATCTGTCTCGCTGAGCTGCCTACCTGCACCTGGTTACCTGCAGTGTGAGCTGTAAGCTGATCTCCCCTGAGTGTCTCCTCCCCCAGTGTCCTGGCTCAGCAGCAAATTCCAGCACTGGATCAGAGGGAGCATTTACCCAGAGCAGCAAGATCTGTCCTGCTGTTTGATGTGTGCCTTTTGTCCCAGCCTGCTGAATGCACGGTAAGTACCTCTCAGACTGGGTCACTGGCTGTAGAATGCTCCCCAGGGTTCCCTTAAGCTCCCAAACCTGTATCCTGCATGGATCAGCCAGAACTGGGGTGATTCCAGAAAATTGCTAAATAGGGGACCCCAGAACTCCCTCTGTTATATTAATATGGACACTGTGAGACTGTAATTAAATTGGAAATTGTATTTTAATGTAGTTTATTTACATTGAAATTAAATATTATTTTATGTTAAAATAAACTGCAATATAGATGAATCCCCAGTCTAAAAGGAATAGCTATCGGAGTAGATATCAATAAATAAATTCTGATTATTATAAAAGTTTGCCAATAAAATTAAGACAAGTGGGTAATGGTAAAAATTTGATATGTATGTAAGCAACTAAATTATTTAAATTTCACCTGTAACTTCATCTAAATGATGAAGGGCTCGCTCTGTTTATACACTATATAAATCCATAGATAGATAGAAGCAGGGCTCGCTCTGTTTATACACTATATAAATCCATAGATGGATAGAAGCAGGGTTCGCTCTGTTTATACACTATATAAATCCATAGATAGATAGAAGCAGGGCTCGCTCTGTTTATACACTATATAAATCCATAGACAAAAGCAGGACTCGCTCTGTTTATACACTATATAAATCCATAGATAGATAGAAGCAGGGCTTCCTCTGTTTATACACTATATAAATCCATAGATAGAAGCAGGGCTCGCTCTGTTTATACACTATATAAATCCATAGATAGAAGCAGGGCTCCCTCTGTTTATACACTATATAAATCCATAGATAGAAGCAGGGCTCCCTCTGTTTATACACTATATAAATCCATAGATAGAAGCAGGGCTCCCTCTGTTTATACACTATATAAATCCATAGATAGAAGCAGGGCTCGCTCTGTTTATACACTATATAAATCCATAGATGGATAGAACCAGGGCTCGCTCTGTTTATACACTATATAAATCCATAGATAGATAGAAGCAGGGCTCGCTCTGTTTATACACTATATAAATCCATAGATAGATAGAAGCAGGGCTCGCTCTGTTTATACACTATATAAATCCATAGATAGAAGCAGGGCTCGCTCTGTTTATACACTATATAAATCCATAGATAGAAGCTGGGCTCGCTCTGTTTATACACTATATAAATACATAGATAGAAGCAGGGCTCGCTCTGTTTATACACTATATAAATACATAGATAGATAGAAGCAGGGCACGATCTGTTTATACACTATATAAATCCATAGATAGAAGCAGGGCTCGCTCTGTTTATACACTATATAAATCCATAGATAGAAGCTGGGCTCGCTCTGTTTATACACTATATAAATCCATAGATAGATAGAAGCAGGGATCGCTCTGTTTATACACTATATAAATCCATAGATAGATAGAAGCAGGGCTCGCTCTGTTTATACACTATATAAATCCATAGATAGAAGCAGGGTTCGCTCTGTTTATACACTATATAAATCCATAGAAAGAAGCAGGGCTTGCTCTGTTTATACACTATATAAATCCATAGATAGATAGAAGCAGGGCTCGCTCTGTTTATACACTATATAAATCCATAGATAGATAGAAGCAGGGCTCGCTCTGTTTATACACTATATAAATCCATAGATAGATAGAAGCAGGGCTCGCTCTGTTTAAACACTATATAAATCCATAGATAGATAGAAGCAGGGCTCGCTCTGTTTATACACTATATAAATCCATAGTTAGATAGAAGCAGGGCTCGCTCTGTTTATACACTATATAAATCCATAGTTAGATAGAAGCAGGACTCGCTCTGTTTATACACTATATAAATCCATAGATAGATAGAAGCAGGGCTCGCTCTGTTTATACACTATATAAATCCATAGATAGATAGAAGCAGGGCTCGCTCTGTTTATACACTATATAAATCCATAGATAGACAGAAGCAGGGCTCGCTCTGTTTATACACTATATAAATCCATAGATAGATAGAAGCAGGGCTCGCTATGTTTATACACTATATAAATCCATAGATAGATAGCTGGGCTTGCTCTGTTTATACACTATATAAATCCATAGATAGAAGCAGGGCTCACTCTGTTTATACACTATATAAATCCATAGATAGATAGATAGAAGCAGGGCTCACTCTGTTTATACACTATATAAATCCATAGATAGAAGCAGGGCTCGCTCTGTTTATACACTATATAAATCAATGGATAGATAGAAGCAGGGCTCGCTCTGTTTATACACTATATAAATCCATAGATAGATAGAAGCAGGGCTCGCTCTGTTTATACACTATATAAATCCATAGATAGATAGAAGCAGGACTCGCTCTGTTTATACGCTATATAAATCCATAGATAGATAGAAACAGGGCTCGCTCTGTTTATACACTATATAAATCCATAGATAGATAGAAGCAGGGCTCGCTCTGTTTATACACTATATAAATCCATAGATAGAAGCAGGACTCGCTCTGTTTATACACTATATAAATCCATAGATCGATAGAAGCAGGGCTCGCACTGTTTATACACTATATAAATCCATAGATAGAAGCAGGGCTCGCTCTGTTTATACACTATATAAATCCATAGATAGAAGCAGGACTCGCTCTGTTTATATACTATATAAATCCATAGATAGATAGAAGCAGGGCTCGCTCTGTTTATACACTATATAAATCCATAGATAGAAGCAGAGCTCGCTCTGTTTATACACTATATAAATCCATAGATAGATAGAAGCAGGGATCGCTCTGTTTATACACTATATAAATCCATAGATAGATAGAAGCAGGGCTCGCTCTGTTTATACACTATAAAAATCCATAGATAGAAGTAGGGCTCACTCTGTTTATATACTATATAAATCCATAGATAGATAGAAGCAGGGCTCACTCTGTTTATACACTATATAAATCCATAGATAGATAGAAGCAGGGCTCGCTCTGTTTATACACTATATAAATCCATAGATAGATAGAAGCAGGGCTCGCTCTGTTTATACACTATATAAATCCATAGATAGATAGAAGCAGGGCTCGCTCTGTTTATACACTATATAAATCCATAGATAGAAGCAGGACTGGCTCTGTTTATACACTATATATAAATCCATAGCTAAGCAGAATTTGCGCTCTGTTTATACACTATATAAATCCATAGATGGAAATAGAAGCAGGGCTACTGTTTTATACACTATATAAATCCATAGAAAGATAGAAGCAGGGCTCGCTCTGTTTATACACTATATAAATCAATAGATGGATAGAAGCAGGGCTTGCTCTATTTATACACTATATAAATCCATAGATAGATAGAAGCAGGGCTCGCTCTGTTTATACACTATATAAATCCATAGATAGATAGAAGCAGGGCTCGCTCTGTTTATACACTATATAAATCCATAGATAGATAGAAGCAGGGCTCGCTCTGTTTATACACTATATAAATCCATAAATAGATAGAAGCAGGGCTCGCTCTGTTTATACACTATATAAATCCATAGATAGATAGAAGCAGGGCTCGCTCTGTTTATACACTATATAAATCCATGAATAGATAGAAGCAGGGCTCGCTCTGTTTATACACTATATAAATCCATAGATAGAAGCAGGGCTCGCACTGTTTATACACTATATAAATCCATAGATAGAAGCAGGACTCGCTCTGTTTATACACTATATAAATCCATAGATAGATAGAAGCAGGACTCGCTCTGTTTATACACTATATAAATCCATAGATAGATAGAAGCAGGGCTCGCTCTGTTTATACACTATATAAATCCATAGATGGATAGAAGCAGGACTCGCTCTGTTTATACACTATATAAATCCATAGATATATAGAAGCAGGGCTTGCTCGGTTTATACACTATATAAATCCATAGATAGATAGAAGCAGGGCTCGCTCTGTTTACACACTATATAAATCCATAGTTAGATAGAAGCAGGGCTCGCTCTGTTTATACACTATATAAATCCATAGATAGAAGCAGGACTCGCTCTGTTTATACACTATATAAATCCATAGATAGAAGCAGGGCTCGCTCAGTTTATACACTATATAAATCCATAGATAGAAGCAGGGCTCGCTCTGTTTATACACTATATAAATCCATAGATAGAAGCAGGGTTCACTCTGTTTATACACTATATAAATCCGTAGATAGAAGCAGGACTCGCTCTGTTTATGCACTATATAAATCCATAGATAGATAGAAGCAGGGCTCGCGCTGTTTATACACTATATAAATCCATAGATAGATAGAAGCAGGGCACGCTCTGTTTATACACTATATAAATCCATAGATAGACAGAAGCAGGGCTCGCTCTGTTTATACACTATATAAATCCATAGATAGAAGCAGGACTCGCTCTGTTTATGCACTATATAAATCCATAGATAGAAGCAGGGCTCGCTCTGTTTATACACTATATAAATCCATAGATGGATAGAAGCAGGGCTCGCTCTGTTTATACACCATATAAATCCATAGATAGATAGAAGCAGGACTCGCTCTGTTTATACATTATATAAATCCATAGATATATAGAAGCAGGGCTCGCTCTGTTTTATATACTATATAAATCCATAGATGGATAGAAGCAGGACTTCGCTCTGTTTGCCACTATATATAAATCCATAGATAGATGGCTTAAGGGCTGCGCTCTGTTTATACACTATATAAATCATAGATAGATGAAGCAGGGCACAAACTCTGTTTTATACACTATATAAATCATAGATAGATAGAAGCAGGACTAAACATGTTTTATACACTATATAAATCCAGAATAGATAGAAGCAGGACTGCTCTTTTTATACACTATATAAATCGATAGATAGATAGAAGCAGGGCTCGCTCTGTTTATACACTATATAAATCCATAGATAGATAGAAGCAGGGCTCGCTCTGTTTATACACTATATAAATCCATAGATAGATAGAAGCAGGGCTCGCTCTGTTTATACACTAAATCCATAGATAGATAGAAGCAGGGCTTGCTCTGTTTACACACTATATGAATCCATAGATGGATAGAAGCAGGGCTCGCTCTGTTTATACACTTTATAAATCCATAGATAGATGGGAGAATGTTTTACACACTATATGAATCCATAGATGGATAGAAGCAGGGCTCGCTCTGTTTATACACTTTATAAATCCATAGATAGATAGAAGCAGGGCTCGCTCTGTTTATACACTATATAAATCCATAGATAGATAGAAGCAGGGCTTGCTCTGTTTATACACTGTATAAATCCATAGATAGTTAGAAGCAGGGCTCGCTCTGTTTATACACTATATAAATCCATAGATAGAATAAAGCAGAGACGCTCTGTTTATACTCTCGTATAGCGATAAGCAGGGCTGCTCTGTTTATACACTATATAAATCCATAGATAGATAGAAGCAGGGCTCGCTCTGTTTATACACTATATAAATCCATAGATAGATAGAAGCAGGGCTGGCTCTGTTTATACACTATATAAATCCATAGATAGAAGCAGGCTCGCTCTGTTTATACACTATATAAATCCATAGATAGATAGAAGCAGGGCTCGCTCTGTTTATACACTATATAAATCCATAGATGGATAGAAGCAGGACTCGCTCTGTTTATACACTATATAAATCCATAGATATATAGAAGCAGGGCTTGCTCGGTTTATACACTATATAAATCCATAGATAGATAGAAGCAGGGCTCGCTCTGTTTACACACTATATAAATCCATAGTTAGATAGAAGCAGGGCTCGCTCTGTTTATACACTATATAAATCCATAGATAGAAGCAGGACTCGCTCTGTTTATACACTATATAAATCCATAGATAGAAGCAGGGCTCGCTCAGTTTATACACTATATAAATCCATAGATAGAAGCAGGGCTCGCTCTGTTTATACACTATATAAATCCATAGATAGAAGCAGGGTTCACTCTGTTTATACACTATATAAATCCGTAGATAGAAGCAGGACTCGCTCTGTTTATGCACTATATAAATCCATAGATAGATAGAAGCAGGGCTCGCGCTGTTTATACACTATATAAATCCATAGATAGATAGAAGCAGGGCACGCTCTGTTTATACACTATATAAATCCATAGATAGACAGAAGCAGGGCTCGCTCTGTTTATACACTATATAAATCCATAGATAGAAGCAGGACTCGCTCTGTTTATGCACTATATAAATCCATAGATAGAAGCAGGGCTCGCTCTGTTTATACACTATATAAATCCATAGATGGATAGAAGCAGGACTCGCTCTGTTTATACACTATATAAATCCATAGATAGATAGAAGCAGGGCACGCTCTGTTTATACATTATATAAATCCATAGATAGAAGCAGGGCTCGCTCTGTTTATACACTATATAAATCCATAGATGGATAGAAGCAGGACTCGCTCTGTTTATACACTATATAAATCCATAGATAGATAGAAGCAGGGCTCGCTCTGTTTATACACTATATAAATCCATAGATAGATAGAAGCAGGGCTCGCTCTGTTTATACACTATATAAATCCATAGATAGATAGAAGCAGGACTCGCTCTGTTTATACACTATATAAATCCATAGATAGAAGCAGGGCTCGCTCTGTTTATACACTATATAAATCCATAGATAGATAGAAGCAGGGCTCGCTCTGTTTATACACTATATAAATCCATAGATAGAAGCAGGACTCCCTCTGTTTATACACTATATAAATCCATAGCTAGAAGCAGGGCTTGCTCTCTTTATACACTATATAAATCCATAGATAGATAGGAGGGCTCGCTCTGTTTATACACTATATAAATCCATAGATAGATAGGAGGGCTCGCTCTGTTTATACACTATATAAATCCATAGATAGATAGAAGCAGGGCTCGCTCTGTTTATACACTATATAAAGCCATATAGATAGATAGAAGCAGGGCTCGCTCTGTTTATACACTATATAAATCCATAGATAGATAGAAGCAGGGCTCGCTCTGTTTATACACTATATAAATCCATAGATAGATAGAAGCAGGGCTCGCTCTGTTTATACACTATATAAATCCATAGATAGATAGAAGGGCAGGGCTGCTCTGTTTATACACTATATAAATCCATAGATAGATAGAAGCAGGGCTCGCTCTGTTTATACACTATATAAATCCATAGATAGAAGCAGGGCTCGCTCTGTTTATACACTATATAAATCCATAGATAGATAGAAGCAGGGCTCGCTCTGTTTATACACTATATAAATCCATAGATAGATAGAAGCAGGCTCGCTCTGTTTATACACTATATAAATCCATAGATAGATAGAAGCAGGGCTCGCTCTGTTTATACACTATATAAATCCATAGATAGATAGAAGCATGGGCTCTGTTTATACACTATATAAATCCATAGATAGAAGCAGGGCTCGCTCTGTTTATACACTATATAAATCCATAGATAGATAGAAGCAGGGCTTGCTCTGTTTATACACTATATAAATCCATAGATAGATAGAAGAGGGCTCACTCTGTTTATACACTATATAAATCCATAGATAGATAGATAGAAGCAGGGCTCGCTCTGTTTATACACTATATAAATCCATAGATAGAAGCAGGGCTCGCTCTGTTTATACACTATATAAAATCCATAGATAGAAGCAGGGCTCGCTCTGTTTATACACTATATAAATCCATAGATAGAAGCAGGGCTCGCTCTGTTTATACACTATATAAATCCATAGATAGATAGAAGCAGGGCTCGCTCTGTTTATACACTATATAAATCCAAAGATAGATAGGAGGGCTCGCTCTGTTTATACACTATATAAATCCATAGATAGATAGAAGGAGGGCTCGCTCTGTTTATACACTATATAAATCCATAGATAGATAGAAGCAGGGCTCGCTCTGTTTATACACTATATAAATCCATAGATAGATAGAAGCAGGGCTCGCTCTGTTTATACACTATATAAATCCATAGATAGATAGATACAGGGCTCGCTCTGTTTATACACTATATAAATCCATAGATAGATAGAAGCAGGGCTGGCTCTGTTTATACACTATATAAATCCATAGATAGAAGCAGGGCTCGCTCTGTTTATACACTATATAAATCCATAGATAGAAGCAGGGCTCGCTCTGTTTATACACTATATAAACATACAAAATGTAACATGCGGAGAGACACTTAATATAATTACTACCACAATTAAGGGTGCTATTCCAACAAGGTACTCCCTCCAATACCAATAAACAAATACTCAAAAAGAAAGGAATGCACACCAACTGATACAATAGTATCTATCTAAATATATTTATTATAATACAATGCAAATATTACATACAAAAAATGTAACAATCTAATAGTGACCAAATAGGCAAAAAAAGAGCTAAACCATATAATTACCAAATCTCACAAGCCTATATTGGCAGAAACACGAGTCACAAACAGTCCCCCAACGTTTCGGCTCCTCCTGGTAGCCTTTATCAAGGGTAGCTATATCATAGCATCATCCAGGAACCCATTATATACACATATACAAATTACCAATTACTTACAGCTGATGGCCATCAGTGATATCACAAAGAGCCAAGACCGGAAGTGACATCATCACTTCAGATCATAGCCCTGTATAAAGAATTAAATAACAGCACATACATAATTATTATACATTCCCAATATTATTCCCAAACTGACAACATCATTGATCGAAAATATCCCACCACTGTACAATCCACAAACATTCTCGCCAGTCTAAAAGAAACGCGCATGCGCAATACAAACATAAACAATCACCACATCATCCACCGGCACCACAAGCATACCGACATCAATACACTCCACATAACCCCAACAAGATACCAAGCACAAAAGCACTATATAAACAATAACAAAAACGCACATTCACCTTATTGTACTCGGCCAATTATACCGGAGCTCCCCTCCTACGGAAGCCTCCGAGATCCACATCTGATAGAAAGTCGCATTGAAAGAGCGCCGCGCCGCTCGCGCATGCGCATCCCCCAAATTAAAGGAATGTATGCAAATTATCAATACACTGACCAGCTCTCTTAAAGGAAAAGTATCATGAGCGTAAGAATTACTTCCAATATAACATAATAAGTGTGTAAATGGTCCTGTATTTTGGTGGAGGTATTTTTCACTGTTATAGATATTATTTATTTTTTCTGCTATACTACAGGACCATTTACACACTTATTATGTTTATACAGTATATAAATCCATAGATAGATAGGAGGGCTCGCTCTGTTTATACACTATATAAATCCATAGCTAGAAGCAGGGCACGCTCTGTTTATACACTATATAAATCCGTAGATAGAAGCAGGGCTTTCTCTGTTTATACACTATATAAATCCATAGATAGATAGAAGCAGGGCTCGCCCTGTTTATACACTATATAAATCCATAGATAGATAGAAGCAGGGCTCGCTCTGTTTATACACTCTATTATTATTATTATTGCCATTTATATCGCGCCAACAGATTCCGTTGCGCTTTACAATATTATGAGGGGGGATGTAATTATAAATAGGACAATAACATATATAACATATTTAAATCCATAGATAGAAGCAGGGCTCGCTCTGTTTATACACTATATAAATCTATAGATAGAAGCAGGGCTCACTCTGTTTATACACTATATAAATCCATAGATAGATAGAAGCAGGGCTCGCTCTGTTTATACACTATATAAGTCCATAGAAGCAGGGCTCGCTCTGTTTATACACTATATAAATCCATAGATGTGTTGGTCCATTCCACTGTGCTCTCTCGCCTTGACTACTGTAATCCACTTCTCAGTGGTCTTACGTGCTCCCAACTTGCTCCGCTACAGTCCATAATGAATGCGGCGGCGAGGCTCATCTTCCTGTCCGCCCGCACCTCCCATGCCTCACCCCTCTGTCAGTCCCTACATTGGCTTCCTATAAAATATAGAGCTCAATTTAAAATTCTGGTTCTTGCTTTCAAATCTCTACATAATGCTGCTCCCACCTATCTATCCTCTCCTATACACAAGTATGTCCCGTCTAGGCCCTTACGATCTGCTGAAGACTTATGTCTATCTTCTGTCCGTACTCCCACCTCTGATGCTCGCCTTCAAGACTTTTCCAGGGCTGCACCGTTCCTGTGGAACTTGCTTCCCTCCTCCGTTAGATGCTCACCCAGTCTCCACTCCTTCAAAAAAATCTTTAAAAACCCACTTCTTCATAAAAGCGTATCAATTAAACTGTTAATGGCTCCTGATTGATTCCTCTTCTGCAACTGTCACATTAGAGATTCTACTTTTTAGCTGAATACAAGAGGGGAATTGTTAGTGTAGGACTCGTCTAAGAGGTTTGTCTTGACGTGGCAGGTGAGCTTACGCTTTATTGGCCATTGGAGTGAAACTAAAACACCTCCAGTTATGTAAACGTTGATAGGGATTTGGAATCGTGCACAAGTAACTATTTTTCCTTGAGGTAAACCTTTTGGTTGCCAGATCTGTTTTTCATTCATGCATTGTCTTTTGTGGTTATATGTGTGTGGGAGTAGGTACATATTACGGTACAACAGGGGTGCCCAAAAGGTAGATCCCAGATGTTCTAAAACTACAACTTCCATGATGCTTTGTCATTCTAAAGGCATTCCAAAGGCACACACAGCATCTGGGCATCTACCTTTTCGGCACTTCTGCTGTCTAACAATCGTATCTCAGAATTTTAAACGAAAGCAGCAGAGCTGGGAAATGATTTGAGCTTGCTGTATATCTACGTGTTCTGTCTCCCTACAGTTAATACGGTGTTAACATTGATATATTTAGAAAGTAAAGATGAGCTGTAATGATAGCCCAGTCCAGCCTGCTTCCAGTCCCATCGCAATGGTTATTGTGTTTTATCTTCTGCTTGCAGGTTTTTGTTTTCTGCCTTTAAAGAAGGTCATTCTAGACTTCTTCAACCTTTTCATTAATTGTCACCTGTGCACGACCCATGCTGTCAATCATCGGTCCTTGTACTTTGCTCTGACATGGTGTTGTACTTTTAAGTCATGGCTCATGCCTGTGAGCACCCAACAGTCACTAGATCCCATCAAGTTTTTGTGTGTTGTGATACCGCAAGCGACATGGAGGTTAACCCTTTCTCTGAGCTCTATGCTGCCATGAAACGCCTTGTATGTACTAATTCGGAATGGCCGGCTGTTAGAATGAAGGAAACAGATTGTGGGGAATTGATCGTACAATGTGGGGATACTGTAGTAAAGTGAAATTATAGCTGCCTCCCCCCCCCCCCGGTGCTGCCCACCCCTTCGTAACTTACCTGACTCCAGCTGCGATGTCCCTCTGTGCTGGTTCAGGCTCCACCTCTGCTTCTTTTCCGCTGACAGGGATAACCTAATTCACATAAGTACTCGCTGCGTTTTGGGTGACACAGGATACAGAGCACGAGGATGTCCAGCGTCCATTATGCAACCAAAAGTTCCCTAACCACACGGAAGCCCTTCTAGAGATGGAGTTAACCCTTTTGGGTAATTTTTGCAGTTTATTTGTTAATTGTTCATTACAATTGCAGGGTTAGGGGTCCTGGGACACTGCACCCAGACCACATCAATGAGCTGAAGTGGTTTGAGTGCCTAAAGAGCTAGCATTGGCTGTGTGTGCAGTGCTGGCTGGGTAGGTCTTGCTGTGCTAGCGTTGGCCAAGTGTGCAGTGCCGGCTGGGTCTGCTGCACTGGCGTTAGGTGGATGTGCTCTGTTTACTGTGTGTGCCGTACTAGTGATGGCTAGTGGCAATGCCAGCTGGATGTTCCACACTGGCTGGATGTACCACACTGGCAGCTGAGTGGGCAGTGCCAGCAGTATGTACCACACTGGCTGCATTACTACACATTGGGCTTATTTGAAGACAGGTGTTTTATGGGTTAATAACAAATCTGATTATTGAGACTGGTTTGGAATGGTTGGCTGTGTGATGGGTTGGCTGTGTGATGGGTTGGAAGGGTTGGCTGTGTGATGGGTTGGAAGAGTTGGCTGTGTGATGGGTTGGAAGAGTTGGCCGTGTGATGGGTTGGAAGGGTTGGCCGTGTGATGGGTTGGAAGGGTTGGCCGTATGACGGGTTGGAAGGGTTGGCCGTATGACGGGTTGGCTGTATGATGGGTTGGCTGTATGATGGGTTGGAAGGGTTGGCCGTATGACGGGTTGGCTGTATGATGGGTTGGAAGGGTTGGCCGTATGACGGGTTGGAAGGGTTGGCCGTATGACGGGTTGGCCGTATGATGGGTTGGAAGGGTTGGCCGTATGATGGGTTGGAAAAGTTGGCTGTATGATGGATAGCAGGCCTATTTGTCGGTCAGACACTTGCTGATTTCCCACATAATGGGAGGTGACCTTACGTCGTTGCGGTTAAGTTAGGGGCCTTCCTTTGTGTTAACATTATGCCAGGTGTTATCTTTCTATAACAGGATAAATGAGCTGTGACAAGAACACTTCAGCACTTCAGTAAGCTCCTGGAATCTCTTCTCATTGTCACTGCGACATGAATACTGTGTGTGTGTAGGGACATCATGCAAGTTAACTTTTTGAGAGCTCATCCCCATAACCCTCTAAAAACCAGGGATATGTGCAGTTTAATCTTAGTTTCTGTGCTTTGGCACTTGGGGGTAAATACTTTGTAGCCCTCCAAGATTACTTCTTGTGTTCACAGTTTTCCCCTAGTTTGAGTACAATAACAGAATCAGAATGTTTTTGTTTTTTTTCATATAACTTTAATTAACGCGTGGCAGCTAATTGTGTGTGGTGGGGTATGTCGTGTTTTACCTCACACACTTACACTGTGTACATAATCACAGCCAGCCTTTGTGCCAATTCAGCCAAAATAAATGCTGATTTGGAGGAATTCTCCATCTTGGTGGAGTCACCTTGACCATGTGAACCTCATTTTTCAATTCAGTTTTTTTAAATAAACCCTAAATCGCTGAATTTGCCTATAATGTTTATCCTCCAGCCCTGCTTCCTGGGAGCAATGCTTCCCCTTTAAGTGATTACATAACAGGGTTCCTCTGGAATCTCTGCAGGAATGTTAATCCCTCTGCAGTGTTTGGGTGAGACGCATGGCAGTCTCTTGTTATGGTGGCAAACTGCCATGGGACGCACAGGAACTTGTCTCCTACCTGTTGAGCACTCAGAGATTGCGTGACGCCAGACAAACACTCTGCTTTGGAGAATACTACTTAAATATCAATATTTGCTCTGACGGCTGCTGTGGCTGTAAAAGTAATCACTTGTAATAAAGGGGGCGTTCGTGGGTTAATGACGAGAAGGCTTGGTATCATATCACAGCTATAGCCGAATGCATGTCCTCTTATTTCTGACCCATTTATGGGAATGTGAGCGTCTAAAGCTTGCAGTACATGGGTATCTACTGCTTAATCAATGAAACCTGCAATCTTAAAATGGAACAGATTTTAATATTAATTTTTTTATAAATATCTATTTATTATCACTATATTTGACAAATATGTGGGATCTGAAAAATAAAATTTATTGTAGAAATTCACAGCATTGTATATCCTAGGGGTACACAAACTCTTTTTGGAATGATAGACTGTGGTGATTTCTGCGGACGGCAGGGGGCACGGTCAGTTGTTTCTCCCTTTAACTCTGTACGCCGAGGGCTTCAGGCCTGAGATTGACCATTCAGGGACAAGATTTGGTTGTGCACCCTCAGTGTTTGCCTCCATCTTGGGTTCCTGTTTGTTGTTCTGCTGCGTTCTGTCATTGTACATAGTGAGTGGAGCAATGCCTGGCTGTGCCAGGAAGGAAGTGGATTGTGATGCCATTTGCTAAATCTTCAATATTGCTGTAAAAGAAAACCTTAACTCATGAAAAAGGTTAACACTTCTAGGAATTTTCAATGTTTAATAACTTATTTCCAGAGAGCGGCGGTGCGAGTAGTGATGGGAGTGGTGATGATTCACACTTGAGGCTAAGGGGAGCAGGAACACTACTTTATGTATATTTTCTGAGACCGTAAGGTAAACCGCTTTCATTGTTTAACATTTTGTATAAAGTACCAACAATTCTACAACTTGTGAATGTGACTCCTCCCCCTCCATCTTATCCTATAAAATAGTAATAAGTGGCAGAAAGACAGGTTATTTTGTAGCATTACAGAAAAAAGGCACCATTATTTATTATTTTTTAGGTCATTTCCCCCTGTGTGTCTCGTTTCTAGAACCCATTTATATATGGACTGAGATAAAGGCTTCTTATAAATATCTACATTTTTCCAGAATAGAAATTCCTTCTTGTCCATAATTCCCTTTACTGCCAAACGTGAGCTGATTAGGGTAATTATTGGGTTAATCCTAGTTTTTTTTTTAAGTCGGTCCTTGTGAAATGATTCACAGGAATTTATTAAATGCTGGAAGAGGTCTGTTTATGGGAACCCACCAGTAGTCTAGCACCGTAACCCAGACCTGGATCGAAGACGCAGAAATTGCCCAAAGCATCTGTCTGACGCCCCCATGATATGGTCATTGATAAAGCCACCATTTTCAGTCTGTAGACAAATCCTTGCATGTCCTAAAAGCACACGCCTCCTTCCCCCAGTAACTTCGTCATAGCGTGCTGGCTGTAAGCTAAAACCCTATCTCCATGCAATCACATGCAGTCGGATTGTACGACACGTTCTAGTTTCTGTGTAACTTGTACAGGAATTGTAGAAGTACAATCCAGGCTAAACCACAGACAAGCCAGCAACTATAAAATAAAACTATTCTTTATACTAAAAGTAGACCAGCTGTGTGATAAGGTCAGAGTCTGTATTAATACAGAAAATAATCTCGAACTGTGATCCAGTAAAGTCGACTATATCTGGGCAGCATTTGGCATTTTTGGAGGTGCCGTAGGTGATGTACAGAGATCGTCCCATCCTTGACCAGCTTGTTTGATGCCAGCTGTTATCTCAGGTGAATGTGAGGAAGAGGGGTAATTCAAAGGCAAATTATCTTGGCAAACATGGAAGGAGTGTCGTCCTAAATAAAGTGATCATATAGTTTTGCTAGAAGTATAACGATATTTGTGCTACAGTTATACAGATATTCGTACATGTGTCTGTATGTCTTGACTGATTATTGTGAGAATAACGCCGGCAACGTTTCAGCATACCACCAGCTCTTAATCCAGCTCACTGCATATGTCTTTATTAAAGACTGACGTCAAAGCACAAAAACCACTTTGCAGGATTCTGGCACCATTACCACTTCAGAAGAACAATCTTACTTCTGAGCAATACTGTGAGTAAGTACCTGTGTATTGTGGTTTTCGCAATTTATTTTTTAATTAAAGGAACACTATAGAGTCAGGAACACACACATATTCCTGACCCTATAACGTTAAAACCACCATCTGCCACCCCTTGCCCTCGTAAAAATAGTAAAATCTTACTTTTGTTCAAGTCTGCAGCTTTTGGCTATGCCTCTGATCTGCCTGCTTGGCTGACATCATCAGAAGTGATCCTGTGAGCCAATCACAATGATTTCCCATAGGATTGGCTGAGACTGTCAAGGAGGCAGATCAGGGACAGAGCCAGCACAAGTCAAACACAGTCCTGGCCAATCGGCATCTCCTCATAGAGATACATTGAATCAATGCATCTCTATAAGGAAAGTTCAGTGTCTCCATGCAGAGGGTGGAGACATTGAATGTCCATCACACTGTGCAGCACTGCCCCAGGAAGCACCTCTAGCAGCCATCTGAGGAGTGGCCAGTGGAGGTATCCCTAGATTGTAATGTAAACACTGCATTTTCTCTAAAAAGACTGTTTACGTCAAAAAGCCCGAAGGAAATGGTTATAATCACCAGAACAAATGCAATAAGCTGTGTACTATACAATAAGCTGTAATTGTTCTGGTGACTATAGTGTCCCTTTAACGACTGAATGCAAAATGGAGGTTCATTTTAAATGGTTTCCCTGTAATTCTGCTAATTCATAGGCAATAATGGTTAAAGTGTGTCTTGTGCACTGGGTGCTGGAGTGTGTATTGCGCAGTTGGGCTGTGTGCGTACTTCCCAACGTATCAAACTGACAAAGACTAACAATGTAATTTTAGGGGTGTGGTCAGGGACCGGTCTGTTCTGACTCACTAATAATTTATAGATCGAAAATGTAACTTAGAAGAATAATGTATCTTATTTTCTTCTTTACACTTACAATGTATCAGATTTCTAAACACATTTATTGTAGGTTTAAAGAGACATTACTGGGAGTATTATTGCTGTGGAGCTCTGTTATACACTCAGACACATTACTGGGAGTATTATTGCTGTGGAGCTCTGTTATACACTCAGATACATTACTGGGAGTATTATTGCTTTGGAGCTCTGTTATACACTCAGACACATTACTGGGAGGATTATTGCTGTGGAGCTCTGTTATACACTCAGACACATTACTGGGAGTATTATTGCTGTGGGGCTCTGTTATACACTCAGACACATTACTGGGAGTATTATTACTGTGGGGCTCTGTTACACACTCAGACACATTACTGGGAGTATTATTACTGTGGAACTCTGTTACTCCCACGCAGACACATTACTGGGGAGTATTATTACTGTAAAACTGTTACACCCACGCAGACACATTACTGGGAGTATTATTGCTGTGGGGCTCTGTTATACACTCAGACACATTACTGGGAGTATTAATGCTGTGGAGCTCTGTTATACACTCAGACACATTACTGGGGAGTATTATTACTGTAAAACTCTGTTACACCCACGCAGACACATTACTGGGAGTACTATTACTGTGTTATACACGCAGACACACCAACAATATGGAGCTCCTAGAAAATAGGGGCATTAGGATAGAAAAGAGGGACAGGGGGATTTGTGCCCAACATAGGGACTGTCCTTCCTAACTAGGGACACTTGGGAGGTATGTAATGTGTGGATACTGCATGATGTCTGTGTGTTTACTGCGCTGCCTCAGTTAAGAAGGAATTATATAGTCTTTCTTTCTGGTAATTCTTTCAGTAATAGCATAGATTGTAAAGGTAGTTAAAGGTACACACCACTGCCCAAATAAAATAAATCACGATTTAGTAGATATAACCACAATGAAAACCTGTAGCATTTAAATCTTTTTTTTTTCCCCATTGGTGTGTAGCTAAAAACTGCTTGCAACAGCGATAGATCTCTTGTCTGCAGCTTTTGCAAGCCCTCCCCTTTTAACCCCGCCCAGACTTTCTGTGTCTGTCCAATCACAGACTTCCCAATGCAGCTCAATGAGAAGTCTTTGCAATGCAGGTGCTCTGGGCAGTTGCTGCATCTTGAGTTTATCTCCACTGAGCTAAACAAACCAGGAAGTAACAGGACCAATTGTCAATTTCTATTGAAATCTACACATTTTGTAAAATGAGGGCACACTCTGGAGCGTCCCTTTAGATTAGAGTCCAGATGCAGCATGGGGCACTTTGTCCGAGCTTTTTATAAAGACTATTTAAAGCGGCACTGTCGTGGCTGCATCAGTTTATTTTTTTTACCCTCCTTTTGACTCTATTACATTGTATTGTGCACCTGGGGGGGACCCGACCATAGGTTCCCGTTTAGTTGAATAGGCCCCACTCGCAGTCATTAATTTTTTTAATAGGTGCCCCTTTATTACTCCACTTTTTTGGATCCGGGGTCTTATTTTTTTTGTTTTGTTTTTTGAGCAACATAGAGTAGCCTTGGCATAGTGAGTAGGAGCAGAATTAAATTCCGAACCGAACAAAAAATACCGAATGTCGTCCTAACACGAATAGACAAACTATTCTCATTCTGTTAGGATGAAATTCGGTAGTTTCGTCGGCGCCTTAGTCTATATGACAGGACGTTCGAACAACGAATGAAGCAACACAAGATCAGAGGAGAGTGGGAAAATAGCTAAAAGAAGGTCAAACGTAAGAAATACATAAGACAAAGTAGTTCCTACTATGTTTTAAAGTAAACTAGATCAGTTAGGAAGAAAAAAAGAACAGATTCTGAGAGAGGAAGAGAAGAGGAAGCGATTAGCGAAAGGTAAGTTCGGCATGACCGTGCCGCTTTTAGGATTTCAGAATACTGAAAAATGATTGAAAAGGGGAAGTGAACTGGATAATCAAATCTTCTGTCACCATTTAGTACCAACCGAACGTGCTCTTAAAAGTACAAAACACAAAAGGTCCTATTTGTCATAGGTTCTCTCTAATCCTGTATTAACGATAATTGTCTAATCATTCCTGACATACCTTAGGGTCCAACTTGTATTTGTCTTCATTTCAGAAGTGCTGACAGAATGAACCTCCAGTCTATTAACCTAATCCTGCTCTTCATATGGTCCCACGGTATGTATAAAATGTATAAAGTGTAAAGCGTTGCCCACCGTTTTAACATTTGTTTAACATCGGGGGTGCGTGCTGCACCTCCATGAATTATGGGAAATGTTAAACCCATTAAACTAGTCTTTCCTTGTGTTATACAGCATTACAATGTTTCGGGGTACAAGAACTTTATGTTGGACCAGAGATTACTGGAAAGATCTCCATTGCAGCACAAAGTAAGGTTTCATTTAATATCATCTGTTTGTGTGTTTTTGCAAATCTCTGTTTCTGTGTTCATTCACTTAATAACCATTACCAATTGTACCGAATGTTGAATTCCTACATTTACGAGAGATCAGAACATACCGTATTATGTAACAAAATAACAGGGAGAGGATTTGTTCATTATTTGCGTTTAATGTGTTGTCAGATTTAGGGAGGTCGCCCACGTAAGGCGTTGGATTAGGATCTGGCTAAACTTTTGAATGGGCTTCCGTCCTTTAAAATACTTTTTAAAAAGAAGATCCAATATAAGGGAACCAATTTGCAGTTTTTTGTCTTTGTTTGGAAGATTCAGTGTCAATGAACACTTGCTTCTTGTTACTGGAATCAAGGATCTGGTAATTTATGTAGACATGCTCGCACAAGCAAATATGACGCCATGAGTAATCAGCCGGGGCCTGGAGCACTCACATTATGTGTTCCATCAGTAAAGAAGACTTAATTCTGTGTGCCCAAAGTCTAGAAAAAACAATGTTTTATCGCTTGTTATTTTTAACCATGTTGGAGATGTAGTACTCATCATTTGTAATGCGGTTGAAAAACAACTTGTAAAGTACAGACTGACTTACTCTGTTTGGGGATTCTTGGGTGGGCTTACCCCTCACCCGTCAGAGCCCAATAATGAAATATTACTATGGAGACTTCAAACAATATTTAAGATTTTTTGCTTGTGGATGAAATGGTTTGATAAGAGCAGAGACAATCTGCAAACTGTAATCTCACACAATGATCTGCGAGCAAAAGATTAGTTTCTGCTGAGCCCAAACCTCCCTTTTGCGTCTTGTCACAAAGTGTCGTTACTCAGCAAGACACACGGCGTCCGGTCGTAATGTACAGTATGTGTGGTGTTATCAATAGGGACTGTTTTATCACTTTTATCTCTCACCACAACTGTTAATGCTAAGATATATATGTTAATAAATTCCCACCACTTGGCCCGACCAGTGCAACGCTGATAAAATAAACCTAATCTGCGTTCCAGGGTTAGTTATTGGTCCATTTCTGTCATAATCTGCACCACGTCTTTGTGAATGGAGCTCTGTGTGCTTATTTGCATAATCAGTATGGCATTCTGGGAAAATTAAGGCAATACAACATTCAGAGCTGCCATGTCTGAGGAAGGTTTTACGAAGCTTTTCTCTGTGAGATGTTGCTAAAACACAGTGGTGCATGTCTGTGTTTACTGAAATCCGTGCACAGTTTCACATTTTGATTTATTGGCATTCTGTCCCATTCGAGGTACAGACCATCTTACAATTGTTCTGTTTTGCAGGAATGCAGTGCTCGGCTCCGCTGGATGTCCTCTTTCTACTGGACGGTTCTAATAGCATTGGGAAAGGGAGCTTTGAGAGGTCCAAACATTTTGCAGCCCGGCTATGTGACGCCCTGGACATCGGACCTAATCTGGTGAGTTGGTTAATTTATAAGGAGAACTCAGGCTGGCTGCTTTAAAAAAAATAAAATCGATTATAGATATGGACAGACAGAGAAACAGATAGTAGATAGATTGATCAATAGATCAGATAGAGAGCACATTTTTATGTACCTGTCAAGTCCAGATTTCTAGTGAAAGAAACGTAACTTCTCTAGAGGATCACACTTGAACAAACACTGGATACACCTTGTCCGTATTGTGCAGGTTTTCCTGCGTCTCCTCTTTATTTACTATCCATATTGCACCCAGAGAGCAATGCATTTCTATATTATTTATTTTATGGCTTTAAGGGTTTGGCGAGCACCTGTATTATTGGGATTCCAGGCTACAGCGTAACGAGGGGATTTCCGGCTATGGCATAAGGGTGGGATTCCCGGCTATGGCGTAACGGTGGGATTCCCGGCTGTGGCGTAACGGTGGGATTCCCGGCTGTGGCGTAACGGTGGATTTCCTGGTTAACGTGTTTCCTTCTGGAATTTATTATGAAATCAGACCCAAGTTACTCGCACTGCAACATAATGGTTTCAATGCACTATGAGACCAGGGGCCGTGTCCACGATTTCAGGCAGGAGAAAATGTATCAGAAAACAACCAGCTGGTACAATTCCTTAATCAGCAGGAAAATGGCAGCTGCAGTAAAAACATCCCGTGTCTCTCTGAAAGACGGCAACACACCGTGAGCTCAGACCTGCAGTGTCTGGAGAAGACACAATAAAAATGATAATTAAAACGCAGTGTTTATGTGCTTGCGCTGTGTGGGGGGAGAAAGTGATTACACAGAACATATTACAGTCAAGCGAAAAGGTCAATACACGTCAAGGATACAGTAACATTCCTCATTTAATCCAGGCCGGGGGATCAGACGTCTAGAGAAAATGCTCCTTACCCACAGGAACAGCCAGCGACGGCGGCTAATTACTGCCTGGAATTTACAAAACACCAATATGCTGAGTGAGCTCTCCTTGGCACCGCTAATCATACCCAATAAAGCTAATGCTGCTCTAACAAAATGACACCGTGCTAAATTTTTCACAATTTATCTGCCTTGTTTGGAGTTGGGGAGCATGGGGTGTCTTTGAATTTTATGCCTATAGACACCTGATATGTAAATCTGGCCCTGAGGGTGGCCCTAAAGTTACTTTCATTGGCGTATACCCACCTTCTAGTAATTAATAGTTGTATGAATAATATTGCTCATCTCTATAAATGATCAAAACCTGCTGTGATTGCTGGAGGCAGATCGCTCAGTTTAGAGGGTAACTAACCACTGGTGGGTGCAGCCAAATCGTGTCTTTGCTCTTGATCTAACATTGGGAGACTAGCTCCTTCACTAGGAAAATAATATGTCTGGCTGGTTTCTGCTGAATATATTCTAGGTATGCAACCAAACACCACGTTCTCAGTGTGCACCCAGACACCACGTTCTCAGTGTGCACCCAGACACCACGTTCTCAGTGTGCACCCAGACACCACGTTCTCAGTGTGCACACAGACACCACGTTCTCAGTGTGCACCCAGACACCACGTTCTCAGTGTGCACCCAGACACCACGTTCTCAGTGTGCACCCAGACACCACGTTCTCAGTGTGCACCCAGACACCACGTTCTCAGTGTGCACCCAGACACCACGTTCTCAGTGTGCACCCAGACACCACGTTCTCAGTGTGCACCCAGACACCACGTTCTCAGTGTGCACCCAGACACCACGTTCTCAGTGTGCACCCAGACACCACGTTCTCAGTGAGCACCCAGACACCACGTTCTCAGTGCGCACCCAGACACCACGTTCTCAGTGCGCACCCAGACACCACGTTCTCAGTGCGCAACCAGACACCACGTTCTCAGTGCGCAACCAGACACCACGTTCTCAGTGCGCAACCAGACACCACGTTCTCAGTGCGCAACCAGACACCACGTTCTTTTGTCTTGTACAGGTCCACGTGGGCATCATGCAGTACAGTTCAACACCTCAAGTGGAGCTCCGCCTGGACACAGCGCTCGATAAAGTAAATGTGAAAGACAAGACAAAGGCCATCTTGTTTAAGTAAGTTCTTTATTATCATCACACATGTTACTATGTATGGAGACTGTATCTCTCCAGGATGTGCTATAATCCACGGAATGTGTAGTTCATTTGTTTAATAAGTGTCCTTCGCTAGAGGGGCACTATTATATTATAAGTAAACATGGTTAAAAGTGAGAGAATTTTACAACTAAACCCCTGGACATGGCTCCTATCCAAACCGCTTCCCAACACACCTAGGGCCCAAAACAAACTAATTGCCAAAATAGCACTGGCCACTAGAAGAGCCATTGCCGAAAAATGGGGTAGCCCAGAAACCCCGACCGTGGGTACAATAACCCAAAAAATAAAAGAGACAATTAAAATGGACGAATTGTCCGCACTGGTACACGACTCGACTAAGCACTTCCACAAAATCTGGGACCCATGGTTCTACGAAAACCCTCTCTCCACCTGAAACACACACACACCCACGCTACAAAAACGCTCCGCAGACATTTAAACCACCAACACCTCCCAGAACCATCAGACACATCCCCTCTAGCACCAGCCACCCACACACACAGAAACATAAAAGAGCCAAGATCACCAAACATAACCCCCAACCATACAAACTGAGAGAACCCCCAGATAAGAAACCCCAAAGGGCCGAACAAATCCCCCAAAACCGGACACCCCGAAACAAATACAACAGAACCAAACATATCCGCCAACTAAGAAAACAGCTGAAACAGCCTAAATCCAGTGACCACACAACACAACAACCATACCAACAATCCCAGAGGTAAGCGAAACCACAGCACAACCCCAACGAGAGGTACCCAGCACACACTTAAATAATAGAAAACATACAGATGGGAAACCATAAAAGAGGGCCACAATAGAAGCTACATACGACAACAACCTCAATACCCATAACATCTCAGACTCACCAACGGGCTGAAAACCCACGCTGGCTGACACTCGCATCGACTTACCAGACCACCCCTTATAACTGGGTCCACACCCAACCTGAAAAACAAAACGGAAACAACAAGTGAAGGTAACCCACCCCACACCTCCCCTTTCCCCGGCACCCCTCTTACACCCCCAGACATCATAGTGAACCAGACAACTCGACCAAAACCGAGCATAGACAACACCTGAACTAGGAAACAACGCAAAACAAGCAGGAAAAAGTACCCCCAAACACCTGCCCCCTCACTCCTACCCAACTGAACAATATGCGCTGACAGCATACGACGCAACCCATCACGGACACTACACCACGCAAAAAGGCTCACACAAGCCAACTCATTCCCATAACCACCCAGACCCACCAACATAAAGAGAACTGGATTGATGTAAAGGAAGAATCGAAACTGTATGTATATGTACCCCACTCACCTTCCCTCTTCTTTTTTCTGTACCCCACCCAATTCCCAATTCCCAAAGAAAAGTTGAAAGATATGCCACATGATATAGCCTGATCATATGCTACATGAGAATGTGATAACTCTGTAAACTTTGTATGACAATTGTACCGCCAACTTTTCTTTTCTGTATCCCCACGTTAAATGACAAAAATTTTCAAAATAAAGAATTAATAAAAAAAAAAAGTGAGAGAATTTTTATCTAACTTGTCCGTGTTTTGGGGTAGGAATACTTTTACGCAGGCCTTTCCTAAATTTATTTCAAATTGGGCCACAATGAGCATTCATATCAGGCCCATTTCTTGTCTCAGGTAGCCACACGTATATTTTGATTGGTTATTTTTCTTGTCCTAGGGGTGGCAGCACGGAGACTGGACTGGCTCTCAAATACATCTTGCGTAAAGGATTCCCTGGAGGGCGGAATGACTCTGTTCCAAAGGTTCTGATTATCCTGTCTGATGGAAAGTCTCAAGGGAACGTCCTTGGTCCAGCCATGCAATTAAAAGAAAGAAATATTAAGGTGTTTGCGGTTGGCGTGAAGTTTCCAAGGTAAGTAGTACTGATGTCCACCGTGGTTCTTAAAGTCCATAATTGTTTAAAAAAAGCATCAAGCAAATCTGAATAAAAGATAGTAAATTTGATGCTGAATCTCAGGATTGAACATTTTTTCTTTGGTCAACCAAAATTAATAAAGATGGTCCATATATTTATTTAAGAATATATGTACATGTCCTGTTGTGTATGCGTCCACTAATTCTATTTGGCTTTGGGCGTGGAGCAATGAGATCTGTTTCTCACATACATTGTAAGGTTGTTTTATTTTCCGTATAGATGGGAGGAACTTCATGCTTTGGCCAGTCCCCCTGCAGAGGAACACGTCCTGTTTGTCGAACATGTGGATGATGCAGTTAATGGTCTGTCAAGTTCTTTGACCAACTCATCACTCTGCAATGCGGTGCCTCCAGGTAAACTTCAGAAATCAACTGGAAATAGTTTTCCTAGAATGGCCACGTGAAATAATGCACTGCTGTAAAATTGTTTTGTAGGCAGACCATGTGCACAACATGAATTCCCTTCTGATAATCTAATCATACTGTGCCTTTTAAAGGATGTATCATACAGTCTTACCCCTGTGCAAGGAAGACCCTTGAGACTGTGAAGGAACTGAGTGGAAATTATGTGTGCTGGAGAGGATCCACCGAACCAAGCCGTGTGTTCGCGGGGCCCTGCCCTTTCTACAGGTGTGTTTCTGTTAATTTCATTGATATTAATTTGTAACAACTAGGTTACACAATAAGAGACCTTGATTAAACAAATTAAGCTGTGAGGGCCCTTATTGCAATACGTACAGAACCAGTGACGACAGGGACGGACACAAAATCAAGAACAGGTGGAGTAGTGAGGTTAGGATGGGGTAAATAGGTTGGAGGGCTGGAAAGAAGGATGATGGGGAGCCGTTGATCAGGGCAGGAGAATAAAAAATGGTAGGAGTATGAGGACAATGACAAAGATGGGGGTCAAAGGTGTTATTTGGAATAATAGGAAAGAAGAAGACATGACAATTATCACATAGGTCTGATTACCAGGGTAGTGATTTATGACATGGGATGAGGGCTGGGATGGACATGGGATGAGGACTGGGATGGAAGTGTGATGGGACACGGGATGAGGGCTGGGATGGAAGTGTGATGGGACACGGGATGGGGGCTCTGATGGAAGTGTGATGGGACACGGGATGGGGGCTGGGATGGAAGTGTGATGGGACACGGGCTGGGGGCTGGGATGGAAGTGTAATGGGACATGGGATGAGGGCTGGGATGGAAGTGTGAGGAGACACGGAATCATGGCTGGGATGTAAGTGTGATGGGACATGGTATTGAAGCTGGTTAGGAGGAGGGATGACGGCTGGGATGGATCATGGGATGGAAGCTGGTTAGGAGGAAGGATGATGGCTGGGATGGATGCTGGATAGGTCACAGGATGATGGCTGGGATGGATGCTGGATAGGTCACAGGATGATGGCTGGGATGGATGCTGGATAGGTCACAGGATGATGCCTGGGATGGATGCTGGATAGGTCACAGGATGATGGCTGGGATGAATGCTGGATAGGTCACAGGATGATGGCTGAATGTATGCTATATAGGAGGAGGGATGATGGCAGGGATGGAAGTGTGATGGGACACGACATGGACGCTGGTTAAGAGGAGGTTTGATGGATGCTGGAGAGGACATGGTTATGATGGCTGGGATGGATGCTGGAGAGGACACTGGATTGGTGCTGGAATGGAAGCTGGATAATGGGATAATGGCTGGGATAGATGCTGGATATATGCCATCCCATTAGGTATGATGGCTGGGATGGAAGCTGGATAGGACATGGGATGATGGCTGGGATGGAAGCTGGATAGGTCACGGCATGATGGCTGAGATGGATGCTGGAAAGGTCAAGGGATGATGGCTGGGAATGAAGTGTCATGGGACACAGCATGGAAGCTGGTTAGGAGGTGGGATGATAGCTGTGATGGCACGGGATGATGGCTGGAATGGATGCTGGATATGTCAAGGGATTAGGTATGGGATGGAAGCTGGTTAAGAGGAGTGATGATCGCTGGGATGGATGCTGGGTAGGACATGGAATGATGGCTGGGATGGAAGCTGTTTAAGGGGGATGATGGCTGGGATGGAATTTGGATAGGACAAGGGATTATGGCTGGGATGGAAGTTGGATAGGACAAGGGATGATGGCTGGGATGGAAGTTGGATAGTACAAGGGATGATGGCTGGGATTGAAGTTGGATAGGACACAGGATGATGGCTGGGATGGAAGCTGGACAGGGAATGAGATTAGGGCCTGGACGGAAGCGCGAAAGGAACTGGTAGGAGGGTTTAGCCGGAAGCTGGATAGGACATGGGATATAGGCTGGGACAGTAGCAACAATAGCAGAGGAAATTCCTACTAAGAAGCTTTTATATTTGTATTTATTTATATATTTTAGTTGGAAACGTTTCTACAACACACATCAGACCCAGTGCTACAGAACAGTTTGCCCAGGTGACGTCTTGTTTACTCAATGGATGTTTAACCTCTTGCTTGTTTGAGATCCTCATTTTACTCTTCTAAGAATCTGCATTTTCAAAGCGGTATTAAATTACATATTCTGTATAAAGAATATTGGAGCAACTACAAAATGTATGCCAAAAGGGGCATGAAATATTCTGTACTTATATAAAGATTGTATTGGGCAGACTTTATAACGGAATCTCCTTTTCTTTAGATCCATGTGACTCCCAGCCGTGTCAGAACGGAGGGACGTGCATCCCACAGGGGACTAACAAGTATTTCTGCATCTGTCCGGTTGGGTTTGGAGGAGACACAGAATGTGGTTAGTGCACAATTCACTTTACTGCCATTAAAATACTCTAAAGAAATAACTGTCCAGGCTCTCTTATAACTATAACGTGTGCATGTACTTTACCTGATGCTTCAAATACCCAATAACCAATCAAAGCAACCAGGAGGCAGCGTATATCTAGTCCTGCTTACTAATCTGATGTACTTTATTGTAACTTTATAAACCCTGCGTTCTCCCCCACTTAACGCATTCCACAACAATGTTTGTTTCCTTAATCTTTTGCTGTTTGTAGCATTGAAACAATGTAGTATTATTATTATTATTATTATTATTATTCTGACACACACACAATAAGAAAAGCATTAAGTGTTAGGAGCAGACTTGACAAGTGAATGACTTGATGCTCCATAGAATATCTCTGGAATAAACTTCCCCCTTCGTATCTCAGTGCTACATTATATCTCCAACGATACAAGTGACACACAAATCCTTCCCATCTTTACTAATAAACCGTAAAACAAGACCCGGATCCCATATCCATTAGGGACAAGTCTCCCTGAGTGTGAGTGTCGGGAGGTCTGATAGCGAATAATGGCAGGATTAGTGAAACATCAATAAACGACGCACACCGAGAACCCACTGAACATCCTCAGAAACTGTGGAAACCAATGGCTTATTCTTTTTGGAATGTTCCGGTTTTAGTATTTTTGCCTGCGATCGCATTGGGATAAGTAATCATATTATTAAATATTCTGGGAGATGAAAATCCCAGAGTGCAATATATCTGTTTGTGAGATGTGAAAAATAAAATGAAATGTAAAAATCACAATATAGTGTATTCCTAGCACTATAGTTTCCTTTTAACTAATAAATATTTGTGATGTAAAAAATGGAACGAAGTCCACACCTCTATCCTGTAACTGAGCGTCTCCATCTTAGCTCCCTGTCAATCATTGTTATAAGCTCCGCCCATTACACCTGGCAGTCAGTATAGAGAGAGCAACCTCCATCTTGGTCCCTGTCAATCATTGTTATAAGCTCCGCCCTTTACACCTGGCAGTCAGTATAGGGAGAGCCACCTCCATCTTAGCTCCCTGTCAATCATTGTTATAAGCTCCGCCCTTTACACCTGGCAGTCAGTATAGAGAGAGCCGCCTCCATCTTAGCTCCCTGTCAATCATTGTTATAAGCTCTGCCCTTTACACCTAGCAGTCAGTATAGAGAGAGCCGCCTCCATCTTAGCTCCCTGTCAATCATTGTTATAAGCTCCGCCCCTTACACCTGGCAGTCAGCATAGAGAGAGCCGCCTCCATCTTAGCTCCCTGTCAATCATTGTTATAAGCTCCGCCCTTTACACCTGGCAGTCAGTATAGAGAGAGCCACCTCCATCTTAGCTCCCTGTCAATCATTGTTATAAGCTCCGCCCTTTACACCTGGCAGTCAGTATAGAGAGAGCCGCCTCCATCTTAGCTCCCTGTCAATCATTGTTATAAGCTCCGCCCTTTACACCTGGCAGTCAGTATAGAGAGAGCCACCTCCATCTTAGCTCCTTGTCAATCATTGTTATAAGCGCCGCCCTTTACACCTGGCAGTCAGTATAGAGAGAGCCACCTCCATCTTAGCTCCCTGTCAGTCATTGTTATAAGCTCCGCCCCTTACATCTGGCAGTCAATATAGAGAGAGCCACCTCCATCTTAGCTCCCTGTCAATCATTGTTATAAGCTCCGCCCTTTACACCTAGCAGTCAGGGCCATCTTTAACGCGGGGCAAACGGGGCAGCTGCCCCGGGCCCTGTCCCTGCTTGGGGGCCCGAGGTAACTGCCCTGTTTGCCCTCTGCCCGCAAACTATGGGGGCCCATCGGGTGGCCCATGCACTTAGGGCCACCCGGTGGGCCTGTGTCAGCAGGGGCCCGGTCGGGCGCTGTGGCGCTTTAACAGCGCGACCGGGCCCTTGCTTTTCGGCAGCAGTGGGAGGAAGTGACAGCCGTGCGTCACTTCCTCCCACAGAAACTGGAGCCGCGCGGGAGGAAGGCGGACCAGCTGTTCCAGAGGGGGCCAGGCCGGGAGAGCTTAACTCCAGCCAGCCCAATGGACCCCAGGGAAGCCACCCTCCAGGACAAGGTAAGAAACTGGAGGGTGGTTATCAAAGTCTGTCAGTGTATCTGTATGTCTGGATGTGTGTTTGTCTGTCAGTGTCTGTGTGGTTCAGTATGTCTGTATGTGTGTATGTCTGTCAGTGTGTCAGTATGTCTGTGTGTGAGTCTGTCAGTGTCTGTGGTTCAGTGTGTATGTGTGTTTCAGTATGGCTGTCTGTGTATGTCAAAATGTCTGGATGTGTGTTTGTCAGTGTCTGTGTGGTTCAGTATGTCTGTATGTGTGTATGTCTGTCAGTGTGTCAGTATGTCTGTGTGTGAGTCTGTCAGTGTCTGTGGTTCAGTGTGTATGTGTGTTTCAGTATGGCTGTCTGTGTATGTCAAAATGTCTGGATGTGTGTTTGTCTGTCAGTGTCTGTGTGTATGTGTGTTTCAGCATGTCTGTCTGTCTGTCTGTGTGTCCAGAATGTCTGTCTGTGTGCCAGAATGTCTGTCTGTGTGCCAGAATGTCTGTCTGTGTGCCAGTATGTCTGTCAGTGTGTCAGTATGTCTGTGTGAGTCTGTCAGTGTCTGTGTGTTTCAGTATGGCTGTCTGTGAGTTTCAAAATGTCTGTATGTGTGTATATCTGTCAGTGTCTGTGTCTGTGTGTTTCAGTCTGTCTGTGTGTGTGTGCCAGAATGTGTGTATGTCTGTCAGTATGTCTATGTGTGAGTCTGTCAGTGTGGTTCTGTATGTCTGTGTTTGTCAATATGTCTGTCAATGTCTGTGTGTATGTGTGTTTCAGTATGTCCGTCTGTCTGTGTGTATATGTGCCAGTACGTCTGTCAGTGTATCTGTATGTCTGTGTGTGTGAGAGTCCATCAGTGTCTGTGTGGTTCAGTATGTCTTTGTGTATGTGTGTTTCAGTTTGGTTTTCTGTGTGTGAGTCTGTGTCAGTACGTCTGTCAGAATGTGTCTCTGTATCTGTATGTTGTCCATTTGTATTTGTGTGTGTATCTGTATGTGTCAGTGTTTGTATCTGTATATCTGCATGTGTGTCTATCTGTGTGTCTGTCTGTCAGTGTGTGTGTCGGTGTATCTATAAGTAGTCAGTGTGTGTACCTTTGTATCTGCATGTATGTCAGTGTTTGTATCTGTGTGTGTGTCAGTGTATCTATATGTAGTCTGTGTGTATCTGTATGTTCGTGTGTGTTTCTATATGTGGTCAGTGTGTATCTGCATGTGTGTCAGGTAGTGTATTTGTGTGTATCTAGACGTAGTCAGGGGGCCCAAGTAAATGCTCGCCCAGGGTCCAATCTAAATTAAAGACGGCCCTGCTAGCAGTCAGTATAGAGAGAGCCGCCTCCATCCTAGCTCCTGTCAATCATTGTTATAAGCTCCGCCCTTTACACCTGGCAGTCAGTATAAAGAGAGCCGCCTCCATCTTAGCTCCTTGTCAATCATTGTTATAAGCTCTGCCCTTTACACCTGGCAGTCAGTATAGAGAGAGTCGCCTCCATCTTAGCTCCCTGTCAGTCATTGTTATAAGCTCCGCCCTTTACACCTGGCAGTCAGTGTAGAGAGAGCCACCTCCATCTTAGCTCCCTGTCAATCATTGTTATAAGCTCCGCCCTTTACACCTGGCAGTCAGTATAGAGAGAGAGCCACCTCCATCTTAGCTCCCTGTCAATCATTGTTATAAGCTCCGCCCTTTACACCTGGCAGTCAGTATAGAGAGAGCTACCTCCATCTTAGCTCCCTGTCAATCATTGTTATAAGCTCCGCCCTTTACACCTGGCAGTCAGTATAGCGAAAGGATACAGAGAGGAGGAGAAATGAAACTTAACCAATTCTTTAATATAAATTCTAATCGAAAATGGAGCATTTTCCAGAGAATTGACAGTGACCCGTTAAACTATAAATTGTTGGGGATTTAGAGTGACTCAAACTTTAGGTCACACTGGGCAAAAGTTGGCTAGATTTTCATATTGCTTGTTTTGATCTAAATTCACCAACTATTCTGGACAGTTCATATTTTAGGGAATAACACTGTAACACTGTAATTTTTCCTTTTTCTTTTGTTTCTCTCTTCTCTTCTGCCTCTGTGGCTCTCCCATGCTCTGTCCTTTATTTATTGAAATCATTTTAATTGAATTACATAGTGCATGCAGAGAATTGAATGTACCATTCTCAGTCTGTAATAATTTTTATTTTTTATTTTTATTTTTTTGGTAATTTTTTTTCAGCCCCAAAGCTTAGTCTCGAGTGCAGCATAGATCTTCTGTTTCTGGTGGACAGTTCAGCTACATCTTCCCTGGAAAGTTTTTTGCGTTACAAGTCTTTTCTGAAGCGTTTTGTTCAAGCTGCTCTATCGGAGGACTCTCCCGTCAATGTTGGGGTTGCTCAATACAGTAATGAGGTCCAACCAGTAGTCAAAATAAGTGAATATCAGAACTTTTCAGAACTTTTGAAGTTTATAGATGAAATGCGTTTTATGGGTGGTGATCTGTTCACTGGAAAAGCCCTTCGTCATGTTACGCGGTTTGGGTTTAAAAGCACCCCCGCCTATGCTGATATCCGTGATGACCTCCCTCGAGTTGTCGTCCTCCTCACGGGTTCAAATTCCCAAGACCTTGTGAAGGAAGCAGCAGAGTATGCTAGGGGCCACGAGGTGTTCCTTATAGGTGTGACCAGCGACTCTTCCAAGGAAGAGATGTCTCAGATTGTTGGAAACACCCAACAAATGATCACCTACTCCAATCAACAACAACTGTTCAACCAGCTTCCTCAGCTACAGAAGAAAATCTGCAGCGTGGATATACAAGGTATGAAGGTATTTTGATTATTTTATATTTTTTTTCTGAATTTATTTGTTTTCATAATAAAATAAGAAAATATTGGGTTGAATGCCCAAATAAGGAAAGATAAAGACAGAGGTTAAAAACTAAAGGAGAAAGCAGAAATTGTAAAGAGAAATGAAAAAAAAACGGGGTATCCTGTGTGGGGTGGGGAAAGCAAGTCATCGTAACTTAACAAAAGCAAACTATCATCCTGCACAGTCTAACCAGGTTGTTAAACCTTAAGAAAATAATAATCTATTTTTAATTTTAATATGGACACACCTTGTGTGAAATCGGTCTAATAAGCTGCAGACCTAGGTTCTCTCTAATGGCACAAGTGATCAAAGATTCCAAGACACCTGAATAGGACAAACCAAAGGGCCGGACTGGAGGGCAGCTATTACGCTTTTGCCAGGTTTCCATCTTCTCAGATGTTCTGTTTATGCATCGGTGCCCAAGTGAAAGACCAGTCTATGTCAGTCTTCTTATATTAAAGGTCTAGTTCAGATATGGACTCCGTGCTCACTGTTCCTGGTAGGCTATCTGTTACACCTCACCAATGAGACCCAATGAAGACCGAAATTATTGACTGGGGCATATCTCGCACACAGTGGGAGGCCACTCGACATTTAGGACTGACATTTTGGGTGGATCAGTCTGATGTGTGACAAACTAAGTTCTCTCAGTAATAAACAAGTTCTATGGTTTGTCCATTATCAGTGTTTTCAGGTAGTCTGTTTTCACTTGGTGCACTATTTTAAGTTTTTTTTTGTCTTTTTAGGACATAACATTCATTAAGTTTAGAAATATGTAATAAAAATAAACTTTACTTTCTCCTATGGTTTATAATTGTTTGACCGGTCATGTTCTAAGGGCCAAATGAAGTGTAAAATTTTCTGTTACAGAGGTCATATTAAATCACTACTGGCAGTATGTTGTTGTGCATTTAGCAAGAATACGCTGGGCAAACACTGCTTGTCAAGGAATCCAACACTTCCCATAAATTCCCATAATTATTTTATTTATTTATTGTATTCTAGGTTGCCAGGGACAGCCCTTAGATCTGGTTTTTCTGGTGGATGTCTCTGCTGCAGTAGGAGAAAACCATTTTTACAAGCTGAGGGACTTCATCAAAATGATCTCTCTCCAATTTGACATTAATCGTGACGTCACCCAAGTGGCTCTTGTGTCTTACAGCCAAAAACCCCAAACAATATTTGCATTGGATACACACGAAAAAAGTTCAAGCCTTCTGAATGCTATTAATCAGATCTCCTATATTGGTGGATCAGCTTCTACTGGAAGTGCTCTGCTTCATGTCTACAGTGATGTGATGACCATTGGAAAAGGGGCTCGACTTGGGGTCAATAAGGTTGTGATTTTGATCACTGATGGCAAAGGAAGTGAAGATGCTGCAGTCCCAGCCCAAAGACTGAGGGACAATGGAATATTGATCCATGTGATTGGAATTGGAAATGTTCAGCGGAATGCACTGCTACGTATTGCTGGGTCTACCAGATTCTTGACGGTCATTCCCTCGTATGATGACCTGGTCCACTACGATGACCCCATAGTCCAGAGTGTGTGCGAAGGTGAATAGTTTCTTCTATTTTACAATTTGGCATAAATGTATTTCATTCTTGAGTTTCTAAGACATGCTTTACTTCTTAAGTACCTGTCATAGATATTGGCAGTTGGGTAGAGGCAAAATAAGCTTGTCATTGAGACAAATGGCTACCTTTTAGTAAGGGCTAGTTACTCGGACTTTCTAGATGTCTCCTATCTGGGCAATTGTCATCACCCAAAAGTTTTAGATGTGGGCGGACTTATTTATGATTTCAGATTATATATAGATGATGTATCAATAAAAATCTAATGCAGGCCTTACAGACTATATATATCTGAATACTTATTGCTCTCATTATGTATTTATGATTGGTATTTATATAGTGCCAACATATTCTCTAGCGCTTTACAATATTCTAAAAATGGGGGGGGATTTAACTATAAATAGGACAATTACAAGAATACTTACAGGAACGATAGGTTGAACAGGACCCTGCTCAAACGAGATTGCAGTCTATAGGAGGTGGGGGAGAGAGTAAAGTGTTGCCCTTTAGGAGAGAGAGACAGGTATGTGAGGTAAAGGTTACTCTAGGTGGCCATGAGCTTTCCTAAAGAGATGGGTTTTAAGGCCCTTCTTAAATGATTGAAGACTAGGGGAGAGTTTGATGACGGTAGGCAGGCTATTCCATAGAAAGGGAGACGCCCGCGAGCAGTCCTGCATGCGTAAGTTGGCCATACGGGTGTGAGCAACGGGCAGAGCGGAGAGACCGAGAAGAGGCATACCTATGGATCTGTGAAGAGATATAAGAGGAGCTAGAAATGTTCAGTGCTTTATAGGTATGGGTTAGCACTTTGAATTGACTCCTATAGCATACTGGAAGTCAATGTAAGGCCTGGCAGAGGGGTGAGGTGTGAGAGGACCGACTAGAGAGGAAAATCAGTCTGGTGGCAGCATTCATTACCGACTGTAGCGGGGCAATACTGCTTTTGGGAAGACCAATTAGGAGAGGGCTATAATAATCCTTGCGAGAAATTACTAGAGCATGGACAAGCTCCTTAGTGGCATCTTGTGTAAGAAAGGGGCGGATTCGGGAAATGTTTTTAAGTTGGAATCTACAGGATTTGGCAACAAACTGGATGTGAGGCTCAAAGGTGAGGCCAGAATCAAGTATGACACCAAGACAGCGCCTTGCAAGGATGAACTTATGTGGATACCACTAACTTGAAGGGAAAACGAAAGAGGAGGATCAGTATTAGGAGGAGGAAAGACGATGAGCACAGTTTTAGAGAGACTGAGTTTCAGAAAGCGGGAGGACATCCAGTTAGAGATGGAAGAAAGGCAAGCAATGACACGGTGCAGGACAGCAGGGGAGAGGTCCGGGGAGGAGAGAGATCCAAAAGAGGTAGTAAGTTTGCCAAGAGAGGCAGTATAAAGAGAAAATAGAAGGGGACCAAGGACAGAGCCTTGGGGGACTCCAACCGAGACAGGACGAGGGGAGGAGGATTCATTAGGAAAGGAGACAATGAATGAGCGTTGGGAGAGAAGTGGAAAACCACGAGAGGACAGTCACAGAGACCGAGTGATTGAAGAGTTGGAAGAAGGAGAGTATGATCAACGGTGTCAAAGGCAGCAGAGCGGTCAAGAAGAATTAGTATGAAGTAGTGGCCTTTGGATTTAGTTGCGATTAAGTCGTTAGTAACTTTGATAAGAGCAGTCTCAGTAGAGTGGAGAGGGCGGAAGCCAGATTGAAGAGGGTCAAGGAGAGAGTTGAAATTGAGGAAGTGAGACATAGGGGTAAAGACAAGTCTTTCCAGAAACTTTGAGGGAAAAAGGAGCAGGGATATGGGGCTATAGTTAGTGGGGGAGGACGGATCAAGAGATGTTTTTTTGTTTTTTTTTGTTTTTTTTTAAGATGGGTGCTACAGTAGCAAGTTTAAGGTCAGCAGAGACAACGCCAGAAGAGAGAGGGAGCAGTTGAAGATGTGTGTTAAGGAAGGCACAAGACAGGGGGTGAGAGATCTGATAAGGTGAGATGGGACAGGATCAAGCGGACAAGTGGTGGGTCAAGAGGAAAGGAGAAGCGCAGCCACCTCTTGTTCAGTAGCCAGAGAGAAAGTCTGAAGGGTAGTAAAGGCATGATTTACGTGTGGTTGAGAAGGAGAAAGGCAGGGTGGAGAGAATTCTTTCCTTAGCTGTTCAATCTTGTCGGTAAAGTAACAAGCAAAGCTATCTGCTATAAGGTTAGTCTGGAGGGTGACCACAGCAGGGCAAAGAAGAGAATTAAAGGTGTCAAAGTGAGGAACATGATCAATATTATTATAATTGGGATTTAAATAAAAAATAAAAAAAATATTTAGAATTTATTTCACATACTATTTTCCACAAAATAATGCGTTTTCAAAATTAGTTCAAAGTATTATAATATATACACATCTAGAAACACAGACTTCTTGTTTTGGTGTTCTGCGCTCATACCCATGGCGACTAGTTCAATTGTGACGTTTTAAACTCTGCCTGAAGTTTTACAAGATACCTTATAACTTCTATAACACACTCTCCAATAATTCTGAAATTGGTGAATAAATAGATGAAACATTAAAATTGTGTAAATGTACATAGACTTTTCTATAGTTCTGTAATATTTTATATATTTTTTTATATATTGGTGTTATAAAATCTCCATGTATTGGTGGCATATAATCTCCACGTATATATAAATATAGAACATATATCACATGTAAATAGTTGTTTCATTGGGGTCTTTCTTGCTCTGGATTTAGGGGAAATCGGAGCCTTCCTGAACTGCAGACAGCTGGTTCCCACGTCAATCCTCTCTCATTAACTGGTCTCCGGTCATTCCTGTGTTTATCCGAGCATGGATTACACAATATGCATTTAGAAATGTAATTTACTCAAACTATGTGATGGAGGAAACCAAATAACTGCTTAAAGGCTTAATGAACAATTAGCAGACTGCGCAAACCGCACTAATGAACACGTTCTGCTCCCATTGGGGGAAATGAAAGCATTGGGAATATTTTCTATAAGGAATTAATATGATGCTCTCTCAGAAATGATATTGAAGATCCTGTAGTGGGATTAAATCAGAAGTGGGCAGCGTTTACATTTGAAAGCGCCGTGTTAAACACTGTAACTACAACGACACATTGTAGTGTTCATAGTACTATGAGGCTGAGCGTCTGTTTTGTATTGCTTTCACGGAAAACCAGGGTTCACCCAGCAGCCAAACCTGCCCCAGTGCTCCCATTCTATCATATGGATCCCAGCTCGAAGGGTTAATATGGAACACGATGAGTGCGACTGCAGAGGGCGAGCTATAAAAACAAGAGGGTCTGCGCTCAAAGACTCTTTGCCATAATCATTACAGTGAGCTGCAGTTGTTATGGTGTTTCCTGCTAGCATTAGGGACACCACGAACGCTGAATAACTGTAATGTTATGGTGCAAAGGGAATTGTTACTTTTTATGATTGTGAAGCTGCATAATAATCAGAGAACCTGCTAATACAGAACGCCTACTGATACCCCGTTACTCACCAGGATTTAACCCGTAGTAAGGGAATTGGTCACAGAAGATGGGTTTAATGGCTGCATTAAGCTATGTAGTGTGTGGCAGTGATTTCTCTGTGTTTGGTTTTATTGCTGTGCTTAAACCTGCAGATAAACTATATAATATTGTTTTTATTATAATCTTCACAGCCATTCCCAATGCAATACTCTAAATTCTGTCTTGCTTGATATGTGTTTTTGTTTTAGAAGCAAAATCTCCAGTGAGTCTCTGTAAACCCAACCCGTGTTTGAATGGGGGTCAGTGTATCCAGAGCCACGGAACCCATCGCTGTGAGTGCCACGGCTGGGAAGGCCCCCACTGTGAGAATCGTAAGTACAGCTGCTATAAGCCCTCCGCCTGGGCAGTAATGGCTCCTCTCCTTGATCCAATCCACACAGGATTACAAATATGAGAAGTCACCGCGTTAGTGTCCACATATCCTGGCACTTCTTCCCATGTTCAGTGTCTTAGTTATGTCTCGAGTCCCCTGTCCACATATCCCGTCACTTCCTCGTCCTATACTCAGTGCCTTTGTTATGTCTCGGGTCCCATGTCCACATATCCTATCATTTCCTCTTCCCATACTCTGTGCTTTAATTATGTCTCGGGTCCCCTGTCCACATATCCCATCACTTCCTCTTCCTATACTCAGGGCCTTTGTTATGTCTCAAGTCCCCTGTCCACCTATTCAGTCACTTCCTCTTCCCATACTCGGTGCCTTAGTTACAGTCAGGTCCATAAATATTGGGACCTCGAAACAATTCTAATCTTTTTGGTTCTATACACCACCACAATGGATTTGAAATGAAATGAACAAGATGTGCTTTAACTGCAGACTTCGAGCAGTTAACAGTTTGTATATGTGCCTCCTACTTTTCAAGGGACCAAAAGTAATGGGACAATTGGCTGCTCAGCTGTTCCATGGCCAGGTGTGTGTTATTTCCTCATATCCCATTTACAAGGAGCAGATAAAAGGTCCAGAGTTAATTTCAAGTGTGCTATTTGCATTTGGAATCTGTTGCTGTCAACTCTCAATATGAGATCCAAAGAGCTGTCACTATCAGTGAAGCAAGCCATCATAAGCTGAAAAAACAAAACAAACCCATCAGAGAGATAGCAAAAACATTAGGTGTGGCCAAATCAACTGTTTGGAACATCCTTAAAAAGAAAGAACGCACCAGTGAGCTCAGCAACACCAAAAGACACGGAAGACCACGGAAAACAACTGTGGTGGATGACCGAAGAATTCTTTCCCTGGTGAAGAAAACACCCTTCACAACCGTTGGCCAGATCAAGAACACTCTCCAGGAGGTAGGTGTATGTGTGTCAAAGTCAACAATTAAGAGAAGACTTCACCAGAGTGAATACAGAGGGTTCACCACAAGATATAAACCATTGGTGAGCCTCAAAAACAGGAAGGCCAGATTAGAGTTTACCAAACAACATCTAAAAAAGCCTTCACAGTTCTGGAACAACATCCTATGGACAGATGAGACCAAGATCAACTTGTACCAGAGTGATGGGAAGAGAAGAGTATGGAGAAGGAAAGGAACTGCTCATGATCCAAAGCATACCACCTCATCAGTGAAGCATGGTGGTGGTAGTGTCATGGCGTGGGCATGTATGGCTGCCAATGGAACTGGTTCTCTTGTATTTATTGATGATGTGACTGCTGACAAAAGCAGCAGGATGAATTCTGAAGTGTTTCGGGCAATATTATCTGCTCATATTCAGCCAAATGCTTCAGAACTCATTGGACGGCGCTTCACAGTGCAGATAGACAATGACCTGAAGCATACTGCAAAAGCAACCAAATAGTATTTTTTTTTTTTTACAATTCTTTTTTATTCGTGCATATTGAGAACAGACATGTCTGCACTGCCACGATAGCTGGTGCATAACACTGGTGTGAAATGAAAAAAAAACATTGCACATTTTTTTTTTTCTTTGAAAATCAATACATGTAACAAAATGGAATCTAGGGTATGTGTAACAATGCAACTTCCTGGTAGCGTTTTTAATGCTTGTGTGGTAGGTTGCTAAAGTCCTAGAAACAGGGGCGGACTGACCACTCTGGCACATCGTTCATGGATCAGGGGCCCGGCTGCACAGCCATGCTCCAGCTGGAGAGATCAGAGATCAACTGGAACGGCAAAATAATAAAATAAAACTATTTCATTGATAGGTTGTGGGGCCCCTGATGGAGCGCGGGGCCCCACAACCTACCGCTCTGCTAGTCAACCCCCTCAAATGAGACCCGGCAGCTTCTGCCAGGTCTCCTTCCAGTCCCATTCGGTGCTCTGTGTGATGGGAAGAGGGGGGCTAGGAAGTGACCACTTCCTGTTTACTCCTCTCACACAGAGCCGATCAGCAGGGGAAGGAGCAGCCAGGGAGAGAAGAGGGAGCAAAGACAGGTAGGCACTAATCAACCCCCCCCTGTGTCACTAGTCACCCCTCCCTTTGTGTCACTAGTCACCCCCCCTCCAATCACTGTGTCACTAGTCACCCCTTCACTGTGTCACTAGTCACCCTTCCCTCACTGTGTCACTAATCACCCCCCCCACTGTGTCACTAATCACCCCGCCCTCACTGTGTCACTAGTCACCCTCCCCTCACTGTCACTAGTCACCTCCCCTCACTGTCACTAGTCACCCCCCCTCACTGTGTCACTAATCACCCTCCTCACTGTGTCACTAGTCACCCCTCCCCTCACTGTCACTAGTCACCCCTCCTCTGTGTACTAGTCACCCCCCTCCAATCACTGTGTCACTAATCACCCCCCACTGTCACTAGTCACCCCCCCACTGTGTCACTAGTCACCTCCCCACTGTCACTAGTCACCCCCCCTCAGTCAGCCCCCCTCACTGTCACTAGTCACCCCCCTGAGGCCTGCCGTTGCCCCTGGGGAATAAATGGTTTTACGGTAGCAGGCTTCCACGTTTGGGGGTCTCGCCCCGCCGGTTCCTGCCCGTTGGCGGCCAGTGAGTCTGGTGGTAGGCCCACCGTGACTAGCAGCCCTACTTCCTCTTGGAGATCGTGAATGTCTTGTGTAACATTGTCCTTGATGACCTGGATCGTGTGCGCCAACCACCAGCGGTACGGGATCTTGTGGTGTCTGAGCAGGGCGGTGAAGGGTGCCAGAGATCTGCGCCATGCTAAAGTATATCCCGATTTATTTGTGTAGAAAGTGAGGTGCATGCCTTCGAAGTCATATGGCGTGCGGTCCCTGGTTGCGGTTAGAATTGCTGCTCTGTCCTTCCCGGTCATTAGGCGGATCACCAGGTCCCTGGGGGTCCCCTTCGGAGCCTTGGGCGACTTGGGGATGCGGAAGAATTCCTCTAGACCCACCGCTCTCCCTTGTCTCGGGGGCAGCAGTTCTGTGAATAGTCGCCATAGGAGGTGATGCAGTTCCTCGGCAGGTACATCCTCAGTGATGCCCCTTATTTTGACGTTCAGTCTGTGCCTTGTATCTTCTATAGTGGCAAAGGGTTGGTCATAGATTTTGTGTTGTTGTTGCATCTGAGCAATCTCCCGTTGGAGTGAGGCAATTTGTGTAGCATGTTCCCCGGTGGTGCCCTCCAGGGTGCCCAGCCTGCCCGACAGGCCTCTTATTTCCTCGTGGATTTTTGCCGTGTCCGCCAGGATGGTGTTCTGGAGGGTCGTCAGCAGTGTCGTGAGGATTTCGGTGGTAACCAGAGAGGAGTCTGGCTTTTTAGGGGCCGGTTTAGCAGACTGCGCCACGGGGGTTTCGTCCTTGTCCTCCTCCTGATAGAAGTCATCGGATATGTCCGAGAAGTTCTCGGGGTAGGCGTCCATCTTGGGCCTTGCCACGTTGCTGACCTGGCGCAGGAGGTCGCTGATATGCAGGCCCTGGCGTGGCTTGTCCGGCTTTAGTTTCTTGGTTTTTCGTCCCATTGCTATGTGTGAGTGTCAGGGGGTATGTTTGAGCAGATGATTTTGTGTCCCAAATCAGGTAGAAATAGCGTCGGTAGTTAGGAGCTCTCATGAAGCGTGTCTGCTCGGCTCGGTAGCTAGGCTCTGCCCCCAGTTTTTTAAGGGAAAGAAGTGGAATGTTATGCAATGGCCAAGTCAATCACCTGACCTGAATCCGATTGAGCATGCATTTCACTTGATGAAGACAAAACTGAAGGGAAAATGCCCCAAGAACAAGCAGGAACTGAAGACAGTTGCAGTAGAGGCCTGGCAGAGCATCACCAGGGATGAAACCCAGCGTCTGGTGATGTCTATGCGTTCCAGACTTCAGGCTGTAATTGACTGCAAAGGATTTGCAACCATGTATTAAAAAGTGAAAGTTTGATTTATGACTGTTAATCTGTCCCATTACTTTTGGTCCCTTAAAAAGTGGGAGGCACATATACAAACTGTTGTAATTCCTACACCGTTCACCTGATTTGGATGTAAATACCCTCAAATTAAAGCTGGAAGTCTGCAGTTAAAGCACATCTTGTTTGTTTCATTTCAAACCCATTGTGTTGGTGTATAGAGCCAAAAAGATTTGAATTGTGTCGATGTCCCAATATTTATGGACCTGACTGTATGTCTCGGGTCCCCTGTCCACATTTCCCATCACTTCCTCTTCCCATACTCTGTGCTTTAGTTATGTCTTGGGTCCTCTGTCCACATATCACGTCTGTGCCACAAAATATTGATTTCTACACAATACAACCTGGAGAAAGGTTATCGCACAACCATAAATCAAACTTATCAAATCCAAGAATCTATTTTCAGCATTACACCAGAGCCTATACATCCTGCATTAATCTGTGATATCTGTCAGTTCACATTTTGGAACCAGGTAAGTTTCAAGGGATAAAACTAAAGCAATGCGTAAGTGCTAAATAACACAAAGCAGCAACCCTATAAGGGATTCCCTCAAAAAAAAGCAAAAATAAATAAAAGTAAGGGCTGCGCTGAATAAAACTCCGTGTAAGACAAATAGTCCAGATAAAATAAATGGATAAAAAGAGAAAGTCTTATCTCAAGGCGTCTGTTGAGGTCGTACGTAGTAATAATATTTGGTCCAGAGTAATTGTCCTTATTGATATCCTCCTTATGGATCCGCTCGTATGCAAGAGATAAGGGATAAATAGAGAGCCAAATAGTGTAGTATATTCAACAGTGGAGATGATAAAACTATAAAAAACTAGAATGCAAACTCACATTTGCCAGAGCTGTGACCCGCTCTGGTGTGGAAGGCGTACAGCGGTTTAATCCCCACTTATGGGATATAGATATAGGTATATAGGTACAATAAAAGTTACCAAATATACTTTAATATTAAAATCACACAATATAATAACCATAAACGCGTTTCGCCAATACAGCGTTATCAATATGGGTAAAGAACCTGATACCTGGCAGTGGAATCTTTAAATAGCATATACAATACTTTGAAATTGGCGCCAAAATGTCAGCAACCAATCATAGTAAAGTTTAAAATTAGTATAATTAAAACATGGTCAAAGTGAAACATAAGCAATATATATACATAAAAAGACATTAAATGAACATTAAAATGTTTATACATATTGGAAAATAACCAGTATATACTTAAAATAGGCGATTTTATGCGCGGTCACGTGACCGGCATAAAACCGATAGGAGTTGATGGGAAGTGTAGTTTGACGCAGGTCGGCACTGCGCAGCCGCCGGCGTCGTAATAAGGGGGATTGCCCATGCGTGCCGACATCTAAGGGGGGTGCGGCTACACAGTAGGATGTCAGCGCGCGTGCGACTAATGCGCGCTGACGTCTAGAGGGGGCGCAGTATCAAAATAGAGCGTCAGCGCGCATGCGCCTGACGTAGGGGGGAGGAGATGAAATAGTGACGGCACGCACGAACCTGCGGCCGTCGTCAACAAAGGGGCGGGGATCGAAAGGAAGACGGCGGCTAGCACAAAGCTGCAGCCGTCATCATGGATACGGTTTAAAAGCAAAACAGCAACCAACTTGGAAGACATCATGCCTGATCCACTAAACAGTGTGATCAGGCATGATGGCAAAAAGATAAAAAGAACAGAGTCTGGGATAAAATGGAGAGAATAAAATTAGAATGGGTAAAAACAAAAAAATTAAAATTAAAAAACAGACAAATGTAAATAAAATATCCAGAGACAGCTATGTGCAGAATATAAAAGTATAGAAGATTATAAAAAATTAAACAAATCAAAATCTACATTTAAACCATGTGGTACAAGAGTTTGAAGTTTGTAGACCCACTCCATTTCTTTTTTACCTAAAAATTTTTTAATGTTTCCGCCCCTCCACGGAACCACACATTTCATTATTCCAATACATTTTAGCATTTTTGGATCTTTATTGTGTATGATAAAATGTTTGGATACTGAGTGATTTAGGAATCCATTTTTAATGTTTCTGCAATGTTCGCTTAAGCGTATTTTCAGACACCTTGTGGTCATTCCAACATATTGGAGGCCACAGGGGCATTCAAGCAGATATATAACATTTTTTGTAGAACAATTAATAAAATCATTTATTTTATAAACCTTATTTGTCCTATTTGATACAACTTTGGTTACTTTGTGGGGGACATCAGGGTTAGTAGTTCTACAGACTATGCACATTTTGCATTTGCAAAAACCTTTAATGTGTGGGAAAAAGGATACCGGGGGGGTCTTTTTAATTTCTCTTGTAAAATTATTCGTTAGTAAAGACTTAAAATTTTGAGCTCTCCTGAATATAATATTTGGACGTTCAGGTATAATTTTATTTAGGGTTTCATCTTCTTTTATAAGATGCCAGTGTTTTCTTATAACTTTTTTTACATTGTTGCTTTTATTGTTAAAATTGAAGATAATTGGTAAAGGCATTGTTGTGTCTGTGGTTTTAGGTTTGTATTTTAGGTGTTTGTTTCTATCTTTTTTTTGGATGTCCCTAATAGTCTTTTCTAGTTCTATTTTAGAGTAATTCTGCTTGTATCTCGAAATTTCTTATTTCTGAACAGTTTCTCCTAAGTCTAAGTATTTGGCTTTTTGGGGCGCTATCCAACCAAGGTTGGTAATGGCAGCTACTTTTGTCGATAGCTGTATTTACACATACTTTTTTAAAAAACGTCTTAGCGTGTATTTTTCCATTTGTTATAAAAATAATAAGGTCTAAAAAATTAATTTGTTCTCTACTGTATTCATACATCAGGATTATACCTCTATTGTTTATATTAAGATTTGTGATAAAAGAATTGAGTTCATCTTCAGTACCATCCAAGATAAAAAAAAGATCATCAATATATCTAAAAAAGGAAACTAGGTTTGCTCTCCACGCATGATTACTAAAAATTGCTTTTGACTCCCAGTCAGGTGTAAATAAATTTGCGTAGCTGGGAGCAAACCTAGTCCCCATAACGTTCCCTCTTTTTTGAAGATAAACAGAGTTTAAAAACCAAAAATAATTTATTTATTTTTGTAAATTCTTTATTTTGAATTTTCATGTGTCTTTCATGAGTTTATCAATTGTATGGGATACAGAAGAGAAAAGGGGGTTATAACAAAATTCAACAGATGAGGTTACACTTTCAGTTTGGAAGTTGATCCTATTGCATTCATTCTTCATTCATGCTTACTGCTGTGATTGCTTGGGGTCGGGAAAAACGGGGTGGGTGGAGGTTTCGCATTGCCAGCCACGTCCCCGTTCCTAGTGGCGTTGTTGTGGTCATCCGTCTCTGTGTGTGTGTGTTTTTTTTTTTCCCTGTGATAAGTTCATGTACAGTTCTTGCGTGGTGCGTGGGTTCTCTAGGGGCGGATGAACTCGCTCTGCGTTTTGCCGTGTGTTATCTCGGTCTGCGGGGGATGCGGTGGTACCTCTGGGTTCGGGGGTATAGAACTTGGAGTCGGATTGGGGTTTGTGGGTGCTGGGGGGGTGTTGTCCCTCGTCTTGGGTGGGGGTTGCCCACGAGTCCTTGGGACTTTGTGTGGTGTTCGATTGAACTCTGAGAGTTCTCTGGGTTTAGATCAAAAGTTTTTTGTGTGTTTATTGTGGGTGTGGTTTTGTGTGGGTGGTCTCAGCAAGTAGGGGTGCATGGGTGTGTGGTGTGGGGGGGTTGGTGCGAGAAATCGGAGGGTTGTGGAGGGGAGGGGGGTTGTCTGTTCCGTCCGCCCCCGCCAGACAGGTTTCACTCCAATGCCAACCAGGGGTCCTAGATCTTGTGGAAGGATCTGGTATTTTCGTGTATTCGGACAGTTCGTCCATTTCCATAGTCTCCTTGATCTTTCTCTGGGCCTCCGGGATCGCTGGGATCTCTGGGCTCCCCCTATGGGTCGCGATTGTTCTACGTGTAGCTAAGGCCACCTTTGCTACTAGCTTATTTTGTGCTCGGGTCAGGTTTTCGTATGGTTTCGACAACAGCCAGGTCCACGGGTCTAGAGGGACGTCAGTTTGTAGTGCTTTTGAGGTGATGGAGGCCATTTCTGTCCATATATGGCTTATGTGCCGGCATTCCCACCACATATGGATGTATGTTCCCTGCTCGCCACACCCTTTCCAGCATCTGTTCGTGTCTATGCGTTTCATTTGTTTAAGTCTCAGGGGGGTGAGGTACCACCGGAGCAGAGTTTTAGATGCCTGCTCCTTGTGGTTCACACATATGGTTACCGTCGCTGTTGCTTCCCATATGTCTGCTCAGTCCGTCGGGTCCCCATGGGGTCTCAGGTCTCTTTCCCAGGCCTTTACATAGGAGAAGGCTTCGGAGGGGGTTTTAAGTGCCAGGGTATTGTATATGTTGGAAATCTGGCCCTTGTGTATCGGGTTGCTCAGGCAACCCCTTTCAAATGCTGTTGGCTTCAGCACTGCCGCTGCGGCTATGCTGGGGGTTGATAGGAAGCTTCGGAGCTGGAGGTATCGGAAATGATCGAACGTATTATATGGTGTTTTGTTTGGTAGGTCCGGGAAGGGAATGAGTCGGTTATTGTGGTAAAAATGACAGATTCTAGTGAGTTCGTTATCCTCATAGCGTGTAAAGTGTTGGGGTGCCATTCCCGGGGTAAATTGAGGGTTTCTCAGTATGGGCATTAGGGGTGAGGGCGTGTTTATTAGGTTGTACTTGTTGGTCACTCTGTTCCAAGTGTGAATGGCCGTCGTGAGGGCTGGTGTCGTGTTTGGTGGCTGTGATCTGTGCGGTTTTGGTATCCACAGGTAGAGTGTTGGCAGATCGCGTCCGAAGAGATCATGCTCCAGGTCCACCCACCGTTTTTACCCTGGTGGGGCATGCATGGTTTGAATTTGGGCAATTTGGGATGCTTGGTGGTACTCCCAGAAGTTCGGTAAGCCTAGCCCTCCTTTTTTGTGTGGGATGTACAGAGTAATACGTTTTAAAAAAATAATTATTTTTTTAAATAATATTAACACCTTCTAAAATGAAATCAATTTGTTGACCAGCAATTGTGCCTTCTTTTGTTAAAATATCTTTTACAGCCTGACAGCCTATATCATGAAGTATGATTGTATATAGTGACTGGACATCACATGTCACTAATATAAAACTAGGTTTCCATATAAAATTATTTAAAAAATGTAAAAGGGCCATGGAGTCTTGAAGGTAAGATCTCATGAGTCTGACTGAAAGCTGTAAAAGAATGTCTCTATATTGTGAGAGATTACATAAGAGAGAACCTATGCCAGACACGATTGGTCTTCCGGGAGGAGAAGTTTCATTTTTATGAATTTTGGGGAGGAAGTATATAACAGGAGTAATGGGAAATTGATTATTTAGAAATTTAAACTCATGTTTATTTAAAATGCCTAAATTTACACCTTTATTTAAAAATTGAGTTAAAACGATTTGTATTTGTTTGATAGGGTCTGATAAAAGTTTTTCGTACACATTGGCATCATTTAGTTGTCTGTGTGCCTCCTCTATATACATTTGGGTTGATTGGATGACTATCCCTCCGCCCTTATCTGCTGGTTTAATGACAATAATTTCATCGTTTTGAAGTTCTTTTAGTGCCAGTTTTTCTGAATGGAGAAAAATGAAGAAATTCTTATTCAAAATTTGATTTTAACCCAGCTGATACCGTCTCATAATCATAACATAATTACCACCTCCCTAAGAGAAAAATCGACTTTTTATCCTGCTCATTTTAAATCGGCTCCCCTTACTATGTTTGAAAAACTAGTTACAAAAGATTTAGAAAAAATCAAAAATAACAAATATGACCCCCACAACCTTACACATTTAGAAAAACTGGCAAAAGTACCAGAGTGGGTCACAGCTCTGGCAAATGTGAGTTTGCATTCTAGTTTTTTATAGTTTTATCATCTCCACTGTTGAATATATTACACTATTTGGCTCTCTATTTATCCCTTATCTCTTGCATGCGAGCAAGATAAGGAGGATATCGATAAGGACAATTACTCTGGACCAAATATTATTACTACATACGACCTCAACAGACGCCTTGAGATAAGACTCTCTTTTTATCCATTTATTTTATCTGGACTATTTGTCTTACACTGAGTTTTATTCAGCGCAGCCCTTACTTCTATTTAAGTTTCAAGGGATATTTATAATAAGACTTAAAGGGACACTTTAGTCACCAGAACAACTACAGTGTATTCTATTTGTTTTGGTGAGTGTAATAATTTTCTTCAGGCTTTTTGCAGTAAACACTGTCTTTTCAGAGAAACGCAGTGTTTACATTACAGCCTAGGGATACCGCCACTGGCCACTCCTCAGATGTCTACTAGGTGCTTACTGAGGCAGAGCTGCACAGTGTGCAGCATTGACATTCAGTGTCTCCACCCTCTGCATGGAGATGCATTGATCCAATGCATCTCTATGAGGAGATGCTGATTGGCCAGAGCTGTGTTTGGCTTGTGCTGGCTCTGCCCCTGATCTGCCTACTTGACAGTCTTTACCCATCCAATGGGAAGCACTGTGATTGGCTCAGAGAATCACTACTGATGATGTCAGCCAAGCAGGCAGATCAGGGTCAGAGACAGCAGCTGTAGACATGATTAAAAGTAAGATTTTACTATATTTTGTGGAGCAGGGGGGATAGATGGCGATTTTAACACTATAGGATCAAGAATAGATGTTTGTGTTTCTTTAATGCTGGGTCTGATAGTCGAGCATTAACCAACCTGATGAATGTAAATAAAACAACCTTCCCTTTAAAAAAAAAAAAAAGCAAAATTCAAAATAATTGAATAATTACTATTTTCTGTTTTTATTGCAGGATTAGTTAGAGGAGATACCCCATTTCCTTTGCGTGTGCATGGCAGAGTTCGCCAAACTAGGAACTCGAGTGCATCTCGGCGCTGGTTCAAGATTCAAACAAATAGAATATCTTCACCACATCATCCATAACATGCTGGCTCTGAGCTGTTACACGACCCTACTTCTGGAGTCTGGATATGCCAACCTAACGGCGCCAATTAGAGCGCTTCATTCTAATGACAATACATCTGAGTGTTTGTGCCAACAAAAGGCTATCTTATTTCAGATGCAAAAATTATTAGCAAGTATGAGATGAATGTTGTAACACTGAGAATGGTAAGTCCTGGTATTCAGAAAGATACAGTAATGTGCTGAGCCCTCCATTTTATTCTGCAAAAGAAGTCAGAGAGACCCCGATATGAGGGATTTTTTGTACCAGCAGTTTATATGTCTCGTATTTTCAACACTTTAGCTGTGCGTTTGTTTACCGAAATTCCGTAAATTGTCAGGAAAGCCTGGGGTTCCGTTCAGCGTCTTGACATTGTTACACCAGTTAACGTGCTTTTACTTATTCTTACAACTAGCATTTCCAGCGTCTATAAACTGGTCTGTAATCTGTAAAACCAGGCCTGATTGGGGAGATTATGGCTAATGCGGAGTCCTGCTTGTGCTACTGTATATTAATGAACTTATAACTCTGTTCAAGTAACTCTGGCCCCCCAGATGTTGCTGAACTACAACTCCCTGATTCTTTGAATTACATAGATAGCCAGAGAATCATGGGAGTTGTAATTCAGCAACATCTGGGGGGGTCAGAGTTTGAGGACCCCTGAGTTAACCCCACGGTAAAATTTGTAGAATAAATCCCTGTTGCCCCAAGTTAGGGTTTCTGTTCCAGATTTTTTAATATTATTCCTGACCAGATATAGCTGGGTACTTGGTAGGAAACATAGGATGGATTTATTATCCCATCAATTTATACAGTAAAATGTCAGAATTCTGATTAACAGTCGGTTTCAAAGCATCTAGCGCAGTCGATATCTGAAAAATAAAATAGAATATTTCACTAGTAACCCTACAAAATGAGCTGAAAAAAATGACAGCAGGTATTAGCAGATGAAATATATTTTATATTAATATAAATTTATATATAAAGTAGAATTAGTCAGTTTTTATTAGATGATAATTTCCAGAATTCACCAGAAAATGTTCCTGGTTTTTTTCCTCTCTACAAGAAAATTTTCATTATTTACTAAGAAAGTGAAATGACTAATTTCTGTGTTTAGATAGTAGTAATTTATTAATCAAATTATGTTAGTTCTATTTTATTGTTTTGTTTGATAAAATAGAATGTGATAATTGCCCACCTTGTCTGATCCCACATTAACACACAGCTTTGTGATCAGTATTTACCGTTTATCTTACCGTTTTACCGTTTACATCGGTAAAGTACAAATAAGGACATTCACAATGTTTTATTGCCGTTTGTTTTACATTTTTCTAGATGTGTCTGATTCGTGGAAGATGGTTAATGCATTTATCTCACTGTTTTACAATAATCATTTGTTGAATCTAATCTGTACCAATAGTTATGTTTTCAAGGTGATAAAATACTGTAATACTGTTAGACTAGTTTAATATTTGCCCATTCCTTGGTATTTGATAAACATCTATTTATAGTTTTGTTAGGTAGGCACATTGAAGAAGCCTTTTGATGTTTTAAAGTATGATATTATTTAAAATGTTTATATTTGTTAATATTTTTGTTAAATGCTGCATTTATATAATTTTATACGCCTTTGTTTTATACATTTATTCCATACTTAATAAACAGGAAAACATTTGCTATACCAAGTTTTTTTCCCCAACAAAATCCTTGATTTAATATTTTTAGATAAACGTTTTAAAAAATTTTTTTTTCTGAATACTATATAACAAAAATATATTTAAAAAAAAAGTAATACAAATTTTTTTTTTATATAATTAAAGCTTTTTGAATAAACTTATTTGGAAAATGTATCCAAAAATATTAAATGGCAGCCACAGTAAGGTCAATGTTTATTTAAAATGCGTATAACTGGGTGTGCTATTTAATAAATAAAATGTAACTATTTGTTTTTTGACTAAATCACTGTGTATGACACCATTTCTTTCTGTATCTCCTGCTGTCTGTGTAATGGATGAATATTGTCACAGTAAATCTATAATGGTAACAGAAACACCAACCGACTACTTACCTGTATTCAATGAGTTGGCTACACAATATCGGTAACCAGGGCCCCAGTAGGGGCACTTTATTCATTAAGGTGGGAATAAATTCTCCCTTTGGCTATTTGATCGTTGGATGAAATGGATCCATATGTTTATGTCAGACAATATTTGATACATTTCCAGTGATGGATTTTAATTTTATTCATTTTTTTTTTTTATTGCAGGATAAAATGAGAAATGACAATTATATTTTAAAACATTTATTTTGTCTTTCACAATAAAATATTTCTTACTCTGTCTTTAAATACCAGAACAATGATGAGACGACACGTAGACGATGACCGTGGAGACAGTGTTTGGTGGAGAAGCGGTTAGGCACTTGGCGATCATACTCCGTGTCATCAGAAACCCTCACTAAATAATCATAATTCTATAGTGCCCTTAATAAGAGTGCATGATGGGACAGGAAGATGGCAGATATAGCGGTAAATGGAGAGTAATCATGCTTAGGTACTAATTTTTATAAATGCCCATTTCACTGAGGTCCCATTATTTACTGTGCAGCCCTATTTTGTATACGGTGCTGGCCGCAGTGCTGTATTTTGAATTTGTGCTAGCCCTCTCCCCTCCCCCAAATCTAAATTTGCTCCGCCCCTTCCTGTCCTGGCAGCATCTTTTCCGGTTTAAGACCAACACGCAGTTTGACTGACAGACACACACTAACAAACGCACACTGACAGACACATGCACTCACTAACAGATACACACTCACAGACATACACGGATAGTCACACACTCATACACTGACAGACACCCTGATACTTACAAACTCACACACATTGTCTAATCCACAATTTATATGTAATTTAGTTTTCATTTACATCCACCCTGCCTCCCTACCTTTGGGAGAGCTGGAGTGGATTCTTCCCTGGGGTCCAGTGGGGCTGGCGCCTGCTGCTGGGCAAGCAGGCATGAAGGCACAGGCCAACGGGCCAGCGGTCAGCCAATGCGAGCGGTGAGGGAGCCCTGTCATCTGAGCTCTTCCTGCTCCGCTCCCTCGCGCGCCTTGCAGTGCTGCCAGAATGACGTAATATTCTGGCTCCCGTCATCACTGCGAGGCGCATTGTGAGAGGCTTGAACGCCTCTGAGGGGACCCTGAAGTGGCCAGCCAGCTCTTGGGTCCCCAGAAGAGACTAACAGGGCACATGCCAGGGTCCTTGGGGGGCGGAGTTGTTTGCCACCCCTCTGAAAGTGCCGACCAAGGCAAATGCCTCATTAGCCTTCTTAAAGATACAGCGCTGGCTGGCTGGAAATCTGCACTCCCAAAAATTGTAGCAAACGACTTCCGATTAATTTTGATCAAGGTATTTGTTCATTTTTAGGCATACATTCATTCCTGCTGTATGTTCTAATAATTCTTTTAGTTTTGCCCAAATAGTTGCAGTCTTTTTGAAAGATTGCAAGGTAGTTGAACGGTTATCATTAATCATTTACATCTTATTTATTTACGTCTTATTTCCCGGACACTAGGACTCCTGCATTGTAGTATTCCTTCTTGGCATGTGCTGACCAATGAAGGGGTTAACTCACTGACAGAGGTATTTTAGTTAACAGGTAAACCAAACAAGCTACTGGGGATAAAAACATGGATTTTATTTATTTTGTAAAACGCTGATTACAACAGGACTTTCGATTTTCGAAAATCTTTTTATTCTCTAGTTTTCGTGAAATAACGGGACACGTTGCAAATAGCTGCTTCAGAATAAAATAATTATAAAACACATGTATAGTTAAGCGGATTAACTATTGCAGCTACAGTCCTCGTAGCCTCACAAACTAAACTGCATGAATTTAAAAAAAAAAAATGTTTTAATTGTTCTAATGGGCCCGTGAAATTCTCCAGGAATTTAATTTAGAAGATATTGTACCCCTGAGTGTCTGATAGCTGACCAAACACAGGCTTTGGAAACACTTGTGTTTTACATTCCTAGACATTGGAGGAAATTTAAATGGCGCTAAATCTGGTGTATCCCCCCCCCCCAAATATATTAATTTATGCTCTAATGGTAATTTGAGTACATACAGTTTTTATCTGAATGCAACAGATTTATGAATATTTGCTCCACTTTTTCCCGAAATAAAAATGGTTATTAATTTGGAAAGTCTTCGGAAATGGAAATTTCTGTGGAAACCTTTGGAATTTACTATGAAATAAACTATCACCTTTTAGATCACTTTAATAATTATGATGAAAATGACAATGTTTTGTAAAAGGGATTTGTCTGACAGCTCCTCCAAGTCATGGGTCTATTTAACAAATGACCTCAGCATGTGACACATTATAAATATACACAATAATAGAACATCTATCTAATAAGGAATGTTATGACGCAGGGTTTATCTGAATTTACAGTAATGCAGTTCATGATGACTGGATTCCTCAGGATTTTTACAATAATATTCTACTGATATTATGAAAGGGGGTAAATGAGTATCCACAAGTCTATGTTCCATATTAGAATGCAGAGCGGATATTAAATAAAGCTTCTTCCATTGATTAATCAATCCCGCTAATCATTTTCCGCTCAGAACTACCTGCATCTACAGGACCGAGGTTTAATACCCTGATTTAATGCTTCCACACTTGCTGCATTATTTTTACCCTGCACAACCAAGCCTAATATGGGAATAAAAAAAAATAATAATTACTAATAATTTACCAATACTCTGTAAGAATTAATATTTAATTACCTGGTTTAGTTTGTGTATTATAGATTGGATTTAGGTTCTGGGATTATTCTCTGAATAAATTAAATCCAGTGCCGGCAGCATTTATATTCATCATGAAATAGAGAATACGAGATTAGGGATTATGTGTGTTAGAAATAAAGAAAAATCCCTACGTGAGATTGTCTGCGGCCGTTGATGGGCTGATTGGCCTCTCCATGTCTGCTGTGTTCTGTTCTCCAAAGAAAGAGGTTTTAGCACAGTTCTAATTTATTGCTAACATTGTAAAAATGATGAAATATTAAATATTCCCATGGACAGTACAGATGTGAACATACAATGGTGAAAAATCGCAGGTCAGGGAGAAGCATTAGTCAATGGCTGCCATATTCACGGTGGTCAGCTTGGTCTCCGCTTCCTATAAGAGCAGGGTTTCATAGTTTGCTTTCAATGATCCGAGTCCTGGCCAACATGAAGAGGGATCTTCAGCTAGAGGTCTCTGGTTTTTGGCAGGGATCCAGGCCAAGTGGTAGATTCCCATGCTCCTTCGGTAAATGCTTGCATCTTGACATTATTAAATAAAGCTCTCAGGAGTCCAACAAGTCAAGGTAACAAAAGTCTCTCAGTCCAGGAAGAGGATTGAATACCCTAACTTGCACCTTTCTTTTCCCATTCCTAGAAGAGAACCAGACACATATAAATAATAAGCTGGTGATTAAGCAACCCATGGCAATGGCTATATTAGATATGACACAGGAGATCATGGATCAAACCATTAGATGAGCAGCTTATTAGCCAAGTGTTACTGAGCAGAGTTTCCATCTACCGACAGCAGCTAGACACTTGACCGACATTACTAACACTTGAGATTTCGTGAGTAGAATCCTTAAATTGTTCCATCTATCAGAGATATTCACTAAAGTGTAGATGTAAATAACCCTGTATGTTTTGATGAATGCCATGATACTGCTTGGGTTGGCTCCACCCTTGGAATATAGGTCCTCTAATTAGAAGGGCTAGCTGGCATTAAACCGTATTGTAAGGTGAGGAATGTGGTGAGTGTGAGCAGACGGGACACCTTCACCTTGGTTCTGCCGTGTTTCTAAACTCACTGAGTGGGCATATCTACACAGAACTATGCATCATTTATCCATGATTCTCTGCACATTCACTGTATGGGGTTCTACACAGGGAATCATGGGCAATGTTGGAATTTGCATATGATGCCATGCTGTGCCTTTGTAGTCATGCATGATATGTAAATCCAAATACAATAAGCATAGGATTTCCTGTCATTATTTAAAGCAACACCTATTAGTGTGATGGCTGTCCATCTCAGAAGTCAGTCCGGCACTGCATGGTTAGGGTGTTCAGGATGCCAGTGGCATGTGCCTGTGTCAATGTCTTCTGAACAAGATGGAGGTCACCCTGACAGACCTACATCACACAGGACTGTTTTTTACCTTTGCCTTCTGTAGGACGGTGCCTTTTCCAGTGGCCATGATAGACAGGGGTCTGTTTTTCAGCGCCGTTGCAGCATTTACTGGCGAGGGGTCAGGAACATGAATGGGGCTGCTGCACTTCACCTGGTAGAAAGGTAATAAAACATAATTTCAGCAACTGAAATTCTGGGTAATCTGAAAATATGGTGGGTGTACGTGTTTTTATTGCTGAACGTGCGCCCATTAGATCTGTGCAGACCTGGATTACACAGGTACACACTCCTTTTATCAGCATCTTTCCCCAACCAGTATAATGACCTGAAGTGGTGATGGTACTTCAAGTGGTTTAATAAAAACGCTGTTTTCGGTAAGTGTAACCTTTAATGGTAGATCTCTTCCACCCCCACTCCTGCGTGAGAAGTGTGAATATTCAACAAAAGAAATGCAATGTTTAAAATACAGCTGAAGGGGTGAATTATAAAATTT